CCCCCCCCCCAAAAAAAAAATAAATATAAATAAATTAGGACCCAGTTTCACCTATAAACTTTCTATTCACGCAAATATATTTAATCTAAATCACGGTAGTTGAGTTGTCAATCTATTTTTTTTCATACAAACTTTCTACACAAAATGTATAAAATGGTTCATAAGTAATCTAATTCTAAATATTCTTTAAGGAAGAAAGAGAGAGAGTTACGATGCTTCCACATTTTTAAATTTGTACAGAAACCGATGGCTATTTGTCAAATAAATATACATAATAAAAATTTGTTCAGTATTTTGATTGGTTTATTTTTAGAGTCCAGAATTTTTGATATTTTTACAAATCAATAATTAAATTAATAATAATAATAATTTTCTACTTAATCTAACATAATTTATTTTCCTATAAACAGGTGATTTGGAACACAAAAGAACCGTTACTGAAGAAAAACAAATATTATTTTCAAAAGAGTTCAGAATACTAATTTCTCAATCAATATCTGCACGCACTGGTGAAAATGTAAGTTAATATTTTAAAAACAAGCGAGTACAGAAAAGTAATTGTGTAAATGCTACTAAATTTCTAAAATTATTATAAATTATAAACGTAGTTTAGATTTAAGACTAGTAAATTTAAAATCAATATAATCCCTAGGTTCGTTATTCACTAAATCATTTTAGTAAATGTGACTAATTTAGCAAATGTATATGTATAACCGACATGATAATATAATTTAATTAAAATTAATTAATAAGTGTCAATCAAATTTAGTTTTATCTATGAAAAATTAATTTACACTAACATTAAAATATAAATGTTTAGATAACGTTTGCTTGGCAACAATTGGTAGCCGAATGTTTGGGATTAAAACTGTCAAAGTTTGATTTAGAACAACATTTGGTAAGGCCAGTGCAAGCAGAAATCGAAACTACTATAAATCAATACAAAACAATATTGTCAAATCAACAGCAAATTACCTCGTCTACAATTTGTGATATTCAATAGTATCAAGTTAAACATCTGAAATAAATTAATTTTCCGTGATAATTATTTTAAAATTATTCTATTATCACTATTATTATCTATCTACCTCAATAATGACGTTATGTTTAATAAAATATTTTCATTATATTCAGTGTTTAGTACAATTATTATTTTACATTTGAGAGACATTCAAAATAGAATTTATTTTTATTTTTGTCCATTCTACTTATAAAGTACATAACTATTAATACCTACCCAATATAATCAATCATAATAATGTTTAATTGGAAAAATATAATATCCAGTAAATTATTTTATAAAACGTTGATATTTTAAAGTTATTGTAGTACATAATGTTCTAAAACCGTAGTAGTATATGTATAATATATATCTTGAAGGGTTATTTTATATTTTTTGTTGATTGATTTTGATACTATTAATTTAAATCTGTTGAACTTGAAATATGTCTTATTCTTTTCATATCGGATGTTTTGTGCAAAAATAAGAAAGAAGTAACGAATCTCCATAGGCACTATATATTAATATGCTGTATGATAAAAAATATCTATTTTTAATGTAGAAACTTACTACATACCTATATATAAATATCTAAATTTCTGGTAAAAAATAGTTTTACATTTACAGTTAAAAATATAAAAGGTTCTGAACAGTCCATTACAAACATTACTGAAAAGTAGCCAAATTTTAAATTTAAATACTACAATTAAAACTGAATTTTTATATAGGTATATAATTAATTATTATTTTTATTACCTACTTCTTGATCGGGTAACTAGCGCCGAGGTATTTAAATATTTGTATAATATAATATATGAAAAGAAATGACAGACGTCAGACTTCTTACCTACTAAACCTCAATAGGTAACCTTTGTACCAGCTATCATATTTGCACTCAATATTATGATTGACTAGCCACTTAACTTTTAAGTACCTACTCAAATATCAATGTTTAAAATATTTAAATACTATTACATTAATAAAGGCTATCATTTATCAATAATTATCAACGTTAGAATTCAATAAAAATATAATATGGACTTTGTCCGATTGAATTTACAAATTATTAGTTAATGTTCTATCAATACCATCACATAAAAATAATTAATAAGAAAACAAAAACAAAAACAGAGGTGAATGGCTATTGTATAACAACAACATGATACGGTGGTGGTACTACGGAGGAGGTTTGGGTGGATTGCCCCCCCCCCCTTGGCCTATATTATATTACAACGAAAACCTGATAATATACCTATGTTTTACATTATTTTATGATTAATAATTGTGGTAATAAAGCGAGAAAAAAAATCAACGATTTTAATATTTTTTGGCAACACTAATTTCACCTATTCTGTGATATGGCCATGATAATGTGGCGGGGACCGGGGGACGGCATGCACCATCAACTAAAATATTATAGTCCGATTTGCAAAACAAAAAACCGAAAAACAACTTTTATTTTGTTATATTACATAAAATACATTTTTAAATTTAACAAACTATTTAGATTCCGAGGGTAGCGAGGGAGCTATTGATTTTACTAAGATGTTTATTTATTTTTTTTTATTCCAGACTGTAGACACGTTTTTTCCTATTAAACTTGCCTCGATTTTTACTTGAAGCAACTATTCTGATAGCTCAAGTTGTCTAGATGGCACTTTAAAGAGGTCATATTTTGATTTTCAACGCTATGTTTTAAATTAAAGCACTTGAGTGGAAAAAAAACGTAGGAAAACGTACAATTTCACGATTTCATTATTTTATAAAAACACGAACAACGTTTTCTACCAGAAAAAATTATTTAATCGAAAAATCACAAGACACCTTTTTTGTTGCCTTTTTGATTTACTTTCTTACGGTATCATCGCCAAGACTTTTTAGCCACTTTTCAGTTTTTAAAGAATTTTAATTTTTGGGAGTTTTTGCTGTACTTCGGTTATAAATACACGTAGAGACTTGAAACTTTGTAATAATACTTATATTAGACTTACTTAGGCGTGGTAAAATTTTCAAAATCATCAGATGACTTTTTTTTTTAATAATTGTTGGAAATCAAATTTAAACGAAAATCGTTAAAAAATTACGGCATTTCAAATTATGTATTACCGAACTGCGCTCGCAATCGTTTTTCGTCAAGCAATGGTTTATCGTTGCTTACAGATATAAATGAAATTACCTTATGTATCCTACCTTCCCAACTTTTCACCTACAACAGTGTTCGCTCCCATCCCCAGTATCAGCCCTTTTGTTTTGTGACTACTATTTTTAAGGATTGTATTTGATGTGAAAAATGTTTCTCCCCTTCCCCCTTGAAATTTGTCAAGGACCGCCACTGACATGATACATGTTTGTTTAATGCTTTGATTATGCCTTACAGAATTTTCTTTTAAGTAGGTGTATAATTTTCAAATAAAAAATTTAAACTTAGTTCAAACACAATAAAATTATAAATTATTTTTATTTTTATATTCTAATGTCATCGATGCCTAATTTTATAATTTTTAATTACTATTAGATGTTTTCCATTTCTCCGGTTTTTTATTTTTATTAAATTTAGAATGATAAAATCATCAAATAAGGTAATATAGATAATAAGGTAGGTAAGTAAAAAAGCACTTATTTAATTAGGTTAGTTATTATCGAAGGATTAATTGGTGAATTGCATACTTATTTATATGCGTACCATAATATTTATCTATATTTTTATCTTTAATATTAGATAAATAAAGGTATGTTCATTTAATATTTTATGCGTATTCACTATATATGATTTATCATTATTGTAGATTACCATTGTATAGTAAATAATGATTATTGAAAGATTATTATAATACAACAACATGATCATGTGACGCTGACTTTTATGTTAATATCTTGATAATATAGGTAGGTATAATATATATATATATATATAGGTACTTACCCATTATAATAACCTGTAGGTAAAATCGGTATCTACGAGTCTGTGACCTATGAGGGTAAATGTACTTATTTTTTTTTAGAGTTCAGTTACAGTTTAGAACTGAAAACGTTTAGGTAGATAGTAGGTACTCACAACTCGGTTACCATTAAACAAATAGTGGTTATTTTGTTATTTACGTAACTGAAATTGAATTTTAAAATAGATAAGTAAAGTCGTAATGGAAAGTTTGTATTTATCCGGAACCCCTCAAAATATTTTCAAAATAAAATTTGTTTTGGAAAATGTTACAATAAGATTATATAAACAGAAATTGGACTTTTAATATATACCTAGATCATATTATTATAAAATCAATGGTATGCCTGTAATATATATGTATATTTACCTACTAAAACTTCGTTCTAATATATCTAAATAACTAACTTTCTCGAGTCTGCTCTAATTCACCTCTGTTTAAATTAGAATTTCAGACATACCACACAGTCAAAAAACTTTTTGTAAGACACGCCCGTTATGTATGCTAATAATAAATTTTAAAAAAAAATTCTCTCGAACTGCAGTCACAGTTTTTTTGAAGGTCATTTTTTCTCAAGTATATTCAAGCAATGTTTTTTAAATACGTTTAATTTGCTATTTGATATTTATTTAATAATTTAATTATAGGTTTTATAGGAAATTATACAATTTTGTATTTCCAACTACAATATACTATATAGCCATATAGATATGCACAATGTAAAGGCCCTACTAAAATACGTAGCTAATTTAAAGTTACCTAATTAATTATAATTATGTTAATTTTAGTCTTGTAATATTTATACGTTTTTAATTATAATTTATAATTTTAAATCGATTCATAGGCGTGCGCACAGGGTACGCCAGGTGTGCTGCAGCATATCCCATACTCGGGGCCATATCCGGTGGCCCGTGGACTGCAAATAAAATGTACTCATTCCGAATACTTCCACTAAAAACTTCTTTATAATCCGTGCCATAAGTAACCAATAAATCAAACCGACTGGAAACCACTTACTGCGATAATGAGTAGTTGGGATACGTATCATTGCCTTGGCCCTCTGGGTTCGAGGTTAATCGTAATGATGATAATAATATTACATCTACTGCGATAATAACGCGGAGGCGACGGTTGAAATTCGCCATAATTCTGCGGCGAGAACAATACAAACGCAAATGCGCGTTTGGCAATTAACCGTCGGTAAATGTACGCGCGTAAACAATATAATATTGATGGGTAATCAAGAGTCAAGACGAACAGTCGTGAAAAAACGGAATTGCCTACGCGGGAAGTGAAAAAACGAAAAAAAAAAAAAAATCGCGAACATATACGCATAGGTGGGTAGGCACGTATCTTTTCAACGGTCGTTCCGCTGAACTGATTACGAACGTTTTTGCGTTGCACGTATTGGCCGGGGAAATTAGCATGATCCGCGTAATTTCGCGTTGTTTACGCGAAGACGCGCCGGGAATGATTTACGACGGTCGTTGCGTCTTCGCGGACGTACCGGGTCGCCGGGAGGCGAAAAAAGACGTCGTCGCCGCACGCGACGAATCCCCTCCCCCCCATGGCGCGTGTATTATATTGTCGCGCGTATCGGCGCGAGCGGGTAAATTATCGCAGTAAATTACGATCGGTCAATTAAACACGACAAATGAATAACGGGTTGATTATTGCGGGCGGCGGCGTGGTGAATCGCAGGAGAAAAAAAAAACAAACAAACGAACGACAAAAAACTACAGGTATATTTTAAAAGTGTGCCCCCCCCCCTCCGGCGACGGTCTACGCGCGATAATAATACCGCGTAATTTAATCACGTCCGAGCGAATAATATCATTATTATTGCCGTGTCGGTACGATTTCCGCGCGAAATGACCGGCGGGCGGGTGACGGACAAATTTCCGAAAGAATCCGAACAGATCTGCGCCCATATGAAAATATTCTACAGGTAGGCGGGCGACCGATTATTCGTTACGCTAATTGGAGGTCATCGCGAACGGGATCACGACAATAACCGTTCGGTTTCACGCACGCAAAGACGTGAGTATATAAACGCGGGGCGACCGGCGGACGGCCAAAAACGACGGTCGGACGACGACAACGTTGCGGACTGCCCCTACCGGACTCGTTACTACTACCAGCACTGTCGCTACGCGGGATTTGCCTTGGCCGCAGAACTGCACGGGAAAAAAAAAAATAAATAAATAATAAATACCAAACAATTCCGCTTGCCGCCGCCGATAAACTGATACGAGCAACGTGTATCCGACGCGTTATCAAGTTTCGCCGCCGAACACCGAACAGTTGTCAGCATACAATCCCTAAGCGTGCCCGCTCGTATCCAAACGCTGTAATATTGTAACACCTATCCGTATATTTTTTTTATTTTTTTTCCCCACAATAATATCTAATACCGAGATAGTAGTGTTGCACTCGTCGTGCTCCGCGGTACTCGAAATTCTTTCAATTGCATTTCGCTTTTTTTTTTTATTATTCGTGCCCAAGAGTGTAGGTACGCAGTATATTAGTAACGCACGTGCCGTTGTCTTGCCGTTGCTCGCGTTTGCCTTCGGTTCTTACGCAATAAACACCACTTATGATATAATATTAACAATAATAACATTAATAATAATATAACAACAATAATAATTATATATATAACTATGTACATTTAATTAATATAGTTTATCGCTAATTTATCGGCGATCGTTCATTTAACTATACGCGACTTGTTTTACTAGTTTTTTTTTTATCTAAATTCTTTCCACGACTCAGACAGTCGTAATTTTAACTAATTTGTTTTATTACTCTTCGTCTTACCACCATTATGAGCGACACGTTTTTCGGCGGTATCGAAGGGTAAGTCAGAATCGTTAAATTTTTCATCCACACGGGTACCAATGTATAATGCAATTTAAATACCTAAGTATATCTTATATAATAGGGGAGCTTCAGTTTCCACGGTAGTCATAACCAATGGCAACGGAGACATTTTAGCAGAAATAAAAGGAGAAGGAACGAATCCATGGGTAAATGTATTATTATTTAATAGGTGTTTCCATATGAATAATATTATCCAGTATTTATATTAGTAAATATCCAATTGCATATTTTTTCTTTACTTAATGTTTTGTTAATTTTTTTTTAATCTTTAAATTTTAAATTTGAATTTGTATTTAAGTCATTTTCAAGTGTACCTATAATTTAAGTCAATGAACAGTGTCTTTGTGATTATCATACATCATCTCTGACTTACATTGGCTTTATTACTATTCTTACATTCAATAAATTTTATTTTATTAAGTACCTATGTAATTTATAATTTTATGAGCAATAATGGATTTAATAAGTACTAAAATTAATAATTTTCATTTTTTTTTTTTTTTTTTTTATCTAAGAATATTAATATTTAGTCCAATGCTTTAGAAGGTCAAGTAGATGCATTAGAATTAGATAATATTCTTGTATTAAAATATCAAATACAATGACGTGAAAGTTAAGCCAAAATTGAAATTTATATTATGGTAGTTTCTCCACATTTTGCCATATTTGTTTAACTGAGATTTATAAATTATTTCTTTAAATTATAATCTATGTATAGTTCTTATCACTATAATACCTTCTATAGTACTTTCGATAATACTACCTTCTACAACTGATAAATTGTTAATTTATAATTGTATTTTATGGTTTGTTAATGCTGTAATTTTACCATACGAATAAATCTCAATAATACGTGTATATGATCTTCAATAGCGCGTCAAACTTGATATTTTTAAAAGACAAATATGTTGATGACCACCCAACCCATCTTATTACTCAACAGCTACACAAAAATCCCACTTCTTATATTTTTTGAAAAACCATAGGTAAATAAGGTAAGATTTGAGTCTTATCCTCTTTTCAAAGCTATTCACTAATAGTCCTCAGAAATATATATAATGTTCACGTTCCATTGTCTCAGATGAAAATGGTCCCTCATAGTCCTATTGTTTTGACTTTGTTCCACTTAAAATTTTGAATTTATTCAATCCCATATAAAAATTCTTATAGTTAACTTAAAAAAGAAGACTTTCCTTTTGTAGACTGTATTCTAGATTTAATTTATTATTGTTATTGTTTATGTGTACACATAAAATAAAATCTATGTTCATTAATTAAAATGTATCTTATGTGTATAAGTAAAAACCAAACTAAAATTAATAATTGTTTTACTCACAAAAATTAATTTTTAGATTCTTGGAACTGAACTTTGTTTGTCTCGAGTTAATGACTTAATTAAAGAAGCTCTTAGTAAAGCTGATCTTAACAATAATATCAAACTAAAAGGATTGGTTTGTATTTACAAAAATACGTTCAACAATAAAATGAAAATAATATTATTTATAGGGTTTGAGTTTAAGTGGATGCGAAGATATCACTTTTTGTAAAACGTTTGAAAATAAATTAAAAGAATCTTATCCAGATCTCACTGATGAAGTAGTTGTTGTTAGTGACACATTAGCACCCATTGCATTAGCTTGTGAATCGGGTATTTTTCAAAATTATTTAACTCTCATATGAAATTAGACTATATTGTTAATTAATGAGTAAATTTGATGTATGCTTAGGTGGAGCTGTTATTATTACTGGTACTGGTTCAAATAGTCTACTAATAAATCCTGATTCGTCAATAAAAAGGTGTGGAGGATATGGACATTTACTTGGTGATGAAGGCAGTGGTGAGACAAATTAAATGTTTAATTCTAATGTAGTTCATCATTTTATAAAATAATAGATTATTTAATTTTATTACAAATAAAATAATCAACACATTTTGATTATATTTATAAGTTGCATTAAACGTTCTGAAACATAGAAAATATAGGATTTTAATTAAACCTTTTTATTATGGTTCACCAATAAATTATGAATACAGTTAAGTCTTTATTGGTAAATTGTAGATTCATATTAACACAATATTGTACCATATTATACATATCAATTAATTACAAATTTGGATGCTAAAGTTTTTTATTGATCTAATCTATCAAATAATTTAAATTTAATTTATTTTATTCATTTTAAATTATCATCTATTAACATCTATATACTAATAACTGTTAATTTTGTGTTTTAGCTTTTTGGATAGCATTCAAAGGTATAAAACTATGCTTAGATCATTTAGAAGATTTTAATTATGTTCCAAATGGTTATTCAATTGACAAAGTTTGGGAAGCCATTAAGGGACATTTCAATATTGATAAAGTGTAAAGTATAATATGATACAATTTAAATACAAATATAATCCATAATTGTTTATATAATGTTTCATAACCATTGATTATAATCAGTGTTTTAACTATAATTTTATTATTATTATTATTATTTTTATTTAATTATAATTAAATAACTAATCTGATGTTTATTTACTTAAAAAAAAAAACCTGTGATATGTTTCTTTTTTTCTTTTTAGTTTAGACCTACTGAATGTGTTTTATGGAGAAAAAAAGGAAAAGTCAGAAATTGCTAGTTTATGTAAAACTATATCAGAACTAGCTAAAGAAGGAGATGACCTGAGCCGTTGGATATTTAATGAAGCTGGAAAAGATATAGCAAAATTTATACAATCACTCTATCCAGGTGCTGACAAAGTAAGATTTTTTTTTTTCAACATTATTCTGTAGATAAATAGTACCTAATTATTTAAAAATTATCTAGACAGTAATAATTTAGTTACAGGTTTAAATTTAAATATCAAATTATTTGATTTTGTTAATTATCATTTAAAATCCTAAAACTCATAAATAAAAAGACACTTGGTATATTGCTCAAAACTGAAGAAATCAAAATTATATATTTTTTTTAATATAAAATCATTTACCTACATGATATATAAAAATATTTATAGAAAATACTATTTGTATTATCGTGTTATTTATTTTACAATAATTATTATATTTTTATTATTTTTATATCTGTTAAACTCCTGAATGGCTGTATAATACATACATTTTGTTAATGTTTTAATTGTTTAATTGTTTTTAATCTATAGAAGTTACATAAAGAGCACGGTGGATTGCATGTGGTGTGTGTTGGATCTGTATGGAAAAGCTGGGATTTACTCAAAGACGGATTTTTAAATCAACTAGATCTTCACAACTCAAAAGAACCTAAAGTAAATGAATTAACTTTATTGGTGCTCGAAAAGACTGTTGCACTCGGTGGTGTCTATCTCATTACAAAAAAAATGAATTATAATTATCCATATGATTATGAACATAACTATAAGGAACTTTATCATTATGTATACAACCAACGAAGTAAAAATAATACATTCGCCAACTAAATCAAATTGGTTAGTTGTTAAGTTTTAATCTTATTGGTGAATGTCATTGTATCTTAAATGTATGACTTCAATCATTATTATATACTTGTTATCAGAGCACATTGAATACTGTTATATAGTGAATTTAACATTAGTATCATTTTACTTGGACATTTTAGTTTAATTGATTAGTTATTATTTTTTAGAGAGATCAATTCCCTATTCGGAAACTTGAAAAATAATTAGAAGGATGAAAAAAAGATTAGTGTTTAATATTAATTTTGGCTGTAGGTATTCAAAATAGTTTCTCTAAAGCTGGGGCTACACAAGTGTATAAAATTAATTGTTGAGCACATACTTTTTGACTTGCATCACAGAAGTAAATTATTGGTTATGGGAGCAGGCACACGATTAATGAACACTAATATGGACGTAAAATTTTATCAATGTATTATTTCTTCAATGAACGTTAAACATGTCAATGCCTAAAATAATTAATATTGTTTTTGATGTTAATGTCAGCTGCGTAGTCACATGGACGCATTATTCCGATAGCATATTATTTGCATATTGGTATTTTGTAGTTGTATATTATTTTTGATGTAAAATTGAATAATCTTACTGTTATGCAAAAATAGTTAAAAAAAAATTTCCCGATCTTGAAGTTTTTCTGTACAACTTCACTTAGTGACCATTTGTATACCATTCACAATTTATTAGATGAATCCAGTATTTCCTTTTAGTTCACTTTTATTTCATGTATAAATATTTTAGAGAACCAAAAAAAAAACAAGTTCATCTGGGTCCATATTTTAGCTTTAAAAAAAAAATCTGTTAAAGTACTAGGCATAATACATCTTCAATACTAATTACTAACTCAATAAACGTTTTTTAATAGACGTCATTTCGATGTTCATGTGCCCACTCTATGTGCGCGTTGAAAAGTATGTCTGTTGTAAAACACATATTTTGTATGCTTGTATGGCCCTATCCTAACACTTAACTACAATCTACTTCATTATTATGTCTATATTGTATTTATAAAAATAACATCAGAAACATAATTCAATTTTTAATTTAACTAGAAAAATTCCAATAAAAATGAATTTTATTAATTCATAATCATAATATCATTAGGATGTTGTATCGTCTCAACCATACTTAGCCCGATTTCTTCTATTTCACTGTAATTCACTATTTCACTTACTATTGTTCTTACAACCACTGGCCTTGAGGCGTTTACATATTTAAATAAATGATTATGAAAGAAGCTCACTGTAACTAATTATATATTTTTTAAATAGGTTTAAAGTAAAAATAATAATAAGGCTTTGGAAAAATAAACAGTGTCAATTATTAAACTGTTTTTTGTATCTTTAAAACATTTATAAGTTAATAGATTAAATTAGCAAATTGCAAAAGGGGCCAAATAGTTAAGTATAATTATTATTATTTAAATTATAAATCATTGTTATTTGTTTGTAATTTATTATTTTACTTTTATTTTCATTTGTATTTCACCGTTTTATAAATATTTATTATGTTCTTTTTAACAAAACAAACAACAAATACATGTTTATTTATTTGTATTATATTTTTAAATGTATTATCTGTAGTAAGATGGTAAATTTCAATAAGGATTATGGTGTAACATTTATTTTTAATAATTTATAATATTGTTGTAGTTTCCAAAGGTACTTAAGATATAAGTTACCTGTATGATAAATACTTTATTTTTTAAATACATTATTGATTTGTTATTATTAATTAAGTATTATTGTTTTTCAATTTATTCTCCTTTATGATATTATAATAAAAATTCTTCTAAAAATCTTTATATATTAATGAAATGTATAGCAATAAATTTCTATGGTACTTACATCTAACATTCTACTAGTTCGAATACCTTGGTTTTTTTTTTTTTTGTAAATTAAAGATATTGTGTTTATCAATTAAAAAATAATTAAATTTTAGTTCAGTTACAATTGTTATTTCTAAATATTATAATGCACAGCAAATTGTAACATCTGTTAAACCTACCAAATTAGGATTTTATTTCAATGAAAACACAATTACATAACTGCATCAAAACCAGTGTTAGAGCCCTAAAAATGTTGTGATCATACACTGATTATAAATAAAAGGGGTGGTTGGAATCAATTCTCATCTCTTCTCCCCCAAAATTTTGTTTTAGATTCTAAAATCTAAATTTATATTAATTGCTGCAATCTTAAAAGTATACTTAATTGTATATTGTTAATTATCATAATTTTAAGTAATATTACGGAAATAAATCTGGAATAGTCAAAGAAATTTATGAAATTTTGGAATTTTAATAATTTCAAACATCAATTTCCATTTTCATGAATATTTATAATTTATAATTATAAATATTTACAAACATTTACCTAAATAGGACACTTGAAAATTTCATATAAGGATATATATATGTACAGGGTCAGGGTGATTCAGTAAACATGCTTGGCCCATTTTTTTTGGTTAAATTTTGCATATATTCAAATTCAGATTTTTGAAATTTTTAATTGTAGTTAAAGTCAATATTTTTAGAATATTTTAAATATTATTAATATAATATAAATTTTAATAAATTGTTTTCATTTAAGGAGTATCCTAGATTTTTAAATGAGAACCTTTATTAAAAATTGCATAAATATTATGCTAATAGATGTAATACTTTAAATAAATTTTGGTATTAAAAGTTTTAATTTCCATCAATCCGTTTATGAGATATTTCACTTTTAAGTTTAGGTAGGGTAAAGTAATGAAGCACTAATATAAAACCGCACTCCGTGCTGCCACACAAATTATACTCCACTTCTCTCTTCCAATTTAAACTTAAAAGTGGAATATGTCATTAACAGGTTGACGGAAATCAAAAATTCTAATACCAAAATTTATTTAAAGTAATACTCTGTTTAATTATGGTATCTTTAATGTAGGTTCTCATTTGAAAAACCAAAGTTGTATTGCTACAGGATACTCCTTAAATGTTATGAAAAATCGAAGTATTCGAAAATATAGTCTTTAACCACATTTAAAAATTCGAAAAATCAAAATTTGAATATATGCAAAATTTATAGTAAATCATATATATTAGGGTGGTATATATTTTGTTCCTTACCATGTAAAAGTAATCTATGTGAAATTTGGTCATGATAACTCACCCCTTACCGTGTCCCAAGATGGTTAAAAATGAGGAAATAGGGTATTTTTGTAGTTTTTTTTCACAGATAATTCAATAAATATTTCGATGATCATAAAATGATATAGGAATTTTTTGTAGCTCTTCTTAATGTCTATATAATTTGTTATTTTACAAATTACTGTAAATTAAAAATAATAAAATACAAAATATTTCACGTATTTAGCAAAACTTATTTTTCTAAGGTTATTTAACTGTATTTGTCAAATGGCTAAAGATATTAAACAATGTTTAATATAAAAATGATATAGAATTTAATTTTCTAAGAAAAACTTAAAAGGTATTATTGGGTTGGAAGTTTGGAGATTGTAGTTCCAATGTTACAATGTAACATTTTAGAGCTAATTATTTGTTTAATTGCGAAAGAAAACCATTATGAAAATTAATACTGCTGCAACTAAATTAAAAACATTGTCAACACATCACTGGCTGCAATTGAACTTGAAAATTTATTTTTAGTCCTTTTAAAAATCATTTACATGAATATAGATTTAATATAAATATCCATAGGTATATATTTATCCCTACATACTCAACCTAATCCATAATCATATTAATGGTTACTAATGACTTCTGAAAACTTAGAAAAGTCAGGGAATTTCTGTTTTAACAAAAATTAATTATTCAAAATTCAAAAAATATTATAGATATTTTTATAATAATAGTATCTATAATTTTATCTTACATTATAATTTGTATGGATATTATTTTATTATATATTTAATTTTAAGTTAAACAATTTTAATAACACTATTATACTATATTAACAGTATAAATACTATAGCTATGTTATCATTATATTTACTTTAGTTATGTTTATTCATTTTGTTATTAAAAATCTTCAAAAATAATAAAAGTTACAAACACATATTATTTGTTTACTCTATAGTAAACCTTCCTAGAAGAATCATGGATAAGTCAAAGAAAATTCAAAATAGAATTTTGTAGTAACCATGAATTTATAATTTCAGTGATAGAACTGTAGATGTATACAATAATAAGTAGGTAGAACATTTAACAACAACAAAAAAAATTCTCATAAAACATTTTTGTTTATTCATTTAATACAAATACCATTTGGCATCTACTACCTATATAATTAAAGTTAATAAAAAAAAAAATAACAATAACTATAAATAATTATAGATAGGTAAGTATAGGTATAATCAAAATGCTATTGCTAATAAATTGAAATAATATGATTATAACAGAGGAGTGGGTGTCAGTTTGGTATGAAGGAAATTCCAATGCTATTTCACACCAATATATTGTAATGTGATTTTATTGTGTGTTTTAATTATTACAATTTGATTGTCACTGTAATCGGTTTTGAATAATTTTTTTCGGTGTGAGCGTGCCCTTATCAAAACCACCCTTGCCATAAAATTGGTGAGATATTTTATTTAAAATAAATGTACCTACTCCAAATGTTATAATCAATAATAATAATTAAAAAAGATACTCTATAGTGAATATATATAGGCAGGTACTTGCCATACAAAAACAATAGGCTGTGTATAAAGCAGATTATTTTTTAAGAAAGTTTTCTATGTTCAAATGGATATCCCGGGGTACAAACAATTTGCTTAATGCGTGTCCACTTAAATGGTAAATTATATATTATGTATGTGTAATTTTTTATAAACGATCAAAATCAATATTTATTCTTTTTTTTTTTAAATTAACAATTGTTATATGAATTTTTGATTAAATAACGTATTGTGCTTAATCGTAATTTTGTGTATAATAATATTATTTTAGAATACTTTGCTTAAAATCCTAATTGGACGAATAATATTATTATGTAATAAAATACCGATTTTGTAATATAAAATATTGTAATTTGTTTGTGTTCAATGGTTTGACCGATTGGGTAATTATCTAATGGTATTTTAATACTTTTGTTTATTTGTTAAAAGCTGTGGAGCAGGTGGACGTTCAGTAAAATAAAAAAATAAAATATCCAGAAATGTATGTAATAAAACGACATGTGGAACTACGACCTGCATTGATTGAATTATGTAAAATTATGCAATAATCTCGTAACGGAACCTATATAGTATTTTAACGCTAATGAGATGTTATACGATGACAATAACGGTATGATGTATTATAAAAAAAAAAGTAGCTAACTTAATAGACAAAACACGAAAAATAATACCTAGGTTAAAGTGGGGAATAAAACATTATATCGTTACACAGATGATGCATTTTTTTTGTTTCAATTAACGGATAAATCTTACGATATTAAAGTCTCTGTAGGTAGGTGTGAACGATAAACGTCGCATACCTAATATAAACATAAAATATAATTATTACTATTATTATTCATCGAATACATGCAAGATGCAACAAAAACGTGCACGGTATTATGAAACAAAAAAAAAAATGTTCACGATTGCCGTGATTTCGACGATGAAGGGTATTATTAATTTAATTGTGTTATATAGGTTATTTGTTGTGTCGGTACACGCGAAATCGATTATGCCGATTACTGATATTCTCTCTATTGAAATGTTAAAAAAAAAACAACACAATTTCAATAGGCCGAGTGAATGAGGGGTCTGCTGGTAGAAATGCACAAGTGGAACAACATCGATCTACATTAGAAATATCAAAAACAATATTAGGTATATTAAAATATTATTAATGGGTTTTTTTTTTTTTTTTTTATAATTGAAATTTAATAATAATTAGGTACTTATATAAATGCATTTAAATTCATTTATACATTTTAATTGAACCCGGATTACAATTTTTGCGAAACGCCTGTTACGGTGGACTTGTACAAATGTCATCATAATATTATATTATGTTATAAACGTATAAATAGAGCTGGGATTTCAATGCACTTAGTTCTCCAAAACTTGGTTACACTACGATGATTGTTTTGTTACAAATTCGTTTCGTGTACTTTTGAACGAGAATAAAAAATGATTTCTAGAAGAAAAGTTGTAACAAAAACTAAAAAAAAAGAAGTAACTTCTAAATTATTTATTTAGATTTTTTTTTCATGTTTTAATCACAGTTTTAGAAACTTTCTTTTAACATTTTTAATCTAATCAGTGCATTAGGGAAGTTATAGTTTTCTAAATAACAGTTTTGAGTTTTTATAGAGTACCTATCTAGTCGACGTTATTATTTTTCAAAAATACACGAAACGAATTTTGTAGGTACTCATACCAATGCAACAAAAACACAATCTGAGTTTTGATATTGCTACACCTATTGTCAGATACCTAATATAATAATAGTTTTTTATATACATTATTAAAAATCTTGTTAGCGTATAAATATTTTCAGTAAAATTTCAAATTCGAATTTTACATTTAAAAACTTTCAAAACTCTCCAAAAATGCTTTAAAAAGTAAAAAAGTTTTATATTCGTTCAAAAGTACACGTTATGAATACGTAACAAAACAATCATTGTAGTGTAGCCAAGTTTTGGAGAATAAAGTGTATTGAAATCCCTGCTCTATTTTTGCTGGATGGTCAACAATAAAAATTTGATTTTGTATTTTTTGAATAATTTGTTTTCATTTTTTGGGTGAATTACTTTTTATTTTTAATAAGGGTTTTTTGGTTTTTGGAGCATTAACTGTTACATTTCCAGTACTACTATTATAACTTTTAGTAAATCTGGTAAGTTAAGTTTAAACGCATATGAGGAATAACGTTGTTTTAATATAAAACAATAAATTATCCGTTGTTTTTTTTTTTTTTTGTACAATAAACGAACGAGATAAATCTTATTTTTATAAATATTAGATAAAGGTAACAATAATATGTAATAAATAAAACAACTAAATAATATTAATAACTAAACAATTGTACACAACATTATTGTTTGTTTTACTAGTAAGTACTTGAAACACTTTACGCTAAAATTCGTTTCAAGAACAACATTGAATATAATATATTATTATTTTTAATAATGATTCACGTGTTTGAATTTGCCTAAAATATTATAACATCGAGAAGTTTGTAGGAGGTATGTATACATTTTAGTAAATAGTTCACTAATAATTAAAGGTATTATATAGGTAACAAAAATATTTAATTTCGAACCGACTTAACGGCGTAGGTACACACATTTAAAATTTAAATGAATATTACATATACACGCGGATAAAAACTATATAAGTAAAATAAAGGAACTCTATACATTAAAAAAAAAACTGCGTTATATATTTCAAAAGTTGATTATTATAATTTACCCGCCTAAGTACATAATATTTCGGTAATGAATCCGTTAGTGTATTAAATTTCTACCGGTAATTGATAATGACGTACGACATAAAGTACCTATACCTATACGTAAAAGTACCTACTCGTACCTATATCATTACCTATAATTAATATAATATCGTATTCTATAACGTCGATTTGCGTACAGCTAAGCTTTTCATGTTTACAATTTTGTATTTCATTCACGACATTATATAGCTAGGTACCTGCAGATAATCAAATAAATACGCAGTTAACACGCTTATTGATTTTTCAAAGTATTGATTATAATATGGGTACAGGGTACATAATACAATATGTGCAGCTTATTTCGGACACAGATTCTATACTACCGTTGCATAATTACATTTTCAAAACTTTGAAGTCAACGTTTTAGATTCCGAGTGGTGCGAAGATTATGGTTTTACATTGATGTTTATTTAATTTTTTTCTGTGGACAACTTTTCTACTAGCAATTTTGCTCAGATTTATAATGAAACTACTTTTTTTGAAAAAAAATCTGGCTGGGGAGGTACATTAGAGAGGTAATTTTTTAATTTCCCTAGGAATTTTCCCAATAAATGGGAAAAACGGAGAAATAGGTAAAATATGAAATAAATATTTTCAAAGAAAATATAATATAATGCATAATATGTACCTAATTATTTTACCATAACATGACATATATATTGTTGACAAAGTAACACTGTCAACTGCACTCTGCTTAAAATCGTTTTTTTGTTAGTAGTGGTTAATCGTTGTTTACAGATATACATTAAATTATCTATAATAGTTGCACCTGTCCCCATTATCTTAGGACAGCCTTTTTAATAATGTTTCAGTTAATTACTATATATTATATTCGAGTCTCGCCATGAAATGCATAATACAAACTATCGACTTCAATAAACAAAAAAAAAAATTAATGATAATATAGTAAAATAATAATAATGTGTTCTACATCCCCGGTTGTCTATTTTAAAATTTCCAAAAAATTCCATTTGTGTTTTGATACCTTAATTGAGATAGGTATTAATATTACATTTTTATCCATGTTAACAATATACCTACCTAATAGTGCATTTCAAAGGAAGAGTATTTTTTTAAATTTATTAACAAAAAAACCAAAAAAAAACAACTTATTTAATGTTAGGTCGTAGGTACCATTAATTATAAATCTATTTGAATCAATAATTCCATAATATTTAATAATAACTAATTACTAAGTTACTAAGTACCTATCGAAAATATAGTTGTTTCAACGAAAATTCACTTTGTTGAAAAGTGTAACATTTTTTTTTGTCAAAAATCTGTAGTTTTTAAAATGAACCAAGTATTACTATTTACTACAGTTTTAGATTCGGGGTAGCGTAGCGAGGGATCTATAGGTTTTATAACGATATATGCTTTTAGATTCTGAGTGGAGTGAGGAATGTATAGGTTTTACAATGATGTTTATTTTTTTATCTGTGAACAACTTTTCTACCAGCAATTTGCTCAGATTTACAAATATACGACTTTTTCTGAAATCTGATTGAGGAGGTACTTTAATGATGTCATTTTTCAATTTTCTTAGGAATTTTTCCAATAAATTGAAAAAACGGGAAAATAGGTACAACATGAAAAAAACAATATTATTAAAGAAAATGCATATGGTATTATTTTACCATAATATGACATATATATATATTGTTAGCAATGGTTAATTGATGCGTACAATTAATTCTCTCCTATATCCAACCTTCCCAACTTCCCACCAACAAAAGTAGCTGAAACTGTCCCCATTATCCTAGGATAGCTTTTTTTTTTCTGTCTGTAACCAGTGTAAACAACTTTTCAGAAAGAATTTTACTGTGATGCATAGAGTACAATACCTTTTTTTAAATGAAATTTCGTCTAGTTGATGCATTAGAAAGTTCATTTTGATTTTCCAATAATTTTCTGAAATAATTGGGAAAACCCCCTCAAAAAATAAAGAAAATAAATGGTAAACGGCAAATATTTATGGCGCGCCGGGACGTTACCGATTTCAATGTTTTTAAATTTTACAACTTATATTTTCTACCAGAAATATTGCTCCAGTAGAAAAATTATAAGATATCGATTTTGATGACATAATTTTGAGAGTTTTTTACGTCATTTTCGGTAGATACTCTGTGGATAAAATAGTTAAAAGGAATGCTACACGTAAAAATCGAAACAAGTTTACTAGGAAAAAACGTGTCCACAGTCTAAAAGAAAAAAAAATTAATATCTTAGAAAAATCAATAACTCCCTCGCTACGCTCAGAATCTAAAAGGTAGGATATGGGAATTTAATGTTTTATCTGTAAGCAACGTTAAACTATTGCTTACCGATTCTGAGCGGAGTTCAGTTGATAGTGATGCTTTGTCAACAATATGTATGCCATGTTATGGTAAAATAATTAAATAGACTTCATATGTTTTCTTTAATAATATTTGTTTAATGTTGTACTGAAAACTCCTGAAAAAAATCGAAAAATTACCCCTTTAAAGTACCCCCCCCCCCAAGTGAAATCAGTACAAATTTTTTTTTTTTTTTGGTAGGTTAGTTTACTTTTAATTAATAGATACTTAAATTGCCTAGCTTAAAAAATAAAAATGTTAGAACCCTCCTTTAAAAGGGGTTTTTCCATCATTTTTTGTGTTCTTTCCTGACGCTGGCCGGTTACTTTCCCTTGGAACGAATTGTATATTAGTATGGTCCTTATTTTTGATTTTAAATAATTTTGTGTAACGAGCTTAGTATTTTATAAGGTAAAACAGCTTAAAATTGGTATTTTTGAAATTTTAACTGTTATAAATCTACTAACTTTTAGATCTACTTTTTACATGTCACGATAATTTTCACAAAAATGTAAAGAGATTATGTACGAAATCGTTTTTACAATAATAAAGTTTCAGATAAATTGTTTGTTTGTTAAAAGTTCAAAAAAGATTAACGCAAAAATAACCCTTTGAGGCAAGTGAAGGAGTTGACTTATCATATTCAAAATGTACAATTATTTTTATAATGTACCTACCTCACAAAAATTCCGTACCCACGAATTCAAATATTTGACACTTATTTTCAACACCCGTGGCTAAGGACCATCCTAATATATATATATATATATGTATATTATAATTATGATATTGGGTATTTTTGTCTGTATTTGATTATAAAATTAAAAGCCATAATACATAAGCAGAGTTTTAAAATAAATAACAATATTATACATAAATAATGTACTATTATTTCAATTTTAAGAACTAGAACTAGTTCCTATTTAAAAAGAATTACCCCGTCAATATGTATTAAACATAGAAAGAAATCTCAGATTAAATTATTTAATATGTCTAATACATATTAATATGACTATCATTAAATATCTAAATAATAATGTTTACCTAATTCCCGATTTAAACAGTTGTCTCCTTTAAGTGAACGAAGTTCTTGTCATCGGGAAGTTTAGAGTCAAACAATGTTCTTTCCCATACATTTACTTCTGTAAAACCTTTTAAAATCATAAAAATCAAAAAGTTTAACGGAAAACTAAGTTCAATCATGCTTGGTGCATAGGTACAATCTTTAATAGGTGCTTTATTTTAAATCAACTTTTTCCGGAAAATTGGAAAATTTCAAAAATCAACAAAATATAATTGTAAGTGCGAAACAAACAAATAATGCTGTATATAATTGACATATGTGCATAAAATAAAAAAAAATTATACAATAACTAATTAGTTCTAAAATACATGAATATAAATCATAATTATTTAATAAGAAATTGTTAAAATATGAATACAAATTAAGAAGAATCTATTGTTTTCCAATGCTTTTTTAAATTCAATATATTTATAGTAAAAAACAATAAATAAAATAAAGTACTGACTTATAATAATTCTATCCTAGTTCTATAATATTTAATAAAAATAACTTGCAATATATTATCGTATTCCGAAAAACTTTTAGGCAATTCAATAAGGGAACAGTTAGGTTTAGATAAATAGATATTCTAATTTCTTTAGTTCTTTAGGGATAACTTTTAATTTTTCATTGCAGGTATTCTCTATACAGGGCCATTCAAATTTGCCATAAAATATTAATTTTTTTCAAAAAATTACTTATGTAACAACTTTTTGGAATCATATATTCTAAAATGTTACATTGTCCTTATTTTTAAGAGTAAAACAACTACCTATTTTTGATTTTTAAATTGCAATCTATATTAAGAATTCCATAAATAGATAAGATTAATTTAAAATTATGTTTGTGTTGAAATCATCAACTCGTAAATGAGATATTCCATTTTTTAAGTCTGGATAAGGGGAGAATAGTGGACTATTCAAACGTTGCACATTGTAATATTATTCAAATGCTGTTCTACTACCCTCCTACTATTCAACCTTTTTTTAATTTTTATCGAACCTTTGTAAAAAAACAATTAGTTACAAAAGTTAGTATTTACAGTGAATCAAAACTTAAAATTAGGTAAAACTTCAAAATACAATGTATCAAATCAGTCTGATTGAAAGAGATAATGGTTAATAGTATTATCAGAGTTATTTGGTAAGAAAAGGATCGATTGAGAATTAAAAGAGATATTGTAGGAATTTATTAGAGTAAAGAGAGAAATTTGTTCAAGTATAAGAGAAAGACAATGAAAAATAATATAGCAAAAATCTCAAATCGATCTGGAGGTGCGGAGAGTACAAAGAGAGAAGATTCGTTGAAGGAAAGCTTGTAGGAATAGGGTGGGAGTAGGGTATAGTCTATTAGCTAAGTCTAAGGTAAGCGAAAGAGGAAATTGTTTTCCACTAAGATTTAAATTGTGAAATCAAGGTTTCAGTAGTACTACTATACCACAGGAACCTAAAATCTCTCCTACTGGAAAGATGTTCCTATAACAGGTAGCAAAACTAGAAGGCCGACTTGACCATTGATTAAACTACATTTGGTCAAAGTGAAATTTTAACATTAGACAAAAATCAGTTTAAGGAATAAGAGAGGAAGAAGGACTGAGTAGAGAAGAGGTGGATTTAGCCAATGAGTCTATTATTTTGTTGCTCTGGATATCTGAGTGACAAGGTATCCATAAAAACTCAATCATAAAACCAGAGAGACTAAGGCCCTCCTGACACGATGATACTCAAAAGAAACTGCAATCGCTTGGATACTAGAATACCAAGGCAACTAAATTTTCCAGTTATGATGGAATATCTCGTCAATGAGTTAATGCAAATCAACAATTTTATCACCAAAATGAATTTAAATTAATACTACAGCTATTTGTGGAATTTTAAAAAATATGTTTTAATTTGAAAATCAAAAGTGGGGTAATCATTTCACCCCGAAAAATAAGAAAGATAAAAATAATTGCAATGTAACATTTTAGAATAGATGTATGATGATTTCAAAAAGTACTTAAGTCATTTTTTTAAAAAATAAGTATTTCATGGAAAATTGTACAGTAGTATTAAATTTGAATTACCCTGTATATCAAATTTAAAGATTTGAAAAGTATAGATATGATTTATAGACAAGGTGATCAGGTTAATTTTAATCAATTGAAGTTTTACAATATAATATTTAATTCAAAGGATACCTAAATCATATAATATTAAAAAAAAACATATCCGAATTTAACTTTCATTTTCTTAAGTCTATAGGTAGGTACTTAAAATGATTATAGGCATTTTTTTAAATTTTAAATGTTTGTAGTAAGGAATATCAAGAAATATTTCCAACATTCAATGGATAGTAAAAAATTAAATTATTTGTTTCAACCTACTCGTACTTATAATTAAAAATTTGAATAACCAAATACATTATTTAATTAAAATAATAAACATTTTTACATTATTATTATTAAAATTATTACTTTATGTTATATTACACTTTAAAATTCTAATAAAATGTAAAATGCAAACTAAATGAAATGGAATTAATTATAATTTATTTTATTATGTTACCAGAATTTTTTTTTAAATTTTAAAAAATTCCAACTATTTGGGGTTGGTACTGTAGTCCTAAACTTTCACTTGAACAGATGCATACACTTAATTTCCTCATATTATCATTCTCAATCATATTCAACCACCTCTTTTGGTATTCCTATCCCCCTCTATCGCCTGTTTATTTTCATTCAAATTCTTATTGTTTCTCATTTCTCTGTTCTCATGGCATGCCCAAACCATATATCAGTCTATTTTCCCTCATTTTGTTCACTATTGAAGCCACATATATCTTGCCTATATCCTAGGTACTTAAAACTCTCAACCTCGCTTATAATGTTACCACTTATTGTCATTAGGTGTCTATCCTGTTCCTCCAAAGTCATACTCCATATACTCGGTTTTACATTTACTTATCTTTAGTCTTCCTTCAAAAGCTACTCTCCATTTATCAGGCCTATTATTAAATCCTTTTTCTCAATTTATATAATCTGCAAACATTATGCACCATGGTATCTTACCTAGTACTTCCTAGGTAATTTCATCCATTACAACAAAAAATAGGTAAGAGCTTAAAGCCGACCCCTGATGCATACCTACTTTAACCATAAAATCTCCTGTTATTCCACATACACACACACAGACACAGACACTTCTTACACTCACATTTGAACTTTCATACATATCCTCTATCATATTTATATGCATCATTAGTAAATTCAAAATATCTTAAAGAATATAATATTATGAAAAACAAATTCAAATATAAATTTAGTTAAGTACCTTTATCAATAATGTAAATTTATTATTATTGATACAAAGGTATTAAATTTCTGGTTTATTGTACAAATATCTCTAAAACATAATACAGAACCTATAAAATAAATTTTCATTAAAAGTAACATGATTATTCATATTATATATGTGAAGGAAGTAGATATGTAAAAAAAAAATAATTTTTATAAAAGTGAAATACTTTATTCTCCTCTTTAGTTCTTTTAGTAAGGCTAAGTAGTTAAAGTCTAATTTAAGTGCAAGGCAGCGCTGAATAATTATCAATCATATTGTGTGTGTTATTATAGAAAAGTATCAAACAAATTAGTTAGAAAACAAAAAAACAATATACAACAATTTAAATTTAACAATTGTAAAAACATTGATTGATTGCCTTGATTCTGAATAATTATAAAAACAAAAATGTGATTAAATTCTTTAAGTTAGTGACTACATTTCTACAAGCAGTATAAAGGTACATTAGCACACACACAAAAATTAAAAATTAAATATTTAAATAATTGTTTTAAATAGGAACATATTGAATTAGAATGATTTTATCACAATATAATATTCAAGTTATATAGGTATTTATTTTTCGATTGTTAGGTTGTTTACCCAGTCAAGATTATATTAGATATTTAAATTACAGAATATAAGAATACCAATTTATTGTTTTTATATACCACATACATCTGTTATAGATTTGATGAAATTGAAAAAAAATACAAAACTTAATTGCACTATTGTAAATTAAATTAACATACTGAAAAATTAGGTACCCAAGATCAGTGTGAGGAAACGTTTTTGGAGGTTTTTCACAATAAATATTTTTTTTATTCACGGAACTAAATGGTATCATGTGTTAGACAATAATGTTGTATTAACCTGTTTGGTTTTTGACATGCAATTTTCAAACAATAGGTATGTAAATTTGTAGGTAAAAATTTTTGTGGCGGAACTAAAATCTGGTAAAACAGTTTCATTTTTAAAGTGAAACCAATAGTTAGCAAGAAATAAAATCCAATTTTTAACAGAAACAATTACTCATGTTGTTCTACATTGTATATTATAATTTGTCAATTTGTTTTAATCTCAATGGTACAGAATATATAAATAACTTAATTATTTCACCATTATTTATGCTATCCAAACACAATATTACCATATATTAAGACAATAAAATGGCATACTATACATTCCTCCTAATTTCCTGGTTTACTAATAAATAGGAAATTATTATTATTATTAAGTACCTAATTATATAAGTAAACTTTAAATCTAATTTATTACCCTAAATAATAATTTGTTTCAATTTTCAACTAAAATAAGTAAGTATTGAATAAATTTTATAAGTGATTACATTTGTAACTCATGGGCGTGATTAATCAACAAAACAAACACACAATGTTTTTCACTAGTCAATAGTCATAAAATATAAAAAAATATAATATTCGTCTTGAGTTGTATGTACAACTGTGTATGAGTTATATAACTATAATTCTATAGGTAAATCCAATTAGGAAGTATGTTATACTTAAAATAATTAAATTTTAATATTATGGCACAATAATTTTGATTATAATATTTTACAAGAATTGTTAGGGTCTCTATGAGTTATCTTTGTTTCTGTCAATTGACGTTTGTCAAAAAGTTTTCTAAATACAAAAGAAGAACACCATTTAAATCGGTTTGTTGCTACATGATCAGATTCACTGTCAAAATTAACAGGATAATCATCAGTAAGTATTTTTCCCTCATCACTATTGTATTTGTTTTGCTTATCATCACATGTTTCATTATCTGCAATCTCCTCGAACCAATCTTCATCCGACGAACTATGGTGACTTTGATACCTTTGCAAAGGCATGCTATTGAAACTAGCATTCGACTTGAGTCTAACTCGTCTATTATGCTTCCACGCTTTTTGCATAATCATCGGGAATTTCCATTTGTGTGTTTTGCAAATGCAATTAGATACAGGGAATATTATACTGTTTTTATTTGTCCAGTGTTTATCGGATTTTATTTTACATAAATCGCCAGAAGTAAATGACTGTGAACTATGTGCTATGTAATGGCTTTCTAATGAATTTTGTTTTACAATGGCAAATTCATGATAATCTATGGGTTTAGATGTAGTTATTGGTGTTGGAGGGATTTTATCTACTAATAACGTTTTATCCGGTACAACTGTGTTTACTAATGAATCTACAGATATGTGATCACCCAACAAAACATGCAGTGGAATTTGGGTTTCAGTAGCCACACAGTTAAGCATACAAGCGCAATCCACTCTGTCCACTATACCTGCATTGTTCATAATATCACATTTCAAGTACACAGGCTGAAAAACACAATAGCATATTGTCATTTTTATGACCATTACATTTTTAATAACATCATTAATAATATACAATATATGTATACATGAAAAAGTGTAAGTATTTGTTATTATTGAAATTATAATTATTGGTATTAATTTATTAAAACATAAATACAGTATTGACTTTTAAAACATTAATTTTGCAATTATAATTCACTTAAACATTTTTTTTGTTTTAGATTCTGAGTGAAGGGAAGAATATTTTGGTTTACTGTGGTGTGTTTTTATGTGTCTGTAAATAATTTTTATACCAGAATCTTGTGGCAATCAAACAATTTAAAGGTACTTTGTGGTAATTTTTGATCTAATTGGTGCACTGAGGAGGTCATTTTTTGTTTTTACTTTTAATTCTCTTGAAAAATTTAAAAAACTGGTAATGTTTCTGTCGATTTCTAGATTACCTTGGCAACAAGGTAAAAATATGACTAATAATAATCTGCTCACAATAGTTGTTCATTAGCAATGGTTTATTGTTGTATATAGATATCAATTAAATTACTCTAAAATCTTTCCTTTTAACTTTTCTCCTAAAATAGTGACACCGATCAGCAGTATCAACCTTTTTTTTTTAAATTTTATTTCAACAAGATTTTGTATTATATTTTATACGGGCTTTTAAAATTATACTAATAAAAATTTCAGTAAATTATTATTAGTATGTAATATATTTAATAAAGGTTACTACTTACTATTAAACAGATTATACAGTTATAATATTTTCAACCAATATTATTTTATTAATCATTAGTTTGAAATGACTAGTTTTATTAATAGTTTCTACTCATATTTTAAATCTATTTAAAAACAATAATCTTTTTTATAATACCTTATGGTCTCCCATGCATGTATTTTTTCCAATCAAATCATATTCCACTCCAAAATAGTTTTTGTCTTCAAATCCCTGAAATTAATAGTATTCATTCATATTGAATATGATTAAAGTAGATTTTAAATCATTAAAAATGAAATTGAAAAACTTTAAAAAATTGATATACAATCATTATTACTTGACCTAAACCAATATTTGGCCCAAACATTTAAAATACTATATAAATCTATAAATTAGTTCAACAATAAGTATGCATAAGTTACTTCTGTGTTCAATTATATCAACATATCCAATAAATTTATACTTTAGAATCCATGAGCATGTTCACCACCCAAAAAATGTTGGGCAATATCTTATAAGTAAATAATTAAATATGTAAAATGTAAACTTTAATGTGAGAATGAGAACTATACAGGGGAGACAAGTATTTAGATGAAGTTAAAAAAACTGATTTGCTTGGGTTGGTCATATATGGTGCAAAGTAAGGTCTATGCTGAGATTAGTACAAGATAAGTCAAGTGAAATAAGGCCAATAGAGTGAATATATAGTCCAATTATCTAGCTATATTGCCTTAAGAAAAATTTGAATACATTTTTAATCATTATTCATTATTCATTATACTCTATATCCAATTATTGTAAAAAAAAAAACACACAATTAATTAGCACGGAACACATTTTAAAGTTTACATTGCATTTAAATAAGTTCAAATCACGAATAATAATTTATAAATTTATAATAATAATTACTTTTTTGTTTAATAAAAGTCTAGCACCAGCACTTAAAACAACTCTATCACACCAAGCTGGGCACCTGGTTTTCATATAGTTCATTCCTTCATGTTCATTTTCTTCAAATGGATAACTTGGTTGAAATTGTATGGGAAATTCAAATAATTGATCATTAAACGATTTTAATTCATGATCAAAATCTTTTAACTGAAACATACAAGTTTTTATATTTAAAACAAAATGAAATCAAGAAAATACAGTACAGAGTATGATATATTTTATCTATTCATAATGAAAAAAGTTAATATTTGTAAATTATTTAAAATATTATAAACCTACTAATTAAAACTATATTTATTTTCATTTATTTTCTAAATGCAATGTAATTTATAGGGTATTTAGTATAAAATTATATTTTTTAAATTAATAAGAAGCGATAATATGAAAATAATATACAAGTAACAGGGTCAGATTTACACATTATATTATTTTGATTTATTTATTTCAAATTCTTGCAGACATTGTCCTATTTACAATATATTAATAGTGATAACAATAATAATACAAGTAGTAACAAAGTAATGTTAACAATTTTTAAATTATAAGTACACAATAATAAGTTTAAAGAGAAAAAAAAATATAAAAACAAAAACGAAACAAATTATTAATTATTTGAATAAATCACATAGATTATTAATTAGTAGATCGTTGCCGGAAAACATATTTTTTCTGATTAATCACTATGACCAATTGTATTACCTTCCCAGATTATTTAATATATTAATTCTGTTTAATTGATCTAGATCTATTTCAGGCGTAGCACATAATATGTTGTTTTTTTTTTTTTGCGAAATTCTAAATTTCTGTACTGACTAGCTTATAAGATTTTTTCTAGAGCTATTAAAAATTAATTTTTATTTTCATCCCTTAATAATTAAAAAAAAACTGTATTTATTCACATTACAGATTTTCAAAATAACCACTTTGTAAAAGACATTATTCTAAAATTTTTAATATATCATATATTTATACCTGATTAATAGTTATTTCATTATAGCTGTTAAAATGTCTAGAAAATAGGCATAAAAGCAATTCATTTTCAATAGAAAAACAAGTTAACCAGTTAGATAACCCCTTATCTTTTATTGCAAATTAATTGCTTTTATACCTATTTTCTAGACATTTAAATGGCTATAATTAAAAAACAATTAATCAGATATGATTATATGATACATTAACATTTCTAGAACAATATCTTTTACAGTGGCTATTTTGAACATTTCGTAAAGTGAACAAATAATGTTATTTTTTTTTTTAGTAAATTAAGGGATGACAATTTAAAAAATTTAAAATAAGGGAAGAGATTAAGCTATTTTATAACAAATATGTTATTAGGGACTATGATACATTAAATAATCTTACACTTTATTAGGAATGCATTATTTTTTTAAATGTGTGTATTATATTTGTATATAATATTTTTAATTACAATAAATTATAAAATATTTTACCCAAGATCCAGTTTTTGACACAAATGTATTTTGATGGTCTGAATGGCAGAACTCTTTTTTCTTCAAAGTAAAAATAACCTATAAAAAAAAAAGTAAGTAAGTTATTAGATACTTTAATGAGTATAATGAAGATATAAAGATGCAGTTATTTAGTCATGCAAAAAAAATAGTTTTTTCTTTTACAATTTATCAAAAAAATGTAAATTATTATAATTGAATAAGTTACATTAATGCTACTTCATGAAAATAAATTAAAATTACAGAATATTTTTTTCCTCAAGTAACAAAATTATGCAATCTATATTAATATTCAATTTTTTTAAATTTAGTATAACTTTTTAACTTACTTCTTTAGAACTATCTGTATACTGAACAACTAAATTATCATTGTCCAAGTTATCTTTTACCATATCCAATCCCTCGACTAATTTCTACACAATAAAATTTAATATTACAACCAGATAGATAAAAATCTAATACTTCAAGAAAATAATAAATTTACCTTTATTACAGCTTTAGTATCTGTGCGAAAATTGAAATCTCCGAATAAAAAAAATGGAGCAAATCCAAAATCATAATTACGAAGCCTATAATTATACAATTATATAAGAGAGATTTACAAATGTACCATTAAATAAAAACCCATTTTTTTTTTTAAAGTAGTATTGCATACTATAATATAGTAAATCATTACCTTTCTAAAGTATATGCAAGCGCTTTTTGTCTCATGATAGAATAAATAGAAGAGTGCTAAAATAAAAAAAGAAAAAAATTAATTAAAAAAAAAGAAAAAACAATATAAACAAATAACATGATTTCAGTCACATATCATCAATCATTTATGATACATCTCATAAAAACACAGACTTAAAAACACAATTACAAATGCTATAACTTAAACAGTTGACCTTCAGTCATCAATACAGCTTCATATACATTAGATGGCAACATAGTTTTAATGAAAGAATATCACATTTTATTATTATTGAAATTATTTATTAATTTTCAATATCCATTTGAAACTATTACAAAACATTTTTTATATAATATTTAAGCACATAATATATTATTTGATACATAAATTTCTCAAAATTGGCATTTGATTTAATTTTATAATGATCACCATGTATACACTTAAATAATAAGTGTCTCTTATTCAATTATAAATTGAAAAAAGTAAACAATATTTTAGTAATGATTTAAATAACCAAACAGTGCAAATTAAAGTACTTATAATTAATTGATTAATGTCTCCGCAATAAAGGCACACAAATAGTAGTAAAAAAATTATTTTTAAGTAATCTAACTTATATATATGGCTCAAAAATATATTTATTTACTCACAGATTCCATTGCAGTAAAATTGGATGCGTCATGAAATAAATGAATATTTACCAAATCAAATACAGAACCATTAAGCTTCCATCTAGTTCTCAAGAATCCTTTACGAGACCACTTACACTAATAAATAATAACAATAGATTATTTTATGTAAACTTATTTTAAATTCTGAACAGATGTAATAGTTTAACAATATTTCATTTTTGTTCAATTGATATTTTTGGAAGTACTTATCTATTAAATATGCACAGAAATCAAAAAGCTTCATATAGAATTATTGAGTATGTATACTAAATGTAAAGAGGTCATTTTACAAATTTCTCAGATTGATAGCCTAAAAATTGGAAAAAATAGCAAGGAAAAGAAAGTATTAAGAATATAAAGAATACATTTATAACTCCACTCAGAATCATTTACTATCTTTTATAATTATCATTTTAGAATTAAAAATAATAATATACCTCTATTCTATGCTGAGATTAACAAAACAAAAAATATTCTCAACAACTGAATACCTAGCTAACTTAAGAAGTGTTTATTACCTCTGGGAAAAATTCTTGGGGGAACTTTGACTTTTCTTTTGTAGTAATATGTTCAATATTCCCAGAATATACAGTTCGTTCAATGACAGGTAAAAACTCTTGCTCTAAACAAAAATAAATTTAATAGTAATTATTAGAATTATTAAAATTATTAGTAACTAGCAAAATATAAATCATAATTATGTGAAAAAATGTTACTTTAAATCATACACTATTTGAAAGTATTTTCAGCTACTGGTTTAATGATATTAATAAAAGTAAAACCATAGAATATAAATTTATTTTGAATAGCGAGGATATTAAAACACAAAAATCAATATCCTTCTTTACTAAATAATTTAGTCACATAAAATTGGTGTTAATATTCATTATACTTAGTTGACTAATAATAACATGAACATTTTGATGATTACAAAAAATAGGGTAAAAGTAAATGATTCCCAATAAACGCCAAGACTTTAATGTGCATTTGATTTTATGAAATGTATCTAAGCTTCCTACAAAAACAATTTTAGTATTTTATAAATATGAGTAATTTTAAATTTATCAACGAAGTTTTAAATCTTAACATTTATAATCAGGCCTCATTTTAGAACGGACTACCCCCTCCCAAAAAAAAAAATGGCAATCAAAAATAAAATATATATGTTTTGAATGACTGAAAATATTTTTATTTAAACATTTTTAAATATTTTTTTTAATAAAAGGTAGATATATTAAATTAATATAAAGTGAATGTTATATGAATACTATAAATACACTTAATTACCATCAAAATCCCATAGAAATGCTTCTTTGATAGCTTCATGTATAAAATAAAAGTTTCCCAAAGCCTAAAAAATTAATAAACACAATATACAAATTATAATTTTAAAAAACTTTTGTTTTTAGTTTTAAAACAAAAGGATGTTATAAAAAATATAGAGCAATATGTTTTTATAGTAACAAAATAATTAAATTCATGAAAACTTTAATTTTTTGTTAGTTAAAACATGTAATTTAAATATTATAACACATTTTTATTTTTAAAATTGTTATCATAAATGAAAAAAAATGTAATAATTAAATATATTTAATTACAAATAATAATAATATTTTATAAAAAGGAAATTTTAAAGTAGAAAATAGGTACTTATTAAAAAATTAAGGTTATAGTTAACCCAAGAAGTAGTACTAATTTAGAATGTATATCATAGAAATATTTAATTTAAAAGAATAAATAATTTTTAATAATCATATAATATATCTATTTTAAAGTAAAATAAAATAATTTGACTGAACTCTAAATAAATAATAAATAGCGAGTTGCATTCGAAAACCAAAATAAAATATACCGTAACAATTATATTTGGCTAGTTACTGTAAAATTTTCTGCTGAAGTGAATTCTTCATCGAGAAATACTTGAGCTCTGTTGAAAATCCGTAATTCTTTACTTGACATCAATAAACTGTAATAAAATTAACTTTAATTTTAATAGATAATAATATACAGTCAATTTTCAATAATTTAAAATTAATTTTTATAAATAAAAAAGAATAATTCTCTATTATTTCCAGAAAGTTAATAATTTTGTAACTAATTTAATAATTATTAGGGACAGTCATATTTTCATACTCATTTAGCCACAATTTTTACAACTAATAAAATCGAGGAAATTAAAAAGGTATCTTTTAAAAATGTGCATTGTTTTTCACAAACAAATCACATTATAAGTTATAATACAGCTCTTTTTGTTAACTGCTAACACACAATTATTTTTTAATTTTAACACAACATTTAATTTATTTCGCATCCATACATAGAATTGAGATATACTTTTTCTTTGGTTATTAAAAAAAATGATATTAACAATTTAATTTAAGATAAATGAATTAATATATAATAAAATATATTATCATTACTTTCTATTAATAATTATTAACATAATATTAGTTTAGTTTAGCTCTAAATAATTATAATCTACCGTTAAAATAATAATAAAAAAATATATTTAATATCATAAATGTTGGTTAAATGAACACCTCAAAAAAAAATGAGTTATTATTATTTATTTACACAAAAGAATAAATTTGTTTAAATAAATTAAATTATTTTTAAAAGTTTCCAATCATAAACTCAGAATTTGAATGGTTTGGTTTATATGTATAATGTAGGTTAAAGAAATATAATTTTGACATAGGTATATTTCTTTTATTGAAGTTCATAAATATGTTGTATGTTTTAATACACTAAATATTTTTGAAAGTCAGCCATTACATTGAAATGCTCATCAACTAATTATTACTGGGTACTAATTTAATTCAATTAGCATAAAACTTTAAAAAAATTAGATTGAAAAATAGATATTGTCTACAATTATTAGCATCTCTTTTATCAAATTTTCTGAGAAAATATTTATTATAAAAATTCTACCAAATTAAATAATAATTTAACTTACTAAATATACTATGCCACATTAAGAAATAAAAGAATGGATAAGATATTTAAAAAATATACACAAAGTATAACACAAAGATTTGACACTTGAATAGCTTTCATTCTGTTTAATATTAAGTTGTTTTTTTTTTTTTTATTATTATAATTTATAGAACAGCGGTTTTCAATCTGAGAGGTAGTTATTCCATGAAGGATAAAACGAGATTTTCTGGTAGATAAAGAAAAGTCCAATTTTCTTTTTTCATTGTATGTGTTATGTATTATTATTAATTATACCTATTAATTTTTTTTTTTTTTTAATTTTACTAACAAAACTGTGTACAATTTTTAATACAAGTGAAATTTTAATTATGTTTTAACAAAAATATTAGGACATTAAGTACTAAATATTATTACTTGAGTTATATTTTAAATATTTATTATAGTCATTTACCCATAAAAGTTAATACTGACAGTTTCTTTTAATTTTTATGGTATTTATTGTATTAGTATTTATTTAGCTTTCTTAGAATTATTTTTGGTACAGCGTTAATCCATAAAAATGTACATAGCAATAATTAGAACTACTCTCACTTATAGACGTGAAATATGGACAGTTAAAACTATGGCAGCAAGAGGACCTAAAACTTTTGAAAGTAAAGTATGGAGAATAATATGTGGACTAGTTTGTGACACAAAGACAAATTAATGGAGAAAGATGTGCAACAAAGAACTTCAGGAAGAACTGGGCACCAATCACTAGTTAAATAAAAGAACAAAGAATATAGTGGTTGGGCCATATTATGAGAAGAAATGATGAAAAAACCATCAGAGCAACAATCATGAAATAGAAACCGCAAGGGGAAAGATCTCAAGCCAAACCAAGGAAGAGGTAACTAGATGTAGTAGAAAAGGTTCTTAAAACTCTGGAAATGCAAAAATGGAAGGAAACTGTTCAGGATCTAGAGAAATGGAAAGAAGTAGTGATGGCAGTAAAGAAAGACTAATAGATTTGCAAATACCAGTGAAGAAGAATTTAGCGTTAGTCTATTAACCTGTATAAATAGCCGAAAATTCCTTTATAATGGGCAATCAGATAAGATGGTAAATATCTTATTAACAAAAATTGTTATCAATATTCAATGGTATGAAACTGTCAGTCTTTCATTGACTGTTCGCCAATTAGTGTCATACTTATCGGTGCTGTATCCACTGTTTATCGACAAGAGTAACGTGAATTAAAAAAAATGATTAATGTCATTTTAGAGAGTATTTACTAATATCTAGCATGATTTATGGGTAATAAAAAAAGATTGGGAACCACTGCTCTAGAGCTTTGTATTATAATCACTTTATTTTATATTTTTCAAAACTAAAAATAAAAAAATGAGCTGATACTGGAGATGGGAACGATCACTGTTCTAGATGAAAAGTAGGGAAGACAGGATACATATGATTATTTCATTTAAATCTGTAAGCAACGATAACCCATTACTGGCGAAAGACGAAAGAAATTAAAAACATAAACAGCATTATAAAACCAATAGCTCCCTGGCTACGCTCAGAATCTAAAATTTAATTTAAAATTTTTTTTTTATAAAATGCGAGATTGCCACATAATATATTTATTTTGAAATAAAATTTTATTATTACAAATATTTACTAATAACAAACCGTTAAAATTGCTACTGTTTTTTTAAGTTCATAAAACAATGTTTTATGGAAAAAAAGGTTAATTGATTATTTAACAGTGGCAATTTTTTATTTTTTATTTAAAAAAATTATGGATTAGAGGAATCATATTGCAAGACTAGTGATTATTAAAAGAATAAAAAACTTAAAATATTAAATGAAATAAAAGTTATTTCGGTTGTATTACAGCTTGTTTATTTCTAGTACGCTAATGCCAAGTTAAGTTATGTATTTTTATCAAATAATAGTACTTTGAACTAGAGACTAAAATGTCTATGTTACTATTTACTATACCTATAAGGACTAAATATAATATAATGAACAATAGATACAAATAATAATTAAGTAAATTAAAATTTCATATTTTTTTTTATGAAAATATATTCTACAATGAATTATTAAATTAATAAATCACAAAGATGAAATATGCATATACATATACATTTTAATATATTCTATTATTCTTTGACTCATCTAAAATATCAGGCGTTTCGCATTAGCTAGTACATTGCCACTCAACATAAATTGAATTTCTACACTTATTAAATTGTTTCTTTTTTTTTAGATTGTATGCAATATAATGCAATATTATAAAATTTGAATAATTGCTAGATAGATACTTATATGTATATTAAATTTGGGTAGGAATTTATAATTGTTTTAAAATAAATATAAAAACTTAAAAATAAGCTATTCAACAAATATTATGAAGACTTTTGAATCCAAATACTAAAAACAAACTGGCAATAATTATTATACCCAAGTTCTAAAATGTTTAATTTATACAAAAATCTTGTTAACAATATATCTCATTATGTATACTTAAACAATACACATTATGTATAGCTTATAATCTAATATATAATACACAATATACATGTAGGTAAAATAGTAATTTCTAACATAGTACCTATGTTTAACAACCTTAAGTCTTATGCAAAAAAATCTATCAATTTCTTTCATTAATGGAAAGAGTTGACTAATAGTAAAATTGGGTAGGTATACAAACCATTAAAATAATATTTTTACTAACTAGTCTGACTAAGTTAAAAATTGGTGTATATTTAACTTATAACTAAACATATTTTGTTAATAAATAATTTAAATTAAACATGTATTAATGTATAATAATTTTAAGATGTATTCTATATTTACCTAACAAAAAAATTGACATGTTTCATACTTTCTTCATAATTTTTTCCACCGACCTCTTGACAATGCAAAGCAATAAAATATGGATCCAATCTGCTTACAGTCTAAATTTAAATAAACAAATAATTCACAAATAAATCAAGATATTAACTATAAACAATATAATATCATGTATATATACTTGGATATTATTGTTAAAATTATTTAATAAAAATTTAACTTACATTTAAGAATTCTTCAGTCCATATTTTTAACATTATACTTGGCTGAAAATGTAAAAAAAAAAATGATTAAGTAGGTACATTAGTATATTACTTAATATTTATACGTATTAATAAAATAAAACATATTTTTTATTTAAAAAAAAAAAAATATATAATCATTGTTTCTACAGTAGGTGAATAGAATTGTTTTCATATTGAACTTGGAAACAATTAAAATCAATTATCATTTTCTAAACAAAACCGTTGAAAATAGTTCTATTGAATAATTTTTTTCCAATAATGATTAATCTAGGTAATTTTCTTTTTAAAATATAATTGTATTTATATATTCAGCAGAGTAAAATATAAAAATAATTTTTAATTTGTAAAATAATCTAATTATTCTTTAAATAATTTAATAAATAAACAAATTTTTTTCTCATAATTATAAATGATGAAAATAATGGTTTTACAAAAAAATGGTCCTTCTAAAAATAACATTTGTATCACTTTAAACACATCTTTGGGGAACAACTAAAAAACTAGAAACTTCATATTTTAATAAATATTAATAAACAGTGGAATCTAAATTAACTGTCTCGATTATCCGTGTTCGTGATTAACTTTGCTCACTTTTCTGAAAATGTAAAAATAATTATGGACTGTACATATTATAAATAGTTATAATCAAACATTTTATATCACATAATATATGATATTAAAAAACGTATTAATGATATTTTTGACAATAACAATATGACCATGTATATCTAATATTTATTTTATCGCAGGTATGTAGTCATTGAAGATAAACAATATTGTAGATTGTTTAATAAATTATATATTATTATATTATATTTTATATTATTCATTATTATAAAAAGTCTCGATTAACCATGTTCTTCATTTATCTAAATGACCCCCTCCCCACCATTACCCCAAATAATCGAGGTTCCACTGTTATATAATTTAAGGATGGTGGGCAGATTTTTATTGAATAGGACTATGGTATGAATATTTGTTTTTCATTTGGTGTATCTACTTAGTTTTAATATTCAGTATATATCTATGGATACACTTCTGAAAAGGTCACATTTCAACATGTATAATGGCAAAATGTATATTTCCTGTCTCGATAAGGATACACTGATATTAAAATAAAGGATATTATACTACCATAGTCAATAGTCATAATAATTTCATAATATCTATGTTTACCATGAATAATACAAATCACAGTACAACCTACCAAAGATAATATCTATATGTATAGGTATATATAATAACAAGTCCTGAATGATTCATCATCACACATCCCAAACAACTGAACAAAACGGGCTGAAATTTGGCATACACATAGCTATTATGAGATAGACATCTGCTGAAAATTCAATCACTAAAAACAGATAGATATTTTTGGATATATTTGGAATGAATATCTAATTATTTATTTTTGTTTATTCGTCGGTTGGCTTGATGATACAAATTTTAATTAAAAAACAAAAAAATTGGCTCGGAAAGTTGATTAGGACAGCTGGTATAATATATATAATATCCATATTTTAAAATAGGTATCAACTGAAAATTATATTTATTTACTGGCTAGAACGACATTCATTTTTTTTATTTAGGACGTAAAAATAGTAAAATACCAAATACTATATAATTAATATTCTACTAGTATCTATTTGATAGATTAGTGAAAATTGTTAAAATAAAAACATTATTCTGTATTATCAGGATAATTCAGAAATACATTATCTGTGACAAAATTAGTAAAATATGTTGATAAATGATAGGTATATCATTTAATTAATAATAATTTTCTACAACAGGAATATTGGAAACTTAAGAACACATTACTGTAATGCCATTAATTTCTTAGTTTTTATGTATTAATATCTACGATGCTAAATTTTTAAAACAAGTTCTTGACTAGAAATATCTTATGAAAAAGTTTTAAATTCTAAATAATACCTACATATAAATAATTAAATAACAAATGTACATGGAATCAAATATACTGCCTACTTAAACCAAAAACACTGAGTCTAAAACAATTTAAAAATGAGTTGTACAATCAAAACAATTTTAAAATTCAGAACTTTTAGGTCAATATGCCTAAAATGTATATATGCCTAATGCCTGTGTGTCTGAAATATTTTATTTTATAAAACGACTATTAACAATATTTTTTTTTTTGACAGACCGCCGTAAACGGTAAAAAAATGTGAGATACAGTATTTTTGCTTAGTATACAATAAAAATAATAATTTATGGCATTTATACTTAGTGCAGATTATGGTTTAGCTAATCGCAATGTGTAAAATATATTTGTAACCAATAGATCATCAAAATATAATAGTAATAATATAAATTATAAATATATTTATAAATTTATAATATAAAAAGTTAGATAAGTTGCTATTTTAGAATTTATTAATTCATATTTATTCATACTCCATTGCATTTATCAGGTAAAATTGCATATACAAATCCTTATAATACTTTGATAAGTAAAATTTAAGAAGTTTAGAAAATTTAAACCCGTTTTTTATAAAAACATTCTCTAGTGAGCAAAATTTGCTCATGTATTATTTATTTTTAAAATTATAAAAAGAAAAGTTTTGTTTGTATGTTTGTAATAGATAAGCTCAAAAACTACTTAACTGATTTTAAAACTTCTTTCATATATAAAAAGTTTCACTGTCAGCAAGTAACATGGGCTGTATTTTATTTTCAAAAAAATTAGAGATCCATACGAAAATTTCAATAGTTAGATTTTTAAGTACTTTTGGTAGGAAGCTAATTAATCATTTATTTATTTTTTTGTTTATTAATGGATTACCTTGGTAACATGGATGACAAATTGGTTTTCATTACAGACACTAAAACTATTATTATTATTATTATTACTATTATTTAAAATATTACCTAGCAATAGTAAAACATTGATGAGTCAGCAATTAAAAAATAATGTCAAAACGTTAAAAATAATAAGGAAAAAACTAATAAAATATTGAACTGATACATACAAATAATTATCTCTGTTATCACAAAAACTAATAAATACTTTTTTAAATTCATTAAAAGCATAAAATAAAGCACATAATAATAAGCATTTTATTAAAGATTATGTGAGAGTAAAAAAAAACTATACTGTTATAATTAGTAGTTAGTTACCTATCAATATAAAAATATAATTTGATTAACTAAAACAAAATTATTTAAAATTGTGTAAACACCAAAAAACTAATACCTCATATCAATACCTAATACATTATATCATTTGGAAATTTAGATTTAAAAACAAACATGTTCAAGTGAAATTAAATGTTTGACAAAAACTTTATGAATAAATCAAGATAATATGTATTTATTAGTGACTAGTTGATCTGGCAATGCTATTGCTAGATAATAGTGTAAATAATAATGATAATAATAATAATGGTCATGACAATCAAATTGTCATCCATGTCACCAAGGTAACCCATAAATAAACAAAAACAAAAAAATAAACTAGATATTTTTGTCAAAATTACATAAAAACCTAATTATGTTAATTTTCATACAAATCTCTAATCTGTTTTTGAAAATAAATACAGTCCATGTTACTCACTGATAATGTTGCTTTTTATAGGAGACATTTTTAAAATTGGCTAAGTAGTTTTAAGCTTATCCATTACAAGCATACAAACAAATATTTTCTTTTTATAATATTAGTATACATATATACACAATGTTAAACTTAATAAATTTAAAAATGGTCAATCCACAGTACAACAGAATAAATGTACACATATTTAACCACATAATATATTGGATGGAAATCTGCAAATAATAATCTACATATTAGAGTGGACAACTGGATAAGATAACATCATTATCAATAATAATTCCAAAGTTTTAAGTCATTGCCGATTTAAATTATTAAAATTGTTACCTATTTATTATTTTATATACCTACTGGGCTGTACATATTATGATTTTTGTGGAATTTAAAAATATGACATATTATCAAAGAACAGTGTTGTATACCATGATAAACTCTAAAATATTTTTAAAAATAAATTAGTACGTTAATATTGTAATTTTTAATGAATTATTATTATAGCTAACACATGTCATCAACCATTTTACAAAATTTTATTAATGTATAAATTGGTAAGAGGCCACAAAGAACTATTTTTAAATATTAAAAATTTAAATAGACTGACAGTAAAATGTATAAGTAGTAAGAATATCACTTAATTTTGAATTTAAATGTAATATTGGGTTTATTATTTAGTAATGAAATAAAATAGGTGTAAAATGCACAAAAGAAAAGTTGCTAGTGGTGTTACAAAATGTAAAGAAAATTGAATTGATTATAATTGGATTATCTATCACTTAGTCGACTTAAATTTATCTACTTGTGACAAAAATAAAATGAAAATTCACAATGTTTATGACTTTACAATCAAAATCAATACTAGCGAAAACTACCTACATAAATAACAAAACCAAAGTAAAATAAATAAAACTACTTATCGCAGGCAACTTAACTAAGTATTAAAATATATTATTATATTAAAATTAATTATATAAAAGTAATTAACCCCATTATCATAAAGGAAAAATATATTTTAACAGAACAAAAAACACAAAAAAGACATACTTTACACCATGGGTGTGCTACTGTTATAGATTTAAAGTTAACAAGGTTGGATGTAAAAGATAATTTAACTTATATCTGTACAGAACTATAAATCCTTGCTAATGAATGATTTTAAAGCATGTTCGGTTAAACATGCTTTAATAAACTTAAATTGAAAATTATATTAATTTTTTAACTACAAAATAAATTATAAATGTCCAAATATTTTAAAATGTTACCACTTTATTTGGGCTATTATAAGAATTTGTTGAAAATAACAATTCTATATGATTATGTTGGTAATAGAAATGAAAAAACAAAATCGAAAATAACAGAAACCGATATTGTTATTATTTTCCGTTTTACAGACATTTTTCCCAGTTATTAAGAAAATTTCAAAAAAGTATGATGATATCAAAGGAAGATTTGTCGTACAAAAGGTCTTTAGAAAAAAAAAAACAATAGATAATACATACATATTTGCAAGCCAGTTCCGTACCATGGGGCGAGCCAAACAACGTCAGTACGTCCAGAGATGTTAGCAAACTTGTCGAAACACTGTATGAACTTACAATCGGTTCAATTCATATTCACAAGAAAACCAACTATCGGGCCGGATTTACCAAAAAGGCACCCTTAATAAAAAAAACATCAGCGATGGGACAATTTGCCAAGTTCTTGTTTAGAACTCCTCATACTGTTTGACAGAATTTTACATCGGCTATCGACCTGACAACCTAATTTGATTAAAATCTAACGAAAGGTACCGTGGGAGTATTCTAATCCTCTCTTACAGGGAGCGTTTTGAAAATATAAATACGTAATAATATTATCATATAAAACTAAGCATTATATTATATTATATGTGAAGATTTATTATCCGTTTACTTATTAAATGTTTGAATGATTCGACTAATTCTGGACAATGTTTATAATTTTACAACAGTGAACAACTAATTTACAAAAATAATTATTTGGCATCTATATTTATATTCAACAACATTTTTAACAACTATATAGAATTTTTTTATTTCTAGTAGATGGTAAATTAAATTCACAAATAGAAATTATAACTAAAAAAAATTAAGAGTTCTGCAGGCCACGGCGCCCCTTGAAGTCGTACCACCTCTAAGCTATAGTCTTAAATCCGGCTTTGTCCCGAGAGATCTATGAATAGCTCGTTCAGTGTCCGACACACCATCTTAATTATATGTTTATTATGTTCGCTAACGGTTAAGCTCACAAGTGTATACGCGCCTTAATGAATGTTATAAAATATTACGTGTACCAATGAAAACACTAGCGACTGCTTCCTGGAGAGAAATTAGCTATAAAGAAACTACGCGTATATACATACCAATACCTATATCATGGTCAAGAAACGCAAGTATGACCACGGAAATTGGCAACAAAAATTTCCTATAGCTGTTACTATAACCATGGTTTTAGGATAATGGTGTATACCACAGCCAGCAAACATTTTTTAATGGTTTTTAGAGATGTGACGGTATTTTACGGTAATTTACGTATTTACTAATTTCTGTAATATTAACCATCTTTATTATTTTTGTCAATATTTCATGAAAACTAGTTTATATTCTTTATAAGCAAAACCAAAAAAGTGTTGAGCCTGGTTCACAACTGAATTGTTCTGGCAGTCAGGCAGTGACTGGAAAATAATGTTAAGAGTGGGAGGGAGTGAAAACTAACATCAATTTTGAAATTTACACAACTAATACAGATTTGCAAAGAGTTTGTATAGTAGTAAACTAAAATTTTGTAACTAGGTAATTTATAACTAATAAACATGTATAAATGAGGGTGGGTGTCGTTGAACACCCAAAATAATCCCTCAGATACGGCCTTGTCTAAGCATATATTCATATGCGTTGTAATTAAAATCGCAAAGTTAGTACCACAAAAAAATCTATGGACTTACACATTTGGCGTATAAAAATGCACATATAATTCATGGATTCATTTAAGCATGAGCATGTGTTCAATAAAGATAACAAAGAATGCACTAAAAACCCCTTCACAATCGTGATTATTTTATTTCTGTGGCCTGTAACATTTACATGAAGGTGTAAATAAGAATCACAAACTACAAAAGGATAGACTACATAATTCAAAATAAAGTCACTAAAATTGTTTAAATGTACCAAAAATAACTGATACTGTCAGTTTATCAAATCTATACTACAAACTAACACAAATTATGCAATTTACACATCTGGCACAGTTATGCAAAGAGTTTGTTTAGGAGTTTTAAAAAATAGTACAAAATAATTTGAAGGATGAACTTAAAAAAAGTTCAAACAAACAAAAACAAAGGCTAAATATTGAGGAAAATCTAAATTTTCTGAATGATACGTTAGGTAAGATTTAGTAAAACATTTTATTTTTTTGGTCCTGTATAAAATATAAATTTAATTTTGCTTTACAGTATAATACAAGTGGTCAAAAATTAAAATACATTTTGATGTACATATAGTCCTACACAATAATTAACGAACTGTGAAGTTATTGTTCAAGAAATGTTTTAAAATGTTACTTCTGGGTCCCTTTGGTTTCAGTTTGAAACTTGGTAGCGTAAAGTATTTCAAAAATATTATTACTACATAAATATATAAATTGTATAATAACCCTCTCCCCTCAACAAGTATTGACAATCCAAACTTTTAGCACACTCTTTTGTTTATTATTTTATATTTTAATATATTTTTTATATAGTCATGATGTAGACTTCAACCTTGCTTTTATTAGTTTCAGTTTAAAAATTAATCTCTCTGAACTACAATATTGGAAACTGAACGTAGTTAGAGCAATTAAATATGCAGTATAAAAATGTGTCATTATAGCAATTGAACATAATAAAAGTAAGTATCTATGTAAAACAAACTTTTTACATTTTTAGTTTTATTATTATAAAATAAAGATTATCCTTGAACTTAGTAATTCAATACTACCCATCCTTTCAACCTACTGACCACTACCACTGATATTATTGTATATAAGTACATTATATTATGATACATTGTGATACTTGACATGAACTACCTATCCACTATTCAGACAAACTCTGTAAACCTTATTTCCATTATAATTAAGTATTCTTCAGATTATAAACAAATACAATTCAAACTTTTTATAAATATACTTTTAATAAGCAAATAAATAACAATATTTTTACGTGGAATATTATAACACGTATATATAAATCAAAACTACTCGGCCAATTACTTATTTTACTTTAAGTACTAGTTATTTTTTTTCGGGTACACACTATTTCAAATATTTTGTTTTATTCTTGACTATAGCACTAAACGAAGCCATAGGCATTAATAAATAATATAATTTAATAAACATGACGTATCAAGTGTCAAGTGTGTTGTATTACATAATAATATCATCAAATAGAATTTAAGCAGTGTTACTGTACATTTACAATTTAAATTAATAACTGGATAATAAACAATTATCTGATAATATTGTTTCTTGAATTAAACTCGATGTACGTGCATTATAAAATGAAGTAAATAGGTAGGAAGTTTAAAAGTATAATCGTTAATCTGAGTCTATAAATAAGAGCATTTTTTCAAAATTAAAAATCGAATAAGCGAACAAAACATTTTATTATCTATGGTATTATTTCACTATATAAATACAAAATACTGAAATATCTAGAGTAAATAATATTTTATAGTCTTCTATAAATAATTAACTTTTTTTTATAATTACTTATTGGTGTACCTACTGAAAATTTGTATCAATGACATTTTTCCAAATATGATATTGATATACACCTACACAATTTACATGTATATTGTACAGTGTACACACACAATAAATAATAATAGTTTAGTATACTAAATATAATAAAAAATAAAATAAATGTCGGGAATTTCATTTATGTTTTATTTGATAAAATTATAAATTTAACAAGCCATCTACTGACAAAGATTAATAGAATATCAACAAGTTCAAATGAATATAAAAACTTGCTGGTCAAAACTTAATAATAGTGAGTATCGACAAATTGGCTATCACCATCAGCCACCACTATGTTAGAATATGTTAGTTAATTTCTATCTATAAAAGAAATATATATAAAGACTAATCTAATCTATTTAATATACTAATATACTGTACTTAAAAAAAAAATCAATATTCTAAGCCAAATGAAGATTTATATTTCAAACAATAAGAATCATATTATTACATACCACAATCATTAGGTAAATTGAGAATTAAATAAGTAAGATTTACCTGTAAAAGTGCTAAAGATTTGCGAAAACAATACAAAAATATCTTCACAGAATATTTGTAGTAATGATATCTCTTTAAAAATTTATATAAGAATCAATTTTAATATTTCATCCTCCTCCTCCAAGAGCTCTATTGGAAAAAATCAACATTATATCCTGATTGTTTATGTTTTTTTTTTCTAAATTATTCAAACTATTCTAACTACCTATTTTTGAATTGGGTAACCAAATGTGCAATTTTATAAGTTTTTACTTATCCTATTTTTTAACCCTTAGCTCCTTTGTTTTATAATAGATGTACTTATGCATCGTAAAATAATAATATAATATTATTAGTTTATCTTTTGTATACCAAATACAAAACCGCTGTTGGTCAGCCATTAATATAAATAATTACAAATTAATAATGAACTTTATAAACTAAGTGTTAGGTATTTAAATTTAGATTTCCAGATTAATATTTATCTTTTTTTTTATAACATAATATAATAACAGATATTCAAAAATGTAATATAAAATATTTGTATTAATTTTTTTGGATTTATAAACACTATACAGGTTTCATTTCAAATAAAATTGAATGGTATTTAATTCCTTTTAAAATATAATTCAATTGATTTTCTATAAAATCTTATCTATATATATATATACCCAATACTATGATTATAAAAATATGTCAAAGTTACTAACAATTAGTTTTATTAAACATATTTTAAACTACCTACAGATATTATCTGTTAAGGGCTTTATTATATTCTAAACTTTTTTTATAATAGACCTACTAACCCAAAAAATAAAAAAATGGATATAAAATTAATTATAAAGATAGAATGAATAATAAATGAAAATATGAAGGGTAATGATTACCTACTTTATATTATGACTATGCAAATTAAATATTTAATTTCTTTACAATAAAAAATTATTCTTATAGTGGAAAAAGGAAAAACTAAAAATATAATAATCACACATACATACATATTAAATACATATACAAACACATTACAATGTGTTTGTGCGGCCTATGTATGAAATCTATAGTAAATTAACTTACCTGCTTACCAAATATTTTAAAAATTATAACAAATGTAGGGTGAAGTTATCACCTATTCTGGTCCTCCAGGTTGGGTGTTAATTGCAGGACTAACAAACCTGTCTTGAAAATTAACAAACATTCAGGACTCAAATACCAAACGCCTCGATGTAAAGTAAACAGGAAACAACAAAGTTTCCACTTAAATCTATATTATGACTTTGTTTTATTAATATTTATTTTAATTTATCTACAGTTATTAAAGAAAAATTCAAACTAAACCATAAATGAATTAATAGTTTACCAATACTTAGTTTGAATAATTAATATAGATATTTTAAAATTACATTTTCCAATTTTATGGCCTTCCTATGCTTTCTATTTTTTTATAATAATTGATATAATCCATTACTTAAATTTAAAATGTAAATAAACATAACAATAACAATAAGGCTCCCAGTCTGCCTCGTACTCTATTTTATGTTAGTTCGCTTAATACTTGAACATGGTGTGATAGTTTGACGTCCTTATCTTACTAAGGACTAGTTAAGACTTGGGCAGGTACACAATCAATTTTTTCACTCAGTCCCTATGTACTCAAAATTGAGCACATTCGGCACAATTACTCTCCTGTACAACACACATTGAATATTTCTAGACTTTCTTCAATTCATCACGAAGTGGATATCTGGTTTCCTTCTTACCTTCTTAATGGAGCTTTAGACATATCTGATCTCATTGCTAATGTTAATGTATACAACATGTATCTACATATTTCTCCAAAAGTCTCAAAGACCATTTCTTGTTCCATCTCATTTCATTTCCTATAGTAATAACAATCCAATTCATCAAATGCTATGCGCCCTTAATGCCTCTGTTGCTTAATGGCAGTATAATTTTATATCTTTTTCTCTTTATGTACAAATTCTCATCACTGTTATAAAATATTATCAACTCTGTACGATTATATATACATTTATGAACTGCTTGTTTTAAATGTATATAATATTTAAAAAAAAAATAACAAAATAAGGCTTATCAAATTACAAAATTACCTATTTATGAGTAAATAAAAATGAGAGTCCATAACAGGAATACTGACCATAGGTGTCGACTCAACCCTAATTAAATACCTATAATTGTACCTATATAGATATAGGTACAATAATGAAAGTTAACAAGTAATGAATAGGTTTCTAAACAACATATTATTTTAATCAGCGTGTTAAAGTACCTATAACAATGAAACACAATTATGTGGGTACCTACATTTATCAATAAATTAAAAAAAATATAATTACCTTGGTAACCATGTTCAAACTACTTAATCAAAATGACACCAACCTAATTTATAAGTTAACACATATTAAAAGTTAACTTTTTCTAACAGTACAGAATCAAGACTTTCTAAATTATAGCTGTGAATTTCAATTGTTTTGAGTGCTAAATATATACAATTTTACAATTTGTAAACGGGTGTAAACCCTTTAACTACGAATATCAAAATGAAATATATATAACAAACATATTAAACAAATATAATTAATTATAAAGTGTTTAATGGTTAATTAGTTAATGCATTATTATTAAGTTTTTTTAATATTTATTAGTCTAGGGTACTAAATGTCTCAATGACAAATATAGGCGAACTATAAATTAGTTCGTATGAGTCATGGCCTAGACTAATATTTGAAAAATACACGATTATTTTTGTTTTTTAAATTTTATACCATCTAAGAATATAATATTGATTTTTTTGAGACATTATAAAAAATTAATTTTTAAATGATATCTAATTCCTTTTTCAAATTTTGAATCTAATGCAAAATATAGATGTATTAGGTATCAGTATATAATGATTAATATTGAAAATTGTACCAATAATTATTTAAAGCGTACTATAGTCTATTAAAAAAATATGCACTAATGGGCGTACATTTCTCAACATTTTTGAAAAAAATATTTTGTACTTCTACATCTTAAATTTTAAATACAAAATGGATTTTGACATTTAAAAATCAAACGTCAATACTATATTTTTAACTCCGTTTTTAAAAATTACCAACTATCAGTTTTATAACCAAATAAATTACAAAAAAAAATAAACGATTTTAAAAAAAATATTCCTTAGACTAAATTGTTCTATTCTTTTCAAACATTATATGATTCTACTCAAACAATGTACAAATAACTAAGAATGTTGACCATTTTTAAAATGGAATAAGGAAATATTTCTGTACAATCTAGTGTAATAAATTGTCATTATTTTTTGAGCATAAACAATGTACTCACATTTTCAAATATTGAACCAATATTAGCAGTGACCAATAGGACACGAGTGGACGATTCGCACGCCATGTCGGATACGAGAAAATATTCCCAAATTTGATTAGTAGTAAGCAGCAACAGCAGCAGCAGCAGCAACTTTAGAAGTAATTATCCATGAGCTGACGAGAAGTTTACGAAGTATGTAATATGTGCCTATTACTGTGTAAATTGCGGATCGATGGCGATCGCGTCTAAACGATGGTGTGCGGGAAAAGTTACGCCAGTCATGATAATAACAACAACAACGGCCGTGCAATTAATCACGTTCGTACGACTATAGCGTTTCCGACAAAGGAACAACTACTGCGTTTGACCGGAAAAACTGCTTTGCGTTCAGTGCACATGCTCGTACGTTCGTATTATACTCTGTAATAACAATAACATATACTGAGATATTGTGCAGCGAGTGTTGTACTTGTGACACAACGCACACACCGTTAATGCTGATCCCGCTGCCGTTGCCGTTACCTACAATATTAATATTATTATTGATAAGGTGATTATAAAAGGACACGCCCACACGTGCTGACGTCAATCGGTGTCTTCGGTGAATAGGAAATAGGCCGATCCGCACACTGTCGGAAATTGGGTGTGGGTCGTGCGCGCGTGCGAGTACATTGTGAAGCTTGAAAAACCGCTTCGGGGGAAAATCTAGATAATTTTTTCCGTACGTCGTCAGCGACGATGGCTGCGATTTGGAACATAGCCACGAGCAAAATAAATATTATTTCGGTAGAAACACGAGCGTGCCCCCACACGACGTTAGTCGGATCTGGCTGCACACCATGATGTTCCGACCTGCAGCTGACCAAACAGCCGTGCAAATAATGAAACAAAACTGTGATACGGCGCTCGCGTTTTCCCGATAACTATCGGTTTTTTTTTTATTATTATAAAACCCGGAGGAAATCTATAGGTACAAATGGTGTATTATTTCATACGAACCGGGTAAACAAAACGCCGTCCCGGGTAGGTAACCAATTATACACACCGGTGCGTAACCTGGAGATTACGAGTATTGCATGGCGCAAGCATTTATTATCATATTTTTTTCCCCTTCATTAATTATTTAAGTATTCGATTTTTTTTTTTTAATTTCACAATAATGTATTCCGCTAATGTTTTTTTGACGTTACTCTTGTGCATCATCATTACAATATTTGCTGTTGGCCGCGTCCAATCCAATGGAGACTCCACTGTCATGAAAACCGTCAATGAAACCGAAATGTTTTACTACGAAATACAACCGGAACTTTTTAACTGGACGAACGGTATTATGGTATTTATTTTTACACTATTTTCACTTCTCTATACATTTAATTTGTTTTAATCAATTATACATAGGTATCGACGCTAAATTTGCATACACGCCGTCCTTACAAAATTACCCAGACTTGCCACCTTGGATCCATTACAAATTCAACAGTAAAAATAGACATGGATATTTGTATGGAACGCCGCCCGTGAGTCCATTGGAAAGACAAATCCGAGTAAATAAATTTAATGATATAATATTAATACTTATAAATTATAAGAACATATAAATAGACATTTAAAATATATTTTCTTTTTTAAACAAAATTAGGAGAATATTTTAATATGCAGTGGATTGGTGAATTTTAAACTTTAAACAAAGCAGTGCAGTAACGTAGGTAGTATTTTTTCAAATTAAGGCACCCGGTGCCAATGTGGTTTTGCCCACAAAAGTACACTCTACGGAAATAGTTCATTAGAATCAACCAAATTATTTAATATTTTTTTTTTTTTTAATTTATATAGAGGGAAATATTTTACAGATCACATTGAGCTCTTTTTTTCAATATTTTATTCTTAACAATTTTAATGAGTATAATGCAACTACATTTTAATTTTATTATTTAAACTATTATTTGAAATCGGAATAAAAAAGGGAGTTCAATGCGGCCTGTAGAATGTTGTTTATCAAAAAATATATTTTTTTATGAAAATATTGAACTGACAATGAGTTGTCACTATTTCCGTCAAGTCATTTTCGTAAGTAAAAATGGCACCATCCCTTCCAGAGAGAAGGGATTACCCGATACCCATTTAGAGAAATGGGTATCGGGTAATATATCCCGAAAAATCCTATTTTTAAGGCGTTGATTGAAATGTTAAAAATAATTTTAGAGAAAATTTGAAAAACTTGCATTGGGCCCCTGGCTGACAATTTTGCGTCCAGGCCCAGAATACAATAAAGCCAAAATTAAATCAAATTTTTGCGGCTAAATTTAAGTTTTAATGATGTATCTTCAAATACATCAATGAGTTCTTCGTTAGCTTTTGTTGATAACCCTGTTAATATAGCGTCCTAAAACGGATTCATAATCCAATTATTTTTTTGACATTTTTTCATTTCTTCAAGGAAGTAAAAGTTAAAAATTGACTTTCAACGAAATTAAATGCAATGTGATTTGACTATTTATAATCAACTTTTATATTATTTTCCGTTATGAAAGTTTGAAATGTTTCAAAATAATCATAATTTTGCTTTTCAATGTTTTTTTGCCATATAATAAGTTTTTTTATAAAACCTCTAATTTTTCATGGACCGCAAATATATCGACTTCTTCTGTTCCTAGTAAGTATAAATTTAGTTCGTTCAGTTTCGAAAATATGTCGGCTAAATACATGAGCTTCAAAATAAATTCTTCATTGTGCAACGATTTTGCCAAAACAATTTTTTCTTTTAGAAACAGTGCAACTACTTCGCAGAGTTCCACAAGTCTTGTTAATACTTTTTCTCTTTATAGATAACTAGTTGCCGAGCGACGACTATCGTCATCTTTTATCGAAATATTTTTGTGATAACGATGTACCAAAAATACTTGTAATAATTCCGACAGTATAATAAATAATTATAAGACGATTGTAAATGATAATAAAATTTTAAAGCTGTCGCTTTAAATCTGGATTTATATTACTTTATACTTCTATAGTTCTATAGTCTATACAATTTTAAAGAATATACATTTCTTACAATCTGTATAATTAAAAAAACTTCTTGCGACCTCCCAAAAATTGAGTCGCCACCCACAATTTGAGAAACGCTGTTCTAAGGTATCTATAACATGAAAAATATTCTTTGCCAAAAACAAATATAAAGAATAACTTAGCTTTGCTATAATCAGAATTAAAACATAGATCTGCATAAGGCAAGGTGAATTGTCCACCCCCTCTCCAAAATAAAAACATAACTATAATTACGACACTGTAGAAAATATCAAAAAATTGAGTCTAAATGATCACTCCATGTAGTTCTAGGGCTAAGCAATAGAATTGTATTAGGAAAATATTCATTACTGTTAATGTACCAACATGTAATATTTTCTGTTTTCTTCTTTTTGTAGGTAAATAATGTTTAAAAAAATGTATAAAATCATAGTTCAATCTATCAAAACATAAGGTACCTTAATAAAACAAAATATTTAATAGATATTAACACAAATACAAAACTAAACATAGTTTTTAATAAAACATAAGATACCTCATTATTGATTCATATTTTTATTATTTGAATAGTATGAAAAAGTATTTGTTTGCATGAAAATTCAGTTTTCATGAATAAATCATCTGCAAATAATTAAAATTTATATTTTCTAAATGTATTACTTAAAACTGAATTGGTTTTTATTTATACATTAATTATGGAGCATTTTTTTTAGTTGGATATCATTGGACTAAACAAAAAGACATATCAAGTTACCAAACAAGTTATTCAATTAAACATTGTTCAAAAATTTGGTAATTATGATAACATCAAAATATCTGTTTAATATATATTATCATTTAGAAAATAATGAACTTTATAATAATAATAATAATTACTTAACTAATTTTATGTACTTACCTGTTTTATTTCCTTTTTCCTGAATTCCCATAAATACTTTTTAGGAATGTAATAAATTACATATAACAGAATTTGATTTACCATATCGAATTTTATTTTTATTTTACAAGGGTTTGCTAAAAATGAAATTCGATTTAAAATCAACAATTTGAATGTAGAAGACATGTTTCAAGAAGAACATATACCACGTTTATTGGATATATATAAACAAACTTTATGGGTGGATAGTAAACCTAATTTATACGTTACCTTTTTGGCATCTGCTAGCGATCTAGGACAGCGGTTACCTCTAGATCCAAATGATACAGACGGGTAAGTATATTACTCACAAGATATATAATTTCTTAATATTATAATTTTACCATTAAGTACTTAAAGAATTTGTTTGTCATCCATTAGTGTTGTTGTCAATATAGGAAGCCATTCAAATTTTTCAACAATATTATATGATCTAGAAAAAGAAATCAGCCCACTACAAAAATTGAATAAATGTCCCAAGGACTTTAAAAGGACAAGTGTTGAACGCTATTTTCGATTAAAAGGCTTCAATTTGGATTGGTGTAGCTTTAAACTTGTATGTAAAATATCATTAATTTAAAATAACATTTATATACCTATACAATAACTTTCATTCAATGTAGGCTGTACATTAAAAATTTGGAAAATTAAATTGTTAATAACTTATCGAATGATACAATAAAAATGTATGAATTAATTATAACTTATACATTTTTATTGTACAGCCTAAAATTAATGAAAGTTACTTTATAAAGTACAATAAAATGACATATTATTATGTACTTAAATATGTGTATTTGTAATCAAAAATTGCACAAGAGATCAGCTGTAAATAGATGGTGTTACTCAAGTCATTGATAAAAAATCATTTTTAGTTACCTATATTATCCTAATATTTGTTTAAAACAGTATATTAATTAATTTTATAAAAAGAAGTACTAGAAAAAGACAGATCATTTAAACATGAACAAAAAATCTATGTCCCAATACTATGCCAATTTACCATTATCAGGATTAATATTAAATATTAATATGGAATGTTATTCAATTTGATTTGTATAGTACAAATACATTTTCAGAAAAATATTATATGAAAATTAAGAATCAGTATCAAAACATAGTGAGGGGAGGTTATTTTTCATAGCAATATTAGTAGTAATATATTTACACATTTGTATTAAAAAGAAAAAATCCTACAAATTCAAAATAATTATGATGCATATGAACAATACAGTGACATGTTACTGTTACAAGGGGTCACACTGTTCTATCTTAAATAAGATGAGTGGGTGGAGAAAACAATGCAGATATTTTTCTAGTGTAAAAATACATGGAAAATAATCAAATATTATAAAAGCTTAGGGTTCAATAAAAAGATTTTAGTAATAAATTCAAATAATAAAATGAAAAGAGTAGGTAATTATAAAGTAATACACATCTTGGTTCCTTACATAAATATGATTCCACATGTTACTGTAGTGATATATGATATAATCGAGCTAAAAATATAACACCAATATAAATGTTTTCTTTTTTTTTTTAGGTAGAATTAACAAACATAAAAACAATTCATACAAATAATGTTAAGTATGAAACATTAAACATAACATATCCTGAAGAAAACAACATATGGGAATTAATGGAATCTCTACCATACAGTCAGTCTTCACATGATTATACTACAAATACATTCAGCATTGTATTTATAATTTTTGTGCTTGGAATAATCTCAAGTATTGTTGTTATTAGATGGTATACAAAAAAGTAGTTTTAATAAAAATATACAAATTTAAAAACAAAAATTATCAACAGTTTTATTTTTAAATATAATATGTAACAATAAATATGATAATTATGTCAATAGTATATATTATGGATAGTGTGCATGACCCAATTTACAATCAGTAATATTAATTAAAAGACTAAATAAAATATAATAGTTAAAAAAAAAAACTTAAATTCTTCATTTTTTTTGTTTTTTATAAAGTTATTGAACTTAACCCACATAATTTTGAATGTGATTTAAACTAGATTAGGTTTTTGTTTGCTACCTTAATTAGTCTTTAGGATAAAAATAAATAATTAAGTTGTAGGAAGTATACAATAACATACTTATGTAAAGTTAAGAACAATAAAATTTCAAAAACTAATTAATCTAATTAAGTATTGAATTTGAAATAATAGTGCTTAAATTGTTCAATTGAAAGTTAACATAAAACATGTTTTGATAAAGATTTCTATACAACTGTAACTAATTAATATAATATTAAGCACTAAAAAAAAGAAAATTAAATAAAGTGAAAATGGAAGTTAAATGTATCGATATAAACCATTTACTGCAATATATTATATTTTGTTTAAGATTTAAATACGAATGAAATATTTTTTTTTTGTTTTTTTTTTTAATAAAAATTATCACGGACAGTAGATTAAACATTATACTTAAGAAAGTTGACACTCAGTTACGATGAGTGTCTGAGTTTGAGAAGTTTCAACACCATTGGGTTTAATGCGAACATTATGCAATGATCCCATGACATTGTCTTTATTGATATCATTAGAATTACTGTAACGCAAATATGCAAAACCTCTAGGACCTCTCCAAGTGATATGCCTAGAAAAATGTAACATTAAATGACGTTTCATAAGAAATAAGAATAATTCAGTTAGAAGCATACAATGGTTTAACTCCACGCTCCATTAAAGCAGCTTTTAAATCACGTACTCTGACGTTATTAGCAATGTTTCCAACTTTAAGTACAAATTCATCACCACTAAATGATCTTGAATAATTTGGTTTTTCATTAGGGTTGAAGTATCCTGTGCTGCGTGTGCTATTGAAACGAGATCGAGATTCACGTACATAGTCATCTCTCTGTAAATTAAATTTTATTTAGTTTAAATATTGAAAATAAATAATGTTTAAATTAATAATATTTACTCCATTTGTTGGTAGATGTATAGTTTGTGGTGCCATTACATTAACATAACGTGGAGGTCGAAAAACTCTAGAATTAGTGTAACCTTCTTGACGAATCGATCCTTTGGAAAAACTATTACGATGATTGTTTACACCTTCATCATAATAACTATTTTGATGAGACAATGAATTATTTGAAAAACTATTGTGACGAATAGCATTATGATTCATGTTTCCACCATTATGACGAGAGCTAGGGCCATTGAAGCTGTTATGACGTGAAGTTGAACCACTGAAGCTGTTATGACGAGACATTGAACCATTAAAGCTGTTATGACGTGAAGTTGAACCATTAAAGCCGTTATGATGAGAAGTTGGCCCATTGAAATATCTAGACTGACGAGGAGCCGGGCCATTTGAATATCTGTTTTGATGCATGGGAGCTGACCTACTGGAATCACGATGATGCTCTTGACTATTAGACCTACTCACAGGCCGATCCTGAGAATAACTATTGTAACGATTTTGTGAATAATATTTTCTAGGACTTTGTTTGTATTCTCTAGAGGCCATATGTCCAACAGACATATCACGATTATGATCTTGGTGATCAATATAATCACGTCTTGTTGCACGAGAACTACTACGAGATTGTTGAGACTTATTTTTGGTATAATTCTGAACTTTTGTGTTTGATGGACGTAATGTTTTGTCATTATCATCAGATAAAACAACAGGTTGTTGACGTTGCTTTTGTTGAGATCGTCGTTTATTTTTGGGAGTATCTAACGATGGTGTATCAGCAACTAGTGTATCAGAATTCTTAGAATCTAATGCTGGTGATGTTACAGTTTTAGCAGATTCAGATTTAGTGCGACGTTTATTGGGTTTTTTTGATGAAGAACGTTGTTCCTTCTGATCATTTTGTTGATTATTGGGTCTCGAAGTTGAATTATTACGGTTTTGTCGGTTTGAAGTAGATTTAGCACGTTTATTAGGTTTAACTTTGCCATCAGATTTTTTTGTAGACTGCTTTGAGGTAAAATGATTTTTTGATACATCTGTATCTTTAAATACAGAGTCATTAGTTTCAGATCGAGTTGAGTATGAGCGCTTTTGACGATAACTGTGTATAAAACAAAAACAAAATCATAAAATAAATACATAAATACATAGATAAACAAATTTATAAGTTACCCTTTGGACTTTTTGTAGCTTTTATAAATTTTCGACGAAGGAGGTATTTCTTCAGGTTCACTATCAACATCTTTGAGAGTACAATCTATGTCGTCATTGTCCTTTTCTTGTTTAGTACGCAATAATTGTAATGGTGGCATCTCTAACAACCTACGTTTAGAAATGTAATTCCATAACACATCTTTAGGACGATCGAGTCGTGTTTCAACTCTAATTATTTCAGTAGAGGTAATGATGATATCTACAGGTACATCATAGGGCTTGAAAATTTCTGATGGTAGAGTGTTAAATACCTAAAACCACAACAATTTGTAATTAAATCTTTGGATTTTTTTTTTTTACTACAACTTAATCACTTATGAAATACAGTATGATTGGAAATCATTACTCAATAAATAAACATTTTTAAAAACTAATAAGATACATCGAGCACCACTTAATTAACCTAACACTCCAGTATATTGTTAAAATGCCAATTATTTTAATTATTATACATAGGAATTTGATGTTTTCAATAAAGTAAGTTAATAGACAGAATAAATATGATAATTAATTTGACAGTTTTTTCAAAAACAATTTAGGCTAAAATAGTGGTAAACTTGAAAAAATTTAGAAATGGTATACTGTGCACCCAAGAAATTGGTTAATAAAGACAAAATTGCCTTATTTTTTTGATAGAAAAATATTAATAATATTTACTTTCTTAATCTACTTGTGTTTGTTATTTGTCAGGAGAGGGAAAATGTTCAATTAAATTATATAATGTAGGTATATAGTACAACCTATATCAAATTTAATAATTCATATTTTTATTAGGTAATTTTAATAAAATAATTAAGAAAAAACAAAATTATTAAATGGTTAATACACGCTAAAAAAATAAATGAATGAATGCATCACCTGGAGTATTATGAAATGTGTATAGAATGACCGGTATATCAAATTAAAAATTCATCATTAATTCCATAATACTTTAGGCAACAAATTAATTAATTAAATTAAATATTTAATAATTTTAAAAATCAATTAAATTAATTTTAATAAAAACAAAAGATGACTGAATAAACTGTAACTGATTTGATCACATACCTGTGAATCATGAACAATAGTAACTATGACAGTATTGTCAGACACCATATTCATAGAATTCAAAATAACATATTCTAAATCGCAAAATCCGTCTCCAATTCCAATTCTACAACCTAATATGATAAAACAAATATTATTTTGTATTAATATAAATAAAAAGAGCAGTAAATTTTACCTTTACGATCAACAGCAACTGATCCCAGAATAATCATGTCTATATGATATCCTTCATTATTTTGATCCATAGTTATTAATTTGTGTCCCCATCTACGAAGGCCTTTTTGGGTGCTAGCTAATTTCAGATCATTTATCGATGGTTCGGGAAATGGCAGAGATACATTTTGAAGGAGTCCTTCTTTTAAACGAAGCAATGGGACTAATAGTCTTTTACCCCACTAAAAAAAAAGGATAAATTAATACATTAAATAGTTATACATATATATAAAAAAATAATAAAAATATGTAAAATAGTTTTTATAAACTAAAGGAACAATCGCAAGATGGGGTAAGAAAACACAGAAAAATTGAAAACAGGACAATTGAAGAACAGTAAGTAGTGACACCAAATGAATTGTTAAGTCAAAAAGAGAGAAGTTTAATTACTAAAAATATTAATTGATTAAAAAAAATATATTTGCATTTAATAATCTAGTACAAATATTATATTAATAAACCAAAAGTTTTACTTATTAGTAATAATTCTTTAAATAAAATGGCAACTTACATTAAGAGTTATAAAACGAGCCGTTTCTTGAGCTTTATCAGGAGTAACTTGAATTGTCTTAGCTTTTTTAAATTCATCTAATTTTTCCAATGATTGAGTAGCATTAGGACATCCCTTAAAATTTGGAATCCGATTAAAGCAAGGTTTTGGAAATACAACTAATGAGTTTTCTTCCAAAAATTTCCAAACTTTTTGACGGATATCTTTCTTAGATGTTAGCTCCAAAATAATATTGTCATCAATACGTAATGGTTTAGTTAAATCGTCTGAACTTTGAATAGTTACAACTTCATTCAAATCAGCTTTTGTAAATTCTTGAACTTCAATCTCATTTGATTCCAGACAAATATCCTCTTTATCTTCTTTAACCTCATTTGATACACTAGTTTCATTTTCTATTGTAACTAAATCCTTTTCATTGGAAATTTGAATATTTTCAGATTGAATTTCTTCAAAATTATCGAAACCTTTGATTTTTTCTGGTTCGTCAGATTTCATACATTGGTCAGTAGATTGTTGTTTCTCTGGTTCTTTAGATAGGTCAGTTTTAGAAGTAGCTAAACATAAAATAATAAGTGCATTCCAAAATAAATATTTAAAACGCAATATTTAAAAAAATAAGTCTTATATAACATAGTACTAACTTAAGTTTGTAAGATTTACTGGCGGTGTTTTAGACACTGGACTTTTCAGTGCAGGATTCGATTTGCCTCTAGTTGATAGGGCAAGTTTTTCAGCAAGAGAAAGTGTTTTATTATTACTTCCTGGGCTTGATTTGGTTGAAGACGGTGATGAACGTACAGTTTTAGATAAGCTTGTAGAAGCGCCATCAGACTTTGAACCATCATCAAGCATTTTAGGGCTTTTTGGTGAACCAGTTGTAGTTTTTGATTGACTCATGCTTCCAGAAACTACAAGTTTTGGACTGGGAGGATTTTTTAACTTTGAACCTTCGTTAGGAAATTGATGCAAATCTAATAACACAAAGTTATTTGAAAAATTAAAAAAATTGTATCTACACAAATTCTTTAAAGCTAGCTTTTCTGGAGAAAATCTGAAATAAATTGAAAATGAAAGAAAGGAACTAAGGATAAATAAAATTAAAACAAAGTATGTAGAGTATGAGTTTGCAGGAATAGGACACAGCTAATGATAATAAGCGTAGTTGAGTTTTAAGTACCTAGGATTTTGTACAAAAGAACGGTGGCTTCTATGAGGATGTAAAACATAGGGTAACATATGATTGGAACAGTGGAAAGAAGCATCAGGTGTTTAGGTAACAAGTGAATTCCAACGAGACTTAAGATAAGTTCTACGAAAGTCTGGAGAGAGTGATAATGTTGTATGGTTCTAAGTGTGGATAGTAAACAAAAAGAAAGAGAGAATGAGAATAGCAGATATGAGAATACTTAGATGGATAAGTAACAAGGAATGAATTAATAAAAGGGAGCTTAGATGTGGGTTCAAAAGTAGACAAAATAAGAGGAAATAGACAGAGGTGGCTAAGGCATGTTATGAGACAGAAATTTAAAGCAGTAAGAATTGAAATGAAAATAAACATTGGAGGAAAGACCTTTCTTTCCCAAGAGAAAGACCCAAAGAGATAGTTGGATGAGACTGAGAATGATATGAAGACAGTCACTGTATTAAGGGTGAGAGATCAGGTCAAATGGAAGTTTAGAATAAGGATAACAGACCCCAAATAAATAGAATGAAGGTGAAGGAGAAGATTTTAACTAAAAATAGCATAATATTATATTTTGATTTTTAATATAATGAATTAATCTACCTTTATATAATATACAAAGTTAAAGGGCACTTTTTTAAAAGCATAGCTAGTTAAGCAAGATAAATGCAAGCTTTATAGATTGTAGCTAATAGGTCCACACTAAAAGAGGTAAAAAGCCAAGTCTATCGGAATTAAAATGTACCAGTACCCATAAGTACACCATAGACTAGCCTAGGGGCCTAATACAAGATTTTTGGAATTTTTAGAACAAAAATTTATTTACTTTTGATGGTTTAGGGTTACTTTGACGATATGGATAAAAATAAAGTTAATTTAATTATCACAATCAAAGTTTAAGTACCCTTAAAAAAAAATTTAAATATTACCTACTGGACAGTAACGGTTAATGGGGAAATTAACTTTAAATTTTTTTTTCCTAATACTATACATATACAAAAAAATTAATTTGTAAACATTTACAGGCATGTAGTAATAGGGAAAGGAAAGGAAAAAGGGAACCACATATTTATTTTTATTAAATACCGTTAGAGGCAGCTATACTAGAACAGCTGGTAAGAATAGATTGAAGTGGCTCTTTGGGTAAAAATCAGAATTTCGAAAAATGTCAAATACATATATTTTCCATGTGCTCCTTATAAAGTTCTAACCAATGACACATGATTGAATTTTCGATTTTTTCTTTTCCCGCGGAAAATGAAAAATCCAACAATTTATTAAATTAAGGAACATTGACAAGACGGGAGCACGGAAAATATAATTGGCGTTTTTTCGATAATTAACTTTTTTTTTTTATTATTACCCCAAAGGCCAAGGTACTTCAACTATAATATAAAATTGGATTAAATTTCGAACCCCTTAGCCAACAATAAATGCAATAAACACACAAATTCCATAATATAATAAATTATCAAAACCAAACAAATTTAACTATAAGGATAAAAATGAATTTGGATATAATAATTCAAAATAAATAATAGGTAATAAATATTAAAGGTTACGTAAGTTGGTTAATATAAATATTACATTTATTTTAGAAAAAAATATTGAATATAAAAAAAGTTTGATGGAATCAATACAAGGTAAACCAATATAGTTATACCAATAAATAATTTAAAATTAAATGTAGAAATCACATAAATAAAATATACTTGTTTACAATGTACCTTAGTAAATAGCATAAATTAAATAATCTAATTATATTATTTGGGTAAATACTAGCATCAAATAATTTCTGTGAAAATTAATAATTCAATTAGGTAGATTAAAAATATGTCAGTTTCATAATTCATAATTAATTTTCTACGAAATTCTTTAAAATCAAAGGAATAATAATTCAATACTACTGACTCGTAAAATCAAATACAACAGCTCACAAACAAAATATAAATAAGTAATAAGAAAAAAAAATCGGCATTGCTTTTGCAGAAAAAGCTATGGGTGAAGACACAAAGTTTCGCAAAAATTGAAATTATCCGAGATGCAGAGACTGGGGACGTTGTTCACGTGACCCAGTGACTAACCAATATTATTATACGAGAATAAATAACCAGCGAGAAAACATACATAAACCAAACGCGGAAAATGGCGGACAACGAAATAAAAAAAAAAAATTGAAATGCTTATACCTATGCGCGTGTATAATACTGACCTGCAGAAGTACTCGTCATTCCTAATTTAGACACGGACGGATTTTTACGTTACAGGGAGAGAATAAAATTCGTTATTAAAATGACGTTTAAATCGTAATTCAACAATCTAAACAGCAGCAATAATAATACCGTACGACGAGGATCGTGTTATGACGCAAAACAAGTCATTCGATTTGCATAATATTACACAATGCGAGCGATAAATTATTACATTAATAACGATAATTGCATTTAATTAACTGATTAATTAACAGCGGACAGTGCGCAGAAAATTTCGAATAGATTGTGGCAAACGTACCGCGACAAATGTCAAAATGGAACGGATATACTTTTACACTTACCAGTATTGCCCATGGTGTGCACTGTAGAACTCTATGGCAGTAAGGCAGCGTGCACAAATAACATAAACTCACAGGTTCGATGGGGAAACAAAAATGACGTTCATCGGTTCAACTCACTCAGCGATGGTTCGGCGGTGCGGGCTCGATAAAAATGTCTATTTTCAAAGATGTTCCGAGTGAACCCGAAAGCACCGGTCCGCGGCGCGATAACTGAATCCGCTGGCCAATGGAAACTCGTCGAAATTCGCCCGGGTATTCCCTATACGTGACGTGTACGGCTTCCGTTTATTTTTAAACGGACCGGACCGCGACAATAATATTATATTCCAAAATATATTACACTATCCAAACGTTGATAATTATTAAAGTGATAGTCACTGCGAAAAGACAGAATCGTAGAAAAACGAATAATACAAAGAATACACGAGTTGTTTATAAATAATCATCGCAAATCTCCATGACGGTAGATTTAGGAATAGGTTGATAATACTTAACAAAATATAATTTCACTGTAAAGAAATAATATGTCGACATCAAAACTGAGTAGATCGTTTAATATTATAGAAAATGAAATCTTAAATTTTGGATTTATCTTGAACGTTTTTTCCACAATAACTGGTCCAGTTTTGTACTGTATAAATGTACAATATATTGGCAATAGGCAAATTTATGCATAATAATTATGATTAAAAATTACAATACCTATAGATAATATACACAGTGGTCTATTTATCGTGAATCAGTTATTTACTCGGAGATCTCAGAGTTAAAACTTCACACCTATCCATTTTCAGATGTTGAATTGATAAATCTTCTCTATGCTCTTCTGATTTCTAAACTTTGAATTATTTTGTCTTATAAACGATTAATATACGTACATAAATTATGAGTAGGGTTAAATAATTAAAAAAAGTATTCAAATAAAATATTTCTGATTCTGTAACAATTTTAAAAAACAAAAATCAAATTTATTTACAATCCTCTAAATTGTTTTAATTGCTTGGTTTTGTTAATAACTTTTACAAACATGGAACATTAATTTTCAAATAATTATTCATTATAAACATTGAAAATATTTACAATATTTGGGCAGGTAGGTAGTTAATAATTATAAGTTATTATAAACAATATTTCCAAACAAGGGCGGTTAAATAATAATTATAGCGGAATATATCCCTCATTATATAATTTGTCTTAAATATTTATAATATATATATATATATATTATATTGCATATTTACAATAAATTATAAACAATGAGTGTATAAGATAATTCTTAAAAATGATCCTTACCCCCCCCATGACAAGATGGGCTTGACCACCGCTTTTATCAAGACCGTTAAACTGTTTAATTTTAATTTTTTTTTTTGTATTTTTTAATTCAAGTTTAATAATATTGGTTCCAATTAATATGTTTTTCTTTACTAGATATTAAATAAAGTACCTAATAAAGAAACCGTCAACTTTAATATTCTGTATAGGTTATAGATAATCATTATTGTTTAGAAAATATAACCGCATCAGATAATGCACTCATTCTTATTATATTGATTTAAATAAATTCAATTTATTAGAGATTATATCAAAATTGTTTAAATCCTGATTGTGATAATGTAATAGAATAATATGATATATTGATATGATAATGATTTCTGCAGATTTATTATTAACTAACGGATTTAATATAATATAGACTGGTGTTGCCAGTTGGCATTTAAACTTGATAAAATATTATTTACCAATGTTTTTCAAATAAATATAATATTTGAGTAAGTACAATATAGGAAAACTATTTCACCTATTATAGATACAAAATATTATATATAAAAAAAAAGAGCTGATACTGGTTATGGGAGCGGTCACTGTTATAGGCGAGAAGCTGGGAAGGTAGGATACATAAGGTTATTTCGTTTATATTTGTGAGCAACGAAAACCATTGCTTTACGAAGGACGATTCTGAGCGCAGTTCGGTAATACATAATTTGAAGTGCCGTGAATTTTTTTTTGTGATTTTCGTTTAAGTAGTATTTCAAAATGTTTATAAAAAAAAAAAAGAAAAAAGTCGTCCATGATTTTGTAAAATAATGAAATCGTGAAATTCTCACGTTTTTTCCCACTTAAGTCGTTTATTTAAAAAATAACGTTGAAAATCAAAAACGGACCACTTTAAAATACCATATAGACAACTTGAGCTTTCAGAAAAGTTGCTACACGTAAAAATCTGAGCTTGTTTACAAGAAAAAAAACGTGTCCAGAGACTAGAAGAAAAAAAAAATAAATATCTTAGTAAAACCAATAGCTCCCTCTTCACTACACTCGAAATCTAAAAAATATTTAAACTAGGTACTTAATTAGTTGATCATCATAGCAATAGGAATCATAAGATAAAATATTTAAAATAATATATTTAATATTGTATAGGTATTTATGCAGTAAATGGTATTTAAATTCCGCTGTCAAAATAAAATAAAGTATTCGAACCAACTAAAAAACATTTATTATTATTTATTACAATATGCATAAAAGTAATATAATATAATATTTTGGTATTTAAGAATAGAAAAAAAATTATTGGGATTTAATAAAATCACAATTTGAGTACCTATTTAATTTGGAACCGATATGATGTAGGTATCTAAACGGAAAAACACGGTAACCTCTTTCAAATATAGGTAATACTATCGCAGTTATAATGTTTATTATACGATTATACGAACGAAAGAAATTAGTCTAGAAATATCCTAAAATGTTTAATGGAATATCAATACTAAAACGTTAATTTGAAAGTGTAGGCTAATACATTGTACTATTCGGCTATTTTATTATAACTTGATTTAAAAATGTTTTAAAATTAATTCATATACAAATTATGTAGGTATTAAAACCTACATACTACAACTACATATTATAACTAGCGTTTATACTTATTTAGTTAACAATGTATAATAATTAAATGGGGACCTATTCAAAGTTATACAACAATATACAATTTTATTTTGTCATGGAAATACAATTATTGAACAATTTGAAATTACTTGTAAATAGCTATCGGTTAGAATAAATTACAATAGGGTTAAGACATCGGTGTAGGCCAGTTTAAGCAACACAAAACATTCTAAAATGCATTAAAATTCGAAAAATATAGGTAGTCTTGTATTTAGTCTCAACTTAAAGGTTCTTCGCTGCATAATAATGCAATATAATTTTTTTCTTAATACTAATAATTCATTTTAGGTAGCTATTTGTATATTAGAAAAACAAATCTTTCACTTTATGGATACATACACGTACGTGGTATGTCTACATTATAAGGATTTTGATCTTTGATATGTATTATCATTTCTTAAATACAGTCGAATCATGACAACTTAAAATTTACGATTTCTTTAAAATATTATATTATAGTATTATATTAGTAACGTTCACTGGTGTCTTTACCCTACAGGTAATTTGTATTCGTTCAAAACGTACCTACATATAGATATAACGTTATAAATGCATTTATCTCACTAAAATGATATTCAATTATTTTCCTTAATTTGGAAGTATAGGTATAAATCATAAAAATTATAATATAATATTTTGTGCACTATAATGACCTAAGGATTATATATACATTTGAAAAGAGTAATTTTTTTAAAAATATGATAGGTAGGTAGGTATTTAATAATATTTACTATCGTGTTTTTGAAGGAAGATCGAAAATCATTGTCTTTTACAATTTATAATCCCCACTTATTAAAATTCACGAAATGTGCAAGCAGACAATTTATAAATTACAATATAGAGTAGGTACCTACTTTAATGACTAATACATTGAAAACACAATTTAAAATGAAAATTTTTTTTGTTTTTTGTATTTAATTGATGGTAAATGATAATTGGTTCAATTGGATATTATTTATTTACTTGCTTTCCGGTTGAAATAAATGTTAACACATTAAACACGCTCATGAATATTGTGTTATTATTGATGGACAAATAGGTATTAAACGTATTATTATTCAGTTAAAAATTTAAAAATATAAGTCAAGTCGGTACTTACGTATTTTATCCGAGCAACTGTGCCAACCACTTCACTTAATTGTATTTTATCAACAAATGAAACACACGAGTACATGTCTATTACGACAATGGTGGAATAATTCAATTATTATTGATATTATTTTTAGATTAATTATTATCAAACTTCTTGTTTAAATTATGGGAGAAGGGGAACTGTGCATAATAATAAATATTAATTACGACTTTAACCAGAATATTGTTCAATGAGAGAGAGAGTATTTTCCAATTTTTTTTTTTTGTCGTTAACCTATTTTTACATCTACTATATTTCTTATTTCTCATTATAATTGTTTAAACTGTAGACAATAAAATTACCCCTATGATCATCAACTAGAATAAATTTGCTACCATAAACCATCCCTAAGTTATTGACGATCGAAATTCGGAATAAGTTTTCTTGGTAGAATTGTTGATTAAGACAAAAAAAGACGAAATACTTCTAAGTGGTGAGGTACTGTTATAGGTGGGACGTGGGAAGTTGAGAAAGTAAATCATTAAATAAATCATTACAAACGGAAAATTATTTTGAGCGAAATTCGGTTGAAAATATTTTAAAATGTAATTTTCATCAAAATTTGAACCTAAATCTTAAATAAAAATTACTATATTACGTACATTTTTTTCAAAAAATTCCAAGTATAACTTACTTATAGTAAACTTTGTGTTAAATTTTCGAGCATTTGTTGCTCGGCCAAAACTATTTTATCCCCATAAACTCAAATCAAAACTAAATAAAATTCGAACATTTCAAATGAATATACTTAAATAATTTAAAAATATCCAGAATTTTAACACTTTTAGACAGGGTTAATCTAAGGAAAAATCAAGGTCTACAATTATTGAAAAAAAAAAAATACGGAACCGTTAACAATTGAACACATTTTCATTTTTTTCCCCCATATCTATTAAGAAAATAAAGAAATTACCTTCCAAATTTATCAATAAGACAAGTTATAACCAGAAACCATTCTTGAAGTTTGATTATCTGAGCAAGATTTCTGATAAAAAATATTGTTCTTACGGAAAATGAATAGTTCCTAAAACCAATATATTCCTTCCTTGCTTCGTTATCAATCAAAAAAGTAGGCACCTACCTATAATGTAGGTATCCATTTTATAGAAACCTACTGACTATTCTATTATACTCCAACCCACAGCAGAATAGGTACATATATATTATTTTATTAGTTTATTAATTATTACTTATTTAACTATATTGAAAAATAAACCTAGCTATTGTATATAGGGGCGGATCTAGAAATTAGATAAGGGAGCCAAAAAAAATTTTTTTTTTACGTTAAAAATGTATTTTGAATATTAGTTATAATTTGTATATTTAAGTAAAAGTCATGTTTTTTTAGCACCTAAATGTTAAGGAGGGGTGGCTTTAGTCTGCATTGCTCCTTCTTGCATCTGCCCCTGAACGCGTGGATAACACGATAAGTAATTTTATATTGAGTATCGATATTGTCTCAAACAAGAAAAATACAATTTTAACTTTTAATTTTGGAGTTTGGAACATAATATTCATATCTGTATTATACATTTAATATGTACTATTATCTTTTAAAAGATAAATGCTAATATTATAAAGGCAACGAGCTGTATCAGGGGCCGTTCAATATCCAGTTAACCTTTTGTCTGACGAATGGATATCCCATGGTAGAAAACGTTATTTTTAAATATTTAATATTTATTGATTGGATATATTATCATTAATGTGCATTTTTCTTTTATTCTTGTATAAAAGTAGATTAAAATGATTCGTTTATGATATAGGTAGGCACCCCCAATTATTGAAATTTGTAATATTACAATTGACTTGGGCGCTACTGACCAACAGTAATACTTAAATTATTTATAATATATTCTTGTTTACAAGGAAGATTCATTATAATAAATAATAATAAGGCATTCCTTCCTTCTTTAATTTTATAAAACTTATTGAGAAGAACAATGCAACTGGCAAAAACAATACTAACGCAGAATAAGTAAAACTCTAAGCGCAAATAGAGGGGAGGCTTTAGGAGTTAACCCCCACTAAAAAAATTCAATAGCCACCACAAAGGTTTTTTCTAATTATTGAATTATTCAATAGTTTATGATGCTAGGTAAAACATTTATTTATAATAAAAATAAATTGTAACCAATAAATTTACGATTGGTGAAAAGTGAATGACGAAAATTCAAAAAATAATCACGGTTTTACGACAAGCAAACAATAAGCAAGTGTAATATCTTACTATGCAGTTGATTTCGTAATATTTTAAGACAGCGTTATTCATTGAACAAATTGTATTCATCGTGATGTAATTATAATACTATTGTAATATTGTACATTATGCATGAGTTTTCACCGCAGTCTCGCTCAGTACCTGCGCGAAGAGTGTGCAGAAAGTGCAATCGCACTGGGTCTCACACTTTTCGATTCGGCTCTAAAGGCCTCGTGTTTTTATGAGGTGCCTATACAAATTTAAAAATAATATAATTTGCACAGAGACTCGCAGATTATAACGCCGGCATTGTTCTAGCAGAGTGTAAAGTGAGCTGTTCATTTATTGAAATTTCAAACGCCGTTGTTAAGTAAAAATGGAATATCCACGGATTCCAAATTAAACTGCAGTCAGTGGCGTCATTCCAGTTTTTGTAAGGGAAGGGGGAAAAAGAAAACCACGCCATAACTTATTCGTCACAAATATATTTTTATCTCAATAGAAATGCCCTTCTTACATAATTTTATATTTACCATCATACACATAAATAACCATTCTTTTAAGGAATAATAAATAATAAATAGTAAATATTTATATGTAGAGAAGATACCCTATTTTCGCCTATGAGTAAAACTAGTTTAATTTTGATTTTAGAGTAGTACCTACTATGAAATTTATAGGAAACAATATTTTGGAGGAAACCTCATAGTTTTTGTATTATTTTAAATATACAGCTCGACATTAACACACAAAAATATTTGATTTTTATTTTTTAAATAACTACAATTATTAAATAGTTCATGTTTCAAAAAACACCTATGATATTCCCTCCAAAATATCGCTCTCTATACATTTCATAATAGGTATTTTTACTCTAAAATCAAAATTAAACTAATTTTTCTTAATTTGCGTTGTTTTTGCACGTTATAGCCTGTTTATGCCCGGTATAGTTGGAGTGAGATAGTAGATGCAGGTGTGGAATCCTCTTAATGACTTTATGACTTAAAGTTATTATCTTTATTCTTTATTAATCATACAACTGTCTATACTTAATATAATTAAGTGTTGAGTCGGTTTTCACAATTGGTACTTCTCAGACATGTTTTAATTTTCTTTTACGTTGAGAAACTTCTTTCAGCTTCAAAAGCAGTTATTGTAATGACTAACAAAAGTTTTAGCAACTTGAAAATGTCTTTAAATTTATTTTCTATATTGTTATTTAAAATGTTGTTATTACGATAACAAACAAGTACCGGAATTTCTTTCAATATCTGGATATTTTGAAATATCAGCGAATTTTTGAAATTTTGTTTTAAAACAGTTTATTGATTATTGTACAATGTACTGGATTCGTAATTTTTGCTTGAATACTTATAATTTGTTCTTATATTAAATTAAAGATTCTTTGTGTGTGTGTGTGTGTGTGCACTGTATTGACAATTCTTAAATTGAAATTCTAACGTGTTATGAACAACTCACGGCAAACGAGTACCTGTTATATCTGTCATATCAAATACAGCTAAACTCTCAAAGTAGAATTAAAAAAAATACTGTTATCTCAAACAAATTGGAAAAAAATATTTTTATTTGGTTATTTTGCGTGGTACCTATTGCTCAGGTCATTATTACATTTAATTGTCGAGCGTAGCAATAATTGTATAAATATAATATACATATTATGTACAGCCATACAGGGTTTCCCGCGATGATATGACACTTGAAATAACTTATGTCATAGGTTGAAAGTTAGAAAGGTAAGATATAATAATTTGTTATGTCTATAATATCAGAGGTAGTTTAATAAAATATGTATTGACAATAGAATAGATATATTACGGTATGTATGACTTTTAGCAAAATACAATATTTTACATTTTATTTATAGCTTTTTTTTAAATTTAAATTTACTCTTTTTACTTAGAAAATTCAGCTAACTTCTTAAGGCGGGTCCGCACGGTATAATTTCGGATCGGCCCGGGGAGCGGTCTAAATCAAAGAAAAATCGGGCGAGCTGTGTCGCGCGTCAAAATTGCCCCATGTGGACGATTTATCAACAATGCCCAATAATTGAAATTTCAAGTAACCCCTGAACGTATACATCGAAAAATATATTTTAATATTATAATTAATATCGAAAATCTTTAAATATTATACTGTTTTCAATTGTAATATAATAATAATAATCATGGATCATAGTTGAAATTTGAAATATTATAAGGCATATTTTATAATAAACACAGACAACAGAAGTCCTTGAATGTGATCAAATTGATACCGTATTGAATGTAAAACTTGGTGCCAAGATTAAAGCCCGTAAGATAGCGTTTGGTGGCTGGTGCTGTAATCGATTATATTTAATATTTATAACGACCCATAATTTTAAATATAGTGCTGCCCTCTGGTTGTTCGTATTTTTCCATCGTTATTATTCCTACTCTATGGTTTAGACCACGGTATATCTATTTAAACACTATGGTAACTACATATAACCTAACATTTTCAAAAAGGTGACGGTGGGAGGGATGGTATATGTTATTTTGCTTGTCATCCACTTTCCGAACACAGTATTGTAGTTATATCACTAAAATATTGTTTGTCATTTAAGTGAAATAGTTTTGACTTGATTTTTCAAAAGTTATTTTATTTAATTCTTGTAATTTATAAAATCATAAATCATGAAGAAGGCCGAGAAGAAGACCGAGGAAATGGTGAGAATTTACAATATTAATATAGTTTGTGTGTTTATTTAGTTATATTTCAGTATTATAAAATCTATATAAGTAAAATGTATTTTATATTAGGCATAGAAACTATGTTTTATATTTTAATTTTTTTTTAGTCCGAGGAGGACAAACGATTAGAAGAAGAACTTCATATGTTGGTGGACAGAATATTAGTAAGTCACTATTTATTCATAATAATTATTCCTTAATGTTTTTTGTTTTGTTTTACTCAATTTGATACCTATGTATCATTTTTGATTAACTCATGTTCTTTTAAGTGTTTTTAATTTAATTCAAATTATATTATAAAATGTAATTTGTCTTTTTGATTTACCAAATTAATCAAATTCAAAATATCATAAATAGGGAGATTTTTGATAATCTTTCTGCTTAGATTATTCAATAATTGAGATATTTCAATTTATATTAAATTTATTAATTTGATAATCATCAAGTGATAGTTGACAAATAGTATAAACACATTTGTTTGTATTAATTATAACTAGCTCATTATCATATTAACTGTTGACCAGTTTGTAAAAACTCTAGTTCCATTGTTTTGGAAATTATTAGTTATTATATCTGATAGTTTTGTAATTAGGAATTTGATGTTTTAATTTTTTTGATATTTTAGGATACTGACACTTCTCTTTATGGTGCAGCGTTAGAAACTTTACGTAAATTGATTCGTACATCAACAACATCAATGACCAGTGTACCATTACCATTAAAGTTTTTACGCAGCTATTATTCGCGTTTGAAGGACAGATGTGACACAATTGAAACTGATGAAAAAACAAAGGCTTTGCTCTGTTCAATTGTCTCTATATTAGCTATGGGACAAGATAAAAGCTTAAGAGATACATTACGTTATTGTTTAAGAGCTGGAGAAATAGATGTTGGTGATTGGGGACATGAATATGTAAGGTAAAAATATACATTTTTTTTCATTGATGATTATGTTTTATAGCGGCTATAAATCTGAATTTATTCCAATACATTTTCTTTATAATTTACTTAAATTGTGATTTTATTTTTACTAAACTAGACAATTGGAAGCTGAGATTGCTGAAGAATGGAGTAATGATCAAGTAAATCGAGATAAATTGATTACACTGATCAAAAGTATTGTAGCTTTTGATATGAAACACAATGCTGAAATTCAAGCTTGTGATTTATTGATGGAAATTGATTTATTAGAACTTTTGGAAGTAGATAAATCAAATTACTTAAAAGTGTGTCTTTATTTAATAAAGTGAGTTTTTCATTGTATTTTTTTTTATAAATAGCATATTTACAGTATTATCCCGTTTTGTTAAAAAATAATTTGTAACAAGGGGAGGGTGGGCGGGTGATAGCCCAAGAGTAGGTCCCTAAGATATTGGGTTCATGTGCCAGGGCAGTACACATTTGAAATATTTGACTATATCAAAATACTTATAAAACTAATAATGCTGTAATAAAAGTAGGTAGTTACAGAGCATATTTTAAGACATGTGCTTGTGTGAGGCCTTGTCATAAGATCTATGTGGGTTGGATTGATGTATTAAAAGGCCTTTATTTATGAATGCTCATATCATTTTTTTACCCCAGTCTGCCACTATTTGCAATTTTAATTAGATAATCAAATTTCAATGTAATAAATTCTTCCTAAAATGTTTTAATTCACCTACTTAGACTAGGTACTTAAATTTTGTATTTTTATTAAACAATTTTACTTAATCATGACTAATATATTTACATATTATAAAAACATAAATATTTTTAGTTAAATTATGTTTAATTAATTAATTAATAATTTTTTTCAGTTGTTCAATTTATGTAGTTGAACCAGAAAGAACAAATATTTATAATGAAGTATTGAAACATTATATGAATTTTGAAGAATACCCAAGAGCATTATGCTTGGCTATGTCAGTTAATGATACTGATACAATGACAAAAATATTTGTTGCATGCCAAGATCCGTAAGTTTTAAATTCGACTAATAATTTTAGTAAATTGCTTTTGTGAAATATTATAATGAGTTATTATAACATGTTATTAGTGGTATTAAATGTTTCTTTTTCTTTTTTTTACATTTTATACAATTACTGGTTATACAAATCTTAATTCAACTAAAATATATTTCACCTTTCAAAACTTCAAATGTGGTTTTTTAATATTTTAAGTGATGTTGTATTTAGAGTTCACAATATTGGTATCAGTAAATACTGACTAGTTATATTAAATAATTATTTTTGATTAGCTTAATCAAACCATTATTTTAGTGACAATTATTTGTTTGACAAAAAATTTTAGTAATTTATCCACTATCTTGGTAGGCACTTGTTTATCACATGTGTCATTGAATTAGTAAAATGTCCACAATATCATAAATATTTGTAAATTTACAGAGTCGTGAGAAAGCAGTTAGCATACATGTTGGGACGTCAATATGTTGGTTTGGAATTGGATGATGAACCAAAGGATAAAGCAGATCTCACAAATATCATGTCTAATTCTCATATTAACGAACATTTCAATAGTTTGGCAAGAGAAGTAAGTGTTTTAAGTTATAATTACATTATAATCATAATATGTACAATTTATTACTGTATAATGTGTTGTATTTATATTTGGTGTTTATGTGTATTTCTTAGTTAGATATATTAGAACCTAAGACACCAGATGATGTATACAAAACTTGGTTGGAAGGATTAGTATTACGTCCATCGTATAATTTAGATGTACCCGTAGACTCAGCTCGTCATAATCTTGCATCGACTTTTGTTAATGCTTTTGTCAATGCTGGATTTTCCCGTGACAAATTGGTATCAGTAGAAGATGGAAACAAATGGATGTACAAAAATAAGCAACATGGTAATTATTTCTGCAGAATTGAATCAATTATAGAAAATAATATACTTTGGTTATTAAAATGCATGCCATTTTTTAGGTATGTTAAGTGCTGCAGCATCTCTTGGACTTATTCATTTGTGGGATGTTCATGGTGGATTAACTCCAATTGATAAATATCTATACACTTCTGAAGAATATATTAAAGTAATTTTTGAAATAGTAGTATTTTAATTGTATAATATATATAACCTTATAATTTTTGGGTTTAGGCTGGTGCCCTCCTTGCTCTAGGAATTGTAAATGTTGGAGTACGTAATGAATGTGATCCAGCCTATTCACTTTTATCAGATTATGTTTTACATGAGAGTGTTTTACTTCGAATTGGAGCTGTTTTAGGTAAAATTGAACTTGTTCAATATTTGAAAATTATACTATAATGGTTTATGTATAAAATGATTTGCTTAGGTTTGGGACTTGCTTATGCTGGTACAAGACGTCAAGATGTGCTGTCATTATTGTTACCGGTTATGTCAAATTCCAAATCTACACCAGAAGTCGTTGCTTTGGCTGCCCTTTCATGCGGAATGATTAGTGTAGGTGCTGCTAATCAAGATGTTATATCTACAATCCTCCAAACACTAGTGGATTTACCTGTCACAGAATTGCAAGAAGGCCATTATTCAAGATTTTTACCTTTAGCCCTTGGACTATGTTATTTGGGTATGTTTTATTTTAGTAATTAATTTTCTTTAAATTTTCTTGGTTTATCTAAGTGTTCTAAAAATAATTTTAAAGTCTCAACGAAAATATAATTTATAATACTGTATGATTAAATTATACAGAAATATAAGTTAAACAAATGTTTTCATTAAAATATTTCAAAAAAAAATTTTAAAAGTGAGGAAAAACAAGTTATGAAAATTGAAGTTTGGCCCATCTTTTATTTATTTATTGAATTGTATTTTCTTTAGATAACTATATAAAATGGTGTATATTTTAAAAATATTTTAGTCACATAAAATTAAAAATTTTATGAAATATTATTTTTAGGCCTGAAGGACAAAGCTGATGCTCTTGATGGAGATTTAAATGTATTGGCTGATCCATTTAAGTCTATGGCTAAAATGACTGTCAAAATGTGTGCTTGTGCCGGCTCTGGTGATGTACTGACCATTCAAGAGTTGTTGCACATATGCAGTGAACATTATACTCCAGCTCCAGTAATTATTATTTATTTGGTTACATTTTTAAAAACTATTATATTTTGTTATTTGTTTTATAGAAGGAGGAAACTTCCAAAAAAAGTGATAAAAAAGATAAGGAAAGCGATAAAAAAGAAACTAATACAGCAGAAAAAGAAAAGGAGAAAGAAAAAAATAAAGAGACTGCTAGTAAGGACCTTTCAACAATGCAAGCGGTTGCAGCCTTAGCTGTTGCTGTTGTAGCTATGGGAGAAGACACTGGATCGGAAATGTGCACTCGCATCTTTGGTCAATTAGTATGATTTATATTTTATTTTATACTATTAAAAAGAAAACTACTTATTTAAGTTGGATTTATTTTAGGGGAGATATGGTGAACCACCAGTGAGAAGAGCTGTTCCATTAGCTATTGCATTGTTGTCTATATCAAACCCACAAATGAATATAATTGATGTGCTAAACAAGTACTCTCATGATTTAGATGAAGAAGTAGCACATAATGCTATATTTTCTATGGGTTTGGTTGGAGCTGGTACTAATAATGCAAGGTAAATATTTAAAATTATTATTTCATATTTTACTGGTTTTATATTTAGATATTCATATGTTTTATTTTATATTATGTACAGAACTTCTTGTAAAATTATTTGTTTTTCTTATAGGTTAGCAACTATGTTACGACAGTTGGCTCAATACCATGCTAAAAACACTGGTCATTTATTTATGGTGCGCATTGCACAAGGTTTGACACACATGGGCAAAGGTACACTATCACTATCACCTTTCCATACTGATAGACAGGTCATGAATCCAGTGGCTGTATCTGGCCTTTTAATCACACTGTTCAGCTTCTTGGATACTCGTAACAGTCAGTATATAATTTTTTTTTGTAATTCGTCACCTGTTACAAAATTTTAATTATTTTTTTGTATTTGTTAGTTATTTTGGGGAAATCTCACTATTTACTTTACACTTTGGTGGTTGCTATGTATCCAAGGTGGTTGGTGACTTTGGATGAAGACCTTGAACCACTCCCTGTATCAGTCAGAGTTGGTCAAGTGAGTTTTTTATTTGTTTAATTTACTAATATAAAATAATTAGTATATATATAATTTAGTTATTTTACATAAACAAATGTAATGATAAACAATTATTATTTTAGGCTGTTGATGTCATTGGCAAAGCTGGTACTCCAAAAACAATAGCTGGAGTTCACACTCATACGACTCCTGTTTTATTGGCAGTAGGAGAGCGAGCAGAACTTGCTACTGATGAATACAAATGTCTTACACCTGTCATGGAGGGATTTGTTATATTGCGTAAAAAGCAAGAAAATGAGTAAACATTTTTTTTTTTTTTTTTTACTTCATATATTATATTCTTTTTTTTTACAAAAAAATTAGTTGTGTGACAACAAAAAACGAATATTACCTATTTGTAAATATTTAATAATAAATATTAATATTTATAATAGACTGTCATTTGTTGTACTTTTTTACTTTTTTAGTAACAATTATGTTAACAATTGCTACAATTACAAATACAATTGTCCAGCAAAATAAGATAATTAATGATTTTTCCACAAAATAATTTTTTTCAATGAGATTTCTGACAAAATTAATTCCTACAGTAATTGGCAAATAATTCCCTATCACATAATTCCAGCTGAACAATTCATTGGGCGGCCACCATAGACCTAAATAATAATAATAAAAATATAATATATTATTATGATATTATTATGTTGTAGTCACTTAACCTGCCTCGTAGATACATGCAGTGAGTATTAAGTATAATATCACAATAACTTTGAAGTGTTTTTTTGTAAACAAACATAGGATGTACCCTGTAAACAAAAATATTTAAAATTATAATGATTTTTAATGTTTATGTAACTAATAATATTATCATACAGAATCACTGGATACTGTGTCTCGATCTTTTGAAAATGGGTTCATTTTAATTCAACAGATTTTTCAACAAATTATTTTGCCATTTTCAAAATACAAAAATTTCTAATGAAAATTCATTTTATAACATTTTATAATACAAGTCATTTTTTAGTTATTATCAAATGATATAAGTTCAGTCTGAGGTGTAATTTCGGACACATTATATTATTTAACTATTTCGTGGGTTAAAAAATTGTATTTTCAGTTATTTATTTTTCAAAAAAAAAAAAAAAATTTTATCATCTGTATTAGAATTTATCAGCTGATTAGAAAATGTTTTATGAGTATTTTAACACTATACTTACTACTTATACTTTGTTAAAAATGTGTGTCCTACATTAAGTTGAATGCATTTGCATAAACCTATATAAGTTTACTTCTTATGTACAGGTGCTATTTTTGTGTTAACAGTAAAATTCATGTTAATGGACAGATATTTTTCAATTGATTTTTTATTATTATTATTGTCCTGAGTTCAGGCAGTTATTATTCATAAAGAATTTAATTATTTGTCATGCACATATAGACAAAGTAAAAAATAAACCTCATAATCAACTGATATAACGCTGAAAGAACACCATTAAATGTTTATTATTAGTAATTTTTATTTTATTTAATACCAAATAAAACATTAAGAAAAATATTTTTTATTTTTTATAAATGTAGAGTTCTGTTTAATTTATTTATACTAGAGTATTGTTCTGAAGGAACCAATTTTTTTTAAATTTCCTATAGTGACCAAATAAACCTATTTGCAGTAGCGTAATCATGAAGGGAGGGGTGATCTAGGTGTTAAATCAATTACTATGTCTGACTGCATGTACTTGACTTTAAAGAGGATCAAACCATACTTCTGGAATATGATATTGGAGGTGTATTTATTATTTAAAATTAGGATACTTGAGAAATAGATTAAAACGCATTAGAGTATTTATACCGATTGACGGTATTTGTATGATTTTTTTTTCTCTAAATTGACAATTTAAATCTCGATTCCAATTCGTCTCGCAATAGTACACAGCGAATTTCAAATTCTATATCTTTACCTAGGTGTATTCCACAGACGCTCTCGAGAAACAAGCACAAAAACACGTAGTAACGATGAGGACTAATGTCGTATAGTGCGTGTATGTAGGCAACCGAAAATGCATTCCAAACGACGGCCAACGGTACTTGGACGGCGATGCGGGATAAATGCCACTTCCACGGTCCGTAATAACAGTAGTCGCCGCCGACTTGCATCAGTCGAACGGCAATCGACGCGTGGAAAAAGAACGTCAAACTATAATTACGTACAGGTTTAAGATTATGGGATAAGTTTCAAACGTATTTCCTATATTTATACCCAGGTACTTCGAGTATCTACTCGAAAGAAATACACGAATAGTAATAATTAATAACCAATAATTATAGTTCTGTTGCCTTCACCTTTATCCTACACAATGCAGCTAGGGGGGTGCGTCTCGCGATTTTTGGCCTAGAGAGTATAGATAAGATATGTACTCCTAGGTAGGTACTCTTATTTTGGTTTTTAACTTTTACTCTACATGCCCTTGTAGGTAATAAATTTCTGTACCAACAGGTCGGTACTTACACGATCATTAACCCGGAATTTACATATCGTCTGTAAATCGAATATTCAGCATAGTCGTCATGCGCCAACGTGTAGTTGTACTATGGAAAAAACAAATTCAATATTTCAAAATAATGTCTACTCAAAAATTGTTTCGTAGTATACCAATACCAAATCACCTTTATGTACTTGTAATTAATGTCCGTCGACACGTCACGTGCGTAGTTCGATAAAAATTTGTTGTAATGTCTTAATAGTTTATCTTTTACGTGTTCTGTTTTTTGGCCATCTGAAAAAAATCCCTAAAAGGTATAATCAGGGTCATGATTTTAATGAATAAATTAAGAGGGCTGTTCTAGTCTTTATAACTTTTAGATTCGGAGAGTAGCGAGGAATGTAATGGTTTTACAATAATGTAAATAATAATGTACTGTACCTATATATTTTTTTGTTCTGTGAACAACTTTTCGACCAGAAACCTTGCTCTAATGTATCAAATTGTAGCAACTTATTATGTATAAATAGCATAAGTAATGTGTAAGGCAGTGGTTCTAAACCAGGGTGATATGAATGAAATGCAGAGGTAACATGAGGTGACATGAAATAATCGAGGAAAAGATAATACAACTTTTAATTTTTTAGAATAAAATCGTATTATTGCCGTCATTATCATAAAACCACAACACCGTCCGAACAACGTAACATTCCCTCATCACTAAATTTTCAATGATGATACCGTTACTTGAATATCCTATAATTTCAATGGATTATGCATTGGTACGGTGACTTAGTGTTGGATTATAGTCGATAAGGGTTGACATGAATTAATAATGATTGAGAACCACTAGTGTAAGGTAAGTAATGACAGTAGTGTATTAAGAGCTACGCCCTGCCATAGGGGTTTTTTTTTTGGCTATGAAAATCTATTAACTATCAATTGAATTAAAAAGTGTATCCCCTGAAATCTGATGTATTTTAGACTCTGATTCTAAGTGTAACAAAGAATGTATTGGTTTAACTAAGATGATTATTTTTATTTTTTTTATACTGTGTACAAAAATTCTATTATAAATCTTGCTCAGATATACATGCGCGGCACCATTTCTGAAAAGAAATGTTACCCAGATGGAACTTTTGGGAGGACATTTTTTGATTTTTTAAGTGGTTTTCATAATATCTGGGAAAACCAGGATAAAACGTAAACAAAAAGGGAAATGTACGAATATATTGTTTATATTATTTTTCAATTTTGTTATTTGTTGTAATTCAGTTAAAAATATTTGTAGAGACTGGAAATTTGGACAGAAAATTTACGATTCCCAATTATAGATGTGGTTAAATTTTCAAACCATTTGTGTCTATTTTAAGCTATTTATAGACATTTAAATTTTTCTAGTTTCTTTTACGTGCTTTTTATTCGGTTATTTACTCTGATGATAAAATTGTTACACTAAACAGGAATGCATGAAAATTAAATATGTGTTATAAAGTCATACTTTGTAGTAAAAAAAAAAAAAAAATGAGTTATGTAGTAGGCATTTTTTTTAATAAAAATTTTAATATCAAATCGTACATATTACGGCCTTTTAAAAACATGTGGAACCGAATTTTGCTCCCAATAATTTTTCGTTAGTAATGGTTTGACGTGGCGTAGAGATATAAATTAAATTCTCCTCTATATCCTACCTTCCCAACTTCTCACCTACAACAGTGCCCCCCCCCCCTCGTCGTGCAAAGTATGTCCGTTTTTTTTACCTATTAAAGAATCCCGTTAATGATTTTGTAAACAGTGTAAAACATTTTAAACATAAGTACTGAATTAGGTATCCTATATAGATTTCCTACCTTTTCCCCTTCCTGTTTACGGTATTAGTCTCAGGCCTACTCATGAGCTATATTAGTTATTTTTTTCTCATTCCCATAGTTATTATGACGAATTTTAAGAATAAAATCGTTTTTAAATTGAAAATCGGTACGAAGATTTCAGAAAGTATGTTCGAGTATTGCGAGTTGTAGCGGCCCTTCGCACGACAACATCACGACTTACTACTTCTGAATTCCATGTTTTAAAAAATAGGTATTTGAAAACCACTAGGTATCAATTTAGTCAGTTAAATAGTCAGCAGGTTAATTATTTTTTATCATATATGGTACAATAGATTATAATATTATGTTATAATAAAAAAAAAAAAAAACAAATAGTTAATATGTCTACGCGAATAATGATAAAATTATAATTTTAACAAAGTATTAAATAATAGACTCGTACCGCGGTGGTAGGCTAGAGAATTGTTTCAAGGTCAAAAATAGCCTGGTTGGCATACATCTAGGTATATTATTATAATTTTAATAGTACCACCTATGTTGTTAAAAATAAACATAAATAGTTTTTCAACGTACCTAGGTAAATTAATAAATCGTCATAATGATAGTATAGATAATAATAGGTACTATAATTATTATTACTGGTTGTCAATGTAGTAATTATTGCTAATGCAAACTAATTTATTTTAATCTTGTCTGCTATTCTCAGTAGCTGGTAAAACTGAACCAAAAGAAAATCAACAATAACAATTTTAAATTTTTATGAAAAAATGTTCATAATATTGTATTACTCAATATTTTATAAATCTATGTATGAGTAAATAGCCAACAATAATTTGTGACTTCACATATTTGTGCGTTATAATTATTTATACACGACTCGTATTAAACTTGCATAAGTTAAAAGACTTTATACGTTTCTGCTGTATAATTAACTTTATTTTTCGAGGAAAAAAATATGAACTTACTATGATTTTTGAAGTTGATAAACAATATTACAAATTATGATAAAATAATTGTATCGTGTTAAATAGGTATAATTTTTGTTAAAAAAAAATCTATGCACCCGATTGATAACAGAGGTTAATCGATGAATTTTTTTTTTTTTATCAAGTTATAGGTGATTAAATTTATTGAAACGAAACACTATACACACATAATTTGTATGTAATTTATTCACCCAATCTCTTATTATCCTGCTCTCGTCTACTGAAAATAAGAACTACGAATGTTGGTTTATTCAAAATTACCGGTCATACTCATTGTGATTTCTATTCGACTATTATCAAAATCGGTGTCATGTTCAATTTTCCTTTTGATCCTCCGTTGCAAAGCTGCAGTATAGTTTCGATTAAAAAACAGCAAACATTCATACTCAATTTCAGCACTTCTGGACGTAGTATTGTTTTCATTAGAAATGTACATCTGTATTATACGAAAAATAATTCGGTGCTATATGTAAAATTTGATATTATGAGCAATGTCCGCCCAAAGGTATAGTTTTATGAGTTTAAAGAATCGCCGTTGGGCCTGATATTATGACCGTATCTGAGTCCCCGAAAGGAAGTTCTAGGGATTCTAATCTAGATACCAAAACTTTGGTCCAACTATGGTTTTGTGTAAGATAACTAAATTTAAATAGGATTAATAGGAAGTAAAATGAGTTGACTTGAACATAAATGTTTTTATAAAAGGAGAGTTAAATTAATTTAATTTTAGAATATTTTATCAATAAATTAGTGTACGGTGAATGGGTTAAATAATTGACTGTTGTTTCACAAATAATATACATTTGCGCTACCATTGATTATAAGCGATTATGAATAGATAATTAATAGTTAAGGGGTTTAACCCTTATCCCTCCTTTAACAAAGTTGTAAAAGTGAAAATGTCTAATGTATTCTAAAATTTAAAATGTTTATTTTTTAAACCATTTTTTTTTTTAACTGAATAAATACTTAATATATAGTAAATAGTATAGGTACACACTCGCACAGAATTATTCTTTGGTAAATATTTAAATTTCATCTACATCATGATATAATATATTATGTCTTATCATCGTCCATTGACGGCCTAGACTAGAAATTGATAACGCCGTTGACAACGTTACTACTTCAGACTGTTGACAGCACTTGCTTGTTTAATGACACTAATTCAACAGACATAAAAGACTTTGAATCACTATTTTCTTTTTATCTTCCTGAAATGATACTGTCACAGTTAACTGTGAGCTACAAATTTAGAAACAAAAACTCCAAGGGCTAGTAATAAGCAATGATGAAATGCTGCCTTCTAATACATTGGATGCTATTGGACCCAATCATATTGCCAAATATACTTATGTTACTAAAAATATAGTGCAGTCTACCTATTTTTATTTTAACGCCAGAAAGATATTTTTCTGGCATAAAACGAATAAATAAGACTTACCTCAGAAACAATATGAAAGAAGTATGTATACACAATTAATTCTGATTTCATTTTATTTATTGAATTTTTTGTCAAATAGGATGGTCTTAATAGAATAGTGCTATTAAGTTATTACCAAAATATCGTCATCACGCCCGATGGAGTATTGAATGAATTAGCTAAGAAGCCGAGAAAAATTGACTTAATGTTATCATGAAAATATAACATTTTATTCTCACAATTTTGATGTTTAACTCAATGTAATTTCTTATAATAATATCCTCTATACAATTCCTATCTATGGAACTGGACTCCCCATAGAAAATTCCTAGCTACGGCCCTATGAATAATAATTTTTTTGATTACCTTAATTATTATACTCGTATGTTTCAGCTCAAAATATACGCCCAGAATAGAAATAACAATAGTATAAAATGATTAATAGCAGTAAAAGCTAATCAATTGCCTAGTCCCGACGCCCAATTTTTAAAATATTAATACAATCTACATTCTACAGCAATAAGTATACGTTTTTATTTTAATTGTGTGTAGTGATTTAATGTGCGCATGTAAATAAATTAAGTTTTTATACTTTATTGGGTGTATCTAAAACTAAAGTTGATATGTGTACCATAGTCATTATTATCACAAATTGAATGGGCAATGTAAACATTTAAAAAATTACAATATTTTTAGAACTCATGATTAAAAAAAATATGATGTTACGATACGATATTATGCAGATATTATGATACGATATATACATTTATGCAGTATATAATCCATTATAATCCATTATATACATGTAAAGGTATATTAAACGAATGTTTACATAAAAACGCTATTTGTATGTAAAATAATAATTTTATGAAAAATAGTAAAAAATATAAAATTTAGAAAATAGTTTTTTTATACAAATATTGTTGTATACAATATTTTATACAAATTAATACTTCATTGGTCAGTTAAAAATATGAAATAATTTGTGAAAATCAAAAATCAATAACTTTGGGCACTTACTTATGACACGGTCTAACTTTTTCCGATTGTTTTGAGACTTCTAATATTTAATTTTTATGTCTTACTGAATCAACCTATGTGGTGTAAACTGAGAAATATATATTTTTTAAAAACCATCATATAAGGGCTACCCTAATATATATAATATATATAGTAGGTATCTATAAAGTTAGACTTATAGCAGAATGCTACATCATTTATTTGTAGACGTCAATGAAATAGTAAAATCAAGAGAAATATTAAGAGCAAGAAGAGTTCAATATTAATTAGTTACATACTTGTTTAATGATTATGTTTTGTAATCTGTAGCTTTAATAAATTCTAAAACCAATTTTTCAAGATTTTTGAATGCAAAGTTAACTCGATTTGTCAAAATCTCTCGATAAAATTAGTAAATATTATTATTATTAATCTTTTTAATATTTCAAGTGAGAACTATTCTCTAGTGGTACAAAAATACGCCTATACATAACTATTTTAAGATCATATATTAACTTATGGTTGTGAAATTTGGTCAATGACAGTGCAAACTGAACGGAAAATTAGAAGTTTTAAAAATAAACTATTAAAGAAAAATGTGTTACCCAGTGTTTTACAACGCAATAAATGGATGGCAAAAAAGGAAAAACGTGGAAATAAAGGAAATCACCCAAGTACCTTGTATAACAAGCTACGCGAAGGGACAAAGAATTCAGTGCCTTGTTCACAAAGGAAAAAGGGAAGAATGATATGGAGCTAGGGCGTCAATTGAGTACAAACTAACAAGAAGAAGAGGCCAAAAAAACGATGGATAGACGGAACGCGCCACGAACTGGAGAGTCTAGAGGAAACGGAATGGAAGGAAAAAATCCAGGATCGTTACTATCGGCAACTGTGGAGTTAAAACTCTTACAGAGTTGTAAGACAACATAAAAAAGAAGACGATTATTATTAATCTACCTTTATTTCAGGACTGGTTAAATGAGGCGAGGGGATTTATCCAGCCCCTTGACCTTCAATGTTTATAATAATGTATACATTATACTTATTACCTATTATATTTATAAAAATTAAAATTGAACGAGTCGGTTACTTCGTATACTTTCCGCATTTGATTCTTGAGTCATATTTAATTCGAATATAAATATATCTACAAAAAGTGCAACGTATACCAAAATATAACTATACTTTTATTGCTTAATATTTCGTTCCATTATACGTATACATAGGTACCTATATATAGCTATCTTTATTACACACCATGTACAGTGCAATCATGTATAATTATAGTAACATAATAATAAGTAAAAAATATGAGATAATTTACAGACCAGTTGAAACGACTTGGCCAAATATTGTCTAGTGAACGTGTAGCTCATCGTTTCAGCGGGCCGGTACTTATCGCAGTCGCCCAACTCGTCGGACGTGTTGTACGTCACGCTCGTTTCTTGACTGTGCACCGCTATGCGTACTGCGCGTTGGGAATTTGCCGTGAACGCCATATGCACGGCTAAAGGTAACAACACCGCGTACGCACACACGAAAAGAGATATCCTGTAAAAAATTTAAAAAAAAACGCCCCCCGAAAAAAATCTGTAATGATAAAACATTATATGAAGGGCACGGTAATAATAACGCGTAGTGAACCCGAGAGCAGAGAGCAACAACAATATTTTTTTTACATGTAAATAATATAAGAATCTGTAGGTTAAACAAACCGACCACAAAGGCTATAAGCGCGCGTATCACGATAATGTGATGCCAAGTTGAAATGTAAACGCGTATAGGCAATTATAATATTTTTCTAAATTACATAGATACCTATAAGAATTGCAATAAGTTCATATTTTTAAATTTAAAAGTTTAATTTAATTGAGTTTTTCTGTTGAATTTAAATGCCAGGCAATATCTTAAAAACAAATTAGTTACTTAAAAAGATACCTAACCTACACGCAGAGGCGTGTTCAGTATAAAAATTTAGAACAGGTTCGGTTCACTGACCAAAATCCAGTTTTATAAGAATCGAATAATTAATCCTATTTTGCTAAAATCCCATTTTGCAATTTTAGTGGTATTTTTTTATGGCCATTTTTAGTTTATTTGTTTAATTTAAAACTAAAATTAATACATTGATTTGATTTACTTGGTCATTCAAAAATACTAATTATTATATAACTATTTAGAATTTACAAAATTTATTTGGTAAATTGAAGTTTTCATTTTTTTAATTTATAAAAAATTAATTAATAATCTGTTGGTTCTTGAACTAACTCTGAACTGATCACCTTTTTTATTGATATTAACGCTAAAATATATTGTGAAGTCGTGTAGAAGTCATAGATATCTGTAAATATTTTTTGATTCTTTTTGTCGTAGAAAAAACGTCTGGATAGCAAAGGGATAAACAAAAATAGCTCGATATTACTTACGTTGTATTTAACTTGTTCGTCTTATCATATTAATAAATGACGCCTCTTTGAAAATGAAATTAAGATTTTAAAAAATATAAACTTATTTACTTATTATTATTTATGAGTTAAATAAAATCAGGCCAATCAGGCTTACCCGCTGGGAAAACCATTGACTACACGGTAGCCCATTCAGCCCATTTTCAAATATATGTTAGTTATGCACCCGCATTTAATTATTACCAAAATAAATATCGTAGCGTTGTAAATTGTGTACAGATAGCATGCGATAAAATATATGTAATTTATATTTTAAATATTAAGTATTAGGTTATAGAATATTCATCTTATATGCGAGCTAAGAGGTCACGCATGATTAAAAAATAAAAATAAAATCAAAACCTTTATAATTCCTACTTTACATATTATACACGAGTATTGAGTATTGAGTAATCACTCCTATCTCCCAACATGTAAATTGGAATGTGGGTAAAGTGTTATACCAGAATACAGGTATTTGTATAATATGTTAATGTAGTATAATCATGAATTAAAAAAGTATATTTTAAATTATATTAATACAATATAAAATCTATGTGAAAGCGAAAGCTCGAAGCAATAAAATAACGTTAAATATGACCGCCAAAAATAACGTCGAAATATAGAAAGAATATAAAATATTATTAGTATTATTACGCTTTGCTGTAGTTGTCCTTATTGCGACGAGTTGCTATTGTTCTAAGTTTGAAAATGATCGCACACAGCGAGTGTCACACAATAATAGGTTGGAACAACGAAAAAGGACTACAGTTGTTGTCGCACGATCTGCAGTTCGGTCGATTCGGGAGGAATTCAAATTTTGTTTCATAACATAATATCGAGTAGGTATAATAATATATGATTAATATATTATTAAACCACCTTAAACATGGCTATGGGTACCTAATCTGTCTACCAGCCATATTAATAATATAATATTATATGTAACATTGCACCTATATATTGGATCTGTATGTATATATGGAAATCTCTTAGCCCAACCCTGTGATTGTATAATTATACAATTTTACAAGCTATATAAAATCGCCCAATCAAAAATAATATATATGATCGAACAAAATGCTTTTAGAGTGTGTCGAAGTCGAGATGATAAGATAACCATTACGTCACCTATAACTAAGGAAACTAATAAAATAATATTATTTGATCTATGAAAACATGGAAAAACGCTTACGAATTGATTCCGATTAAAGTCCAAATATTTTTCATTATCAGCGCCTGTAAAACGACGAACCATTTTAGTAGGCTTTCTCGTTTTCGCTGGGCTTCGTTTTGCTAAAAACCAACAAATTAATCAGTGTATTAGGTACCTAATATATTTATTATAATCACATTAATTTCATAAAAATGTATTCAATTATTTTATTTATCATATATGTTAATTTTCTGAATACGATCCACCATTTAATTTCTTTAATATTTCACAATAACACTCAATTTGTTTTTGTCGGGTGTTTACAAAACGCAATGTTTTAGAATCTGAGCGGGACGAGGAATGAATTGGTTTTACAATGACCTTTATTATTATTATTATTTTGTTTTATATTGTGTACAAAAATTCTACCAAAAATCTTGCTCCGAAGTATTAAGTACAGCACCTTTTTTGAAAGTAAATTTGACTAGGGAGGTACTTTAAGAACATTTTTTGGATTTCCCAGGGGTTTTCATAATAAATGAGAAAAACTGTTAAAAACGTAGGAAAACGGTAAAATTTACGAAAATAATGATTTTATAATTTTAAATTTTGTTTTTTGTTTTGTTGTAATTCAGTTTAAAATGTTCGTAGAGACTTAAAATTTAGAATCTAAATTAAAACAAGCTAAAAGAATTCAGTCAGGCGTTGAAAAAACTTCACACAGAATTTCAAACTAGGTTTCAAGATTTTAAGAACATTCAATCATCGCTAGATGTTTTCTCGATGCCGTTTAATGTAGATCCGGAAAATGTATCTGCAGAATTGCAGTTGGAAATTATTGAAATGCAGTGCAGTACCCATTTAAAGTAATTTAAATTAAAAAATTTAAATTTAAAAAAAGTAATTGTTCTTGAATTCCACAAAACTAGATTTTTATAGAGCACTGCAGAAAGCTGAATTCCCAAAGATAATTGCTCACGCCCAGAAAATTATGGCGATGTTTGCGTTGTCTTATGTGTGCGAACAGACTTTTTCGATCATGAAATTGCGGAAAAACTCAGTCAGAAACCGATTGACTGATGAACACCTTTTTTGCACTGCTGAAAGTTACTTTGTCACAGCTGGAAACTGCTTTCGAAAATATTATGGAAAATCAAAAACAATTCCATGTGTCTCATATGCCTACCATGGTTGAGCCTCCAAATAAAAGTTTATTAATTTATTATTAAATTTATTATTATTTAAGGTAAAAGGTAATTTATAACATTTGTGTGTAATGCTGTAATGTTTTTATAATATTATGATTCAAAGAATTAATACAAAATGCATTTTTTCTATAATTCTGGCCCTCCTCTAAAATTTCTTAAACTTTGTGGCCCCTCATTAAAAAAGTTTGCCCACCATTAATTTAGACAGTAACCTTATATTTGCTTTTTATACACGTGGTAAAATGTTCAAAACATTTGAGCCATTTTTGAGCTTTTATAGACATTTTAATTTTGCGAATTTGTTTATGTAATATTTATTCGGTATAGGTACTCTGAAGATAAAATTGTTAGACTAAACTGAAATCTATGAACATTTAATAGGGGATTATTAAAAGTCGTACTTTTTGGTGAAAAACATTGAGTTTAATGTAGTATTTTTTTTTTTCATAAGAATTTTAATATCAAATTTTGATGAAAATCTTAAATATTACTGCCTATAACCTATAATTGATAATACAGCTCAGATTTTTTTTTTTAATTAGCAATGATTAATTGCTAACTTCTCAACTTCTCACCTACAACAGTGGCCCGTCCATCGTGCGAAGTATGTCCGTCTTTCTTTATTTATTTGTTCTTATAAAATCATCAGGTACTTAAACATTTTATTTTGCAATTGTATAAATCAGAGGCGGAATTTAGGGGGGGGGGTATAGGAGCCATACCCTAGATATTTTGTATAAATTTACGCGTAAATACTTTGTTCTAATTATACATGGACGTGTGTTATGTATATATATTAAAAAATATTGGCCCTTTCTTGGCAAAGAACTAAATCTGCCACTAGTATAAACTGTTTTAGTTTGAATTATAAATATAATTATAATACTTATAAATACAATTTAAAAAAATATATATATATATATAAATACTGCAAGTCATCAACGTATAATAATTGCCAAAGTACCAATATTCTTATTGTTTTCTTCTCATGTTTTCTAATTAAAATTAATAAATTATTATTTACTGTAGTGTATATAGAGTTCAGCTGCTGCAGTGACGTATGTTCGTTATGTATAATAGGACTTTTAATGCTGGGCAATCTCCCGGTTCTCACAGACTTTAAATAAACGACGTTATTTTTTTAATGATTTACGTTTTACTAACAATATCATAATATAGGTACTGACAGGATCCCTCATCTGATGGTCTTCGGTGAAAATCACTTCTATTAGCAAATCTCCTATGCTCGACGCTTCGTATTTTTCTAAAAGATTATTCGCAGTGTCTTCTTTTACGATTCTGCCGTTCATCAATATTCCAGCCTAGTTTTTGTAGGTAATAATACTGTTACAGTAAAACCTCTATATAGTGGACATCCATGAGGAATAAAAAACTGTCCACTATTGGGAAAATCTCTACATAGTGGAAATTTGCGAGAAATTACTAAAAGTCCACTATAGGGGGACGTATAAAAGATTAATATAGTATTTTTATTACTTAAACATTTTCGATATGTACATGTATTGTGTCCATTTATGTGAGGTAATTTTTAATTTTGGTACCAGTTTTTAGTGTTAACGTCCACTATTAGTAGTGTCCAGTGTCCATTATTAAGAGGTTATAACTCCTATTATGTACATACATTTTTGCCGGGAAATTTAAAAGTGTTCACTATTGGGAATGGTCTATTATTGAATGTCCATTAATAGAGGTTTCACTATAGATATAAATTATAGAGTCAATTCCATAATATTACATGCGTAATTACTGTTTCCATAAAGCAAAAATTATTGGAAGCCGATACGATTATCGTACATTCTGTGGTCTGGTTAATCCACGATAAAAGTGTCCAAATACTGTAAAAAAAATTAAATAACAATGAGAAAACATTATAAAGATTTATGTTTCTTTTAAGCACTTTTTGTCGATTTTAAGTTCCGGATCATAGTTTTAAATATTAATAGCACATTTTGTTTATTCCTCGATTATGACAAATTATGTGGATATACAGATTTATTATTATTTGTTTAATACTTCAAATGGGTACTACACTACTAACGCTTTATACTATAATATTTATAACAAAACTATACATGGCCTTGGACTAATAAATTATAATGTCCAATACGCACTGATGGAATATCCACGTTCAGGCAAGATTAACACATAGGAGGTATACGCATACTATGATTCAAACCAGTAACCGGCTACCTACCTTCTAAAAACGATATTAATATTAATAATATTGCTCAATTAGGTAAGTATAACCAGTTTTGTTTGAAAGAACATAACGTAATCGTTCGAATTACCTAAAATGCAGAGTACATTATTAACTGCTTATATAAAATATAATTTACCTATTTCAAAGGATTTATACAAAAATTAAATTTCATTTAAGTAGTTTATGAAAACTAAATACAATTTTTCGTTTTAAAGTTTTAAAATTAATATGTTCTTCGCCCTAGGTTTCCTAAATTTTTTTTTATTTATGATTAATATTTGGTATACCTATTGGCTACTGAGTACTAACATTTTAAATAGAAGTCTCACGGCGTCAAACATTGTGTTTATAGTTAGTAGGTAAATGGAAAAATTAAAAATACATCAAAATATAATAACCGTGTGAAAAACGAACTGTTATGGAATAGGTAGGTATTATGTACCTACATAATATGCTAAACTATATTTTTGATATTAATACAGTTTTAGCAATATATTATAGACGTAATAGTCGTAATTCGGATACGTACATATAGTAATCAAAAATAAAAACTTATTTAACATGACAGTATTAAATAATGAAAAAGGTTAACCTACTTTTTCATTGTTGTAGTGTCCACTCCACTGGTAATGTCGTCTAAAATGATTAATTCCGGTTCGTGTATAATTGCCAATAAAAGTGATAACGCTTTTTTCTGGCAATATCTTTAAAACACAATTATATTATTAAAATAAACACAACTTTTTAGATTTAGACTGTATCGAGGAATGTATTAGTTTTACAATGCTGTTTATTATTACCAATTTTTTTATTATTTTTTTTATTGGTGAACAACTTTTTTACCAGAAATTTTGTTCCAACTTTAATGTGAAGTGCCTTTTCTGAAAGGAAATTGTATCTGGATTATACTTTAGGTTGGTCTTTTTTTGATTTTCTAAGTCGTTTTCATAATAATTGGGAAAAACGGGAAAATTAAGGTACATTTATAATAAAAAAAACTTCGTTCCGAATTATTTTTCATTAGCAATGGTTTATTGTTGCGTACAAATGTAAATTCAATTTCCCTCTATATTCTACCTTCCCGATTTAGATTCTTAGATCAGAGGGCCACCCATCGTGCAAAGAATGTTGTGTGTGTGTGTGTATTTGTGTACAATTTAATCTATAACCAAATTTATCGCATTCTATGGTCTAATAGTTTACTCATAGAGGCGGATGAACGGATACATTGGAACCTTGAAGTCGGATTTTCGAAATTCAACACTTAAAAGTTTGTTAAAGCTACCGAAGGGTTTTGGTATTTTTAGAACGAAAATCTATGTGTTCATTAATGTATTTTAGAAAATGTATAAGTATACGACGTGATTCATTTAAATAAAAATCTAAAAATACTTTGCTGGAATCAGTTTTATCATGACATGAAAAATTCAGTAAATCTTAGAAGTATCTATTTTTTATTCTTCAAAGTTTTCAATATAACAAAGTATAAAATTAATGCAAAATATTTCAATATTCATTCTTAGAGTTTGACTGTTAAATGTTGGTTACATATTATATTGATATATGTATATATATATATATATATATATATATATTTTAAGCTAAATCTGCACACATACTTCTTCGAAAGTTTGATTAATAGAACAAAATATGTAGGAATGAGTGTATAAATTTGGCGTCAGAAATATATGATTATGCAATACGAGTATATTATAGTATATGAAACTTAAATAATTTATTATATATGTATATTTACAGATTTTATAAAACGAACCCTAATCGACTGACCAAGTGGTCGGATTCCGGTAACCCGGTCATTATCGCCATGGCTTTGTACCGCCGTATAGTTTGGTCTTTAAGAAGTCCGTTGACAGTACTAACAAAGTTCAACAGCTGGTAAATATGCATCGTTCCCGGAATGTCAAAATTCTGCGGTAATTAGTCACATAAATAAGATAAAATATAGAGAATATAGAGAGCAACTGACTAAACTACTGACTCAGTATTGACTCAACAGTCAATACTCGTGTTAATTTAAGTAGTTGGACTCGTAATGATTACACAGTACACACCTGTGGGGCAAACCCGATGTTAGGACGGTCCGCGTGCGTAACGGTACCATTACAACCGCCACCACTGATATTGCAGATACTATTGGCACTGATATTGTTACTGCCATTAATATTGCTACTGTTTATGCTACTGGTGCTGCCGACGAACCCTTCAGCATTGTCCAATATCCTCACTTCACCTCCATCTAATTCCGAAATACCCATCAAACATTTCAGCAATACTGACTTCCCAGTTTCGTTTTCACCCAATACTGCATATCTGCGGGATTATATGTAAAAACACACACACACAGAATATATTATACAGTATGATTATTTTTCTAAATTAAAAATTCCGGCCAGAAGGTCTTAGATTTCAATTCGATTTTTGGAACATGATCATATAGAGAGAGATAATAGCTATAGGGAGTACTAAAACACATTTTGGGATAAATTTCAACTATGTGCAGTTAAACTTACAAGTTTTTAAAAGGAAACGCCCATTTATACACTAGATTAAAATAGTCATATTTTTTTTTCAACTAACTATTGGTTAATACAATTGTGTAAATATCCAACAATTTTTTGTGAAAACCACCTATTAAAAATATAAAAATATAATATTTTATTAGATTATTTATTTCAAAACATTTTGATTTTATATAATGAGTTTATTGAGTTATCGATTATCATATATATTTAAATCTATAGCGATTGTAAATTAGTATAATGCCGATAAAGACAATACAAAAAATTATCAAGTAACGGGATTTATTTGTGTCTGAAGGATAATATTCGTTGTAGCGTATAGTGTATGCCTGCAGCAGTGTTGATGGTTTAGGAAATCAAATATGGGAAGGACAGGTGCCATACTGGAGTTTTTTTACAGTTTTTTTTTTTTTTTTTTATAAGGCCGTTCAATACACTTCCTGATATTTTTTGTTATCAGAATGAAAAATAAAAATCTGAGATGGAAGATATGCATTTTATTCGTGAAAAATTAAATAAATAAATAAAATTGTTTTAAACTATATGTCTTTATTAAGTATACGCAATGACTAATTCAATACTTGCATTGATTGTTTTTCAATTGTAATATCCACATCGTTGAGTATCACTTTATTTGCGATTTTTTTTAAGATTTTTCTCCCAATAACAGCATAAGTCTTTTTCTTCATTTTTTAAACAAAAATAGTATGATAATTATAAAATAAAAAAACATGATATGATTATTAGCATTGCAATTATTACAATGAACGTGTTTTTGTATAACGTTCAAGGTGTAAGGCGTAGTTTGTTTTTTTGTTTCCATTTATTATAACTGCACGATTTTAAACTATATATTATGTACATATTATTTCTTTTTATAAGTACATAAATCATTTATTTTAGACGGGTTGAATTGGTATGGACACTATTCATTTTATGGATTATTTAAGTGTACCTATGTGATCATTTTTTTTTTTCATTGTAAAGTATAGATAAAATATACCAATTGGTAAAACATATATATAACCTATTTGTCTATATTCAGACAATTTATGTTAAAACGAAATATTTTTCGGAGCATATTATATTTTTTTAATTGCGAAAATATATTATATTTGTCGGATATTATTTATTCATAAATTATATACAACTACCTGTTCATAAATTGTATAGTATTAATATAAATCTATAACCACAAAGGAATTTCGTTGAAGTAGGTAAATTATTGAAGTAGACAAAATATAATCAGTTAAAATCAGTCATCAACCAATACAATAAATACGGAATGATTATACCCGTATGTGCTGTCTCTGTCTTACAAACGTATCACATAGCTAATTTGCGTTCAACTGGGTCACCGTTGTGCTGTTAGTTTTAATATGAGAGTGAATAAATTAATCTATTGACTCGTTATCAAATTTAAAAATAAGAACATTATCTGTGCAACGTTTCCGCTATTTGTTGGATATTTTAATTTTTAATAGAGATATGAGTATCTGTAATATCACAATTCAATGATGCTTAGGTACCTATCTAATATCTAATATCTTAGATATATCTCACTTTAAAATTAAAATACCGAAAAAAAATATCGTTAACTATGTCTTGTCTTTAAGTTTAATAATAAGACAACATCATAAATTTGTCCCTGCTGAATGAAAATTAGCTATTTCGTAAGATGGATATATCACATGCGGGTATCACGTCTTCTTAATTAAGGAAATTTAAGAAAACGTAGATATTCAAATATAATTTACCATAAATATTTGTTTTTTTATTACATCATAAATATTATATAGGTACGTACTTATAACTCAAACGCAAGAAAAATAATGAAATGACGTAAGACAATCTCTATTAGATGTTAAATTTTTGGTGTTATAAGTATTTACTAAAACTTGTCTCAATGTTTTTGATAAAAAGGAAACAGTTAAAATTTGAATATTAAAAAAAAAAAATACCTTTAGTAATAAGAATCTACTCACTCCGTAGGTAATAATAGTGTGTATCTAATATATTTATCACTTTATCAATACTTATATATATATATATTATATTTATATAATACACGAATATTGTCGAATATTATTATTATTTTTGATTCGTTGAAATATTAATTTGAATTCAAATACTAGGGTTAATACGAGGGCTAGTACGAGGGTTAATAAGGACAAATTATTGTATTATTCCCAATGAATTTATGAAGTTAAACAATTGAATCATAATATATACTTTATACTACTGATATACATAATATTGAAATTCAACTAATATTACTTAGCCTATAAAATATAACTTAACCTAGGTAACTATAAAGACAACAGTCTGAATATTTTATGAAACGAACAGGTAACCTACTACCTTGGCGTTTAAGTTTTACAAGAATTCGATTTTACCGTTTGATAATACCAAATTATATTTGAAGGACGAAATCGCTTACCCAGAGAAACAACTTTCTCGGTTTAAAATAATCCAATGAAGACTATTTTAAGATTCTTTTTTCAATGTAATATAGTAATATATTAATTTAGGTATTTGAGGTTTTAACTTAGTAGGTGATACATTAAAACATCATTACAAAATATTAATAAATAAGGAAAAGACCTAAACAAGTTTGACATATGGATTTGTACCTATGACCACGAAAATGTGAATTAGATATTAAAATAAAATACATTGCTAGGTAAGAATAATATTCAGTTTTAGAGAATAGATTAAAAAATATTCTTATGTTATGTAAATAAATTGTGTGCAACAATAATAGTTGCTAGAAAGTATTTTAGATTACAATTTTTTCAAACGATTCTTAATTAGATATAGGTTAGGTATAGTGAGTTATATAGGCACTTGAAAAAACGTAATTCATTAAACTATTTTAAAATGCATACTTCTAAAAAATTGATTTTGTTTCTGTCTGTTAACAACTTTTCTCACGGAAATTTTGATCAAATCAAATAACTAAATTGTTTATAGCATTTTGGTTATAGTAGGTGCATTAAGGAGGTAATTTTCTTATTTTCTTAATAAAATGAAAACACTGGCAATTTTCGGAATAATTTTTATGCGACTAATAAATACTTAATTAGGACCATTTTTCATTACAGACGTAACGTTTCGTATTATCTTGATTACAGATTAAATTACCCCATATACGCTCCATTCCAACTTCTCTCCTTAAAAAATATAACACCAGCAATATCAGCGGTTTAAGCCTTTTTTTTCTTTACTTACTGTTTTTTTTTCATTTGCCATTTTTGTACCTTATAAGAATATTCAAAATAGTTTTTGCGTTCAGTGAAGTCAATTCTTGAGATTTCTGAAAATGTTATAAATTTTTAAATTGTAGACAAGATTGTTTACAACCGTTGTTATTCTAATAGATTTAACAACTGTTTTTTTTTTCAAAATATAAAAATAATAATAAATTAGAATAATACAAAATTATAAATCTGTCATTAAAAGTTAAGATTTTAATTGTTATAAGTATTATTTATGAGGTTGAAATTTGGAACATGTGAGTTTTGACTCTAAGGTACGGAATATCAGGGTTTTGATAATAATTGAAATGGAATATGGGTTTTCATTGTTACGGATCTTGATACGGATTAAGTAGTATTAAAACTATCATGACCTAATGGAATTTATAGTTAGTTTTGAAACAAACCGCTACTTTCCAGTTAAACGTAGTCCCATTCTTTTGCGTTTTAAAACGAACTGATTACAGAATTTACCTTTACTAATCCTATAATACAATGCCACGGGTAACTATTATTTCCATATTTTTTGAATATGTGAGTTTTTATAGCTTACTAAATTGTATTATACTTAACTAAATTCATAATATTTTGTTCTACACCAAAGAAAACTTGGGTTGATATGCGTTTTTATATAGCGATCCACCTTAGATAAAAATTGCAATACTTATTATTTTATTGGGCGGAACTTTAGAAGTAGGTAATAAAAAATTAAATACTAATTATTATTTTATATAGGTATATGTTATTACCTACTGCATGTATGTCGGGTTCGGTGTTCTACTGTGTATATACCGCACTAAACTCGAACCAATGATTAAATATTATAATCAATGGTTTTAGTATAGGTGTACTACGTATATGCACTTCCATTCACACCGCGTTTATAATTTATTATATTGGCAAGTCCGTGCTTATAGTGATAAGTAGGGCAGATGCCTTCTAGCATTTGCATATTTGTTTTGCACATTAACAAAAATAGCAGAGTACGAAATAAATATGTTTCATGCTTTCACAAAGCTAATTTTGTCTATAAATGCATATTTCGAGTTGTTTATTATTTTAGGGCATATTTTATACTTTTAGAAGTATATTTTAAATAATTTATCATTTTGTCAATATTTTACCGTCAACGTTTTAATTTTAATTTACATACAACCAAAATATTGTTAAACTAATTAAATTTTGATCGCATATAATATTATGGTTGTTTTTTTATATTCACATAATATGGTTTTTCCTTGAAACACATCCCGAGGGTCACCAATTAGATTATTTTTTTTTATAAACAGTAAACACAAACAATTTTATTTTTTAAAATTAGATGAAAAATGTTCAAGAAATTAAATTTTATTAACAATTTATAAAATGTATACATTTTTAAATAAATCACTTTAAAAAAAATACAAGAGCATATTTTTAGTGCGTATTATATGGTTTTTAAGTGCATAAGTGCTTGCATATTTTGCGTTTCTTTAGAGCTACAAGTCCTCTGCCCTAGTAATAAGTATTGCGGTTTTAATTTGGACGTTTGACGTCACGCGTTAAATCCTGTTTGGCGAGTACTACAGACCGCGGAGAATTCCAATCGTACTTATACATTCATACGATACGGTATATAGGTAAATCCCAGTTCGGGTACTTCGGGTTTTTGACGTAGGTATACCTGTAATAATATATAGTGAACGTTTACAACCTATATTGTTATTTTTATAGAATTCGTTTGAGCGTCGTACTTACGGGATAGGTACCTAGCGAGGCATCTACGGGGGAGAGGGTGACCAATATTATTTTTTGTCCGTAGTGGTGACCAACGGCCGGGTTAATAATAGACGAAGTGGTAGTGGAATCGACCGCTGCGGCGCGCGCGCGGTTCCGCCGATTTGCGCGCTGAGTTAAATCGGTTGTCGCGTACACTTCGTCCGATGGGATTATATGCACACGCCATCAGTACCAGTGTGCCGGCGACAACTAGACGGACTCGCAACGCGAAAACATTTCGTTTACATTGGTCCGATATACGATCTTTATCATTATTCAAATATTACTGTAAACACAATTTTGTAATATTGCTCGAACGATTTTTTCTCTGTCATTTTTGTTAATCGTATTTAAATGTACCGTGGCGCGTACCGCCTGACCGTTGGCAGACGACCGTTACTGTAACAATCGCGCGAAAACAGTGACAAACCGTATACCGTTTAAATGACTTGACCGTCGTCGTTATCAAATCGAACTGGGGTTATTTTTTAATCATCTGACCAACACGAGTCCGCAGAATACATACTGTACAAGATATAGTATCACCCGGACAAATTTCGTCTCAAATCGTCTAGTGAGTAATAATATCAACAATCTATAAATATATAAATATCATACCCTCTAAAAAAAAAAAAAATGTATTTCGATGGGTGCTGATTTTGTATACCTTAAGTACATTGACATTTATAGTGATACTTCGGTAAAATTGTGTCGCATCAATTTCCAAACTTAATAACAAATCTAATGATAAATGTGGATTTGGTTATAAATGTATAGAAAAGGCATGTAATTTTAAATTGCGTTTGATTCTAGAATTTTTCTCTTTGGCGTATTAAAGAACGTCTACACTGATCCGTTTATATAAATGTATAATATAATATACATTGTTGTCATCACTTTTAGTTTCACTTGTCGGAAAATTTGTATTTGTATATAATTTAATTACCCCGAATACGACGCCAATTGTATGAATTCGAGTTATGGATTTTTAAATATTTTAATCGTGTTAATTTAGCCTACAGCGGAAACATTTTAAATAGATAATTTTATTATAATTGACAACTATTAATTTTTCTATGACGATTTTCGGTTCATCGTAATTACTAAGCACCTGCCTATATTATGTTCAAATTTTATCTTCACGATAAAATTAAACATCGGACTCATCACATATATAGATAGGTAATTAAGTTCATCAATCATTTACCTACCAATTACCATCAAATAAGTATAAAATACCGAATGTTCCCTAGTCTGTGTGTATGCATGTATATATGTATGTATGTTTGTATATATAACCTAGATTAGGCAACGTCTATTTGATCTTTTAAAGTATCTACCAAAATGTATATCTACTGTGACGATTCTGCAGGATTAAAAGAATTGTGTATCCATCATAAGTTTAGTTCTATTTTGCGACTTTTGCAAAACGTTATTATTATACTTTTCACCTAGACCTAGTTGCAACTTGCAATAGATAGGCAATTTTGTCCAACCTCATAAGAAATACATATTCACCTTCGCGTTTTTTTACTTAAAAGTGGTTAAAGTACCGTAAACCGGTTTAATTGAATCTTCAATATTGTTCAATATATGAGTGCACGATATTGATTTGATATTGCTTCAACGATGTATCTATGTGTTATAACAATTACTAATAAATATTTGTACGAAAAGAATGGATAACTACATAAAAAAAATAATTTAAAAAACGTTTCTCGCTTCCTCAGAGTGTCTAAATATTGTTGTAATTTTTTCAAACTTTCAGATACATCGATAATTATAGCAATGATGGCTCGCGAAGACTCGCGAAGATATCCATCAATCATCTGATAATACGATTTAACTAACTAAATATTTCAAATAAGGTTTCTAAATATTTGAATGTTTTTTAAGTTTAATATTTTAAATGAATATATTTGTATGGTTGTATTATAATTTATTAACATTGTAATATATTTGTACTCGCATCGTAGACAATATAATATAATACGAATATTTTGATAAACCATTTGATGGAAAATGTAGAATAAAATATACTGTTGCATACCTACTTTTATAAAGTGTATAGGTGCCTAATATATTTTATTATATAACTGGAGTAAAACATGACTGTTAACGGCGTTAATTAAAAATCCGGTTTGCAAAAAAAAAAAGAAACACTATAAGACTGACCCAAATCATTAAACGTGGAATATATAGGATTCGGGAATTCAATAATAATACATTGAATAAGTACTTATGAATTACCTACCCATTCTATTCAATACTATGTATAATTCAAATTTAAAGTTTTTAGAAACGTATTTTCTATTGTTGTTGTTGTTATTGTTCGGCAGGTATTGGTTAATGCCGGAATGATGGAACCATTAGTAGAATATAATCGTAAAATCCACATATCTACCTACTAGATATGGTTACTATATTTTTGTAGTAGTTTATTATACAGCGTTGAATAATAATATTTTATAATAACAAGGAAACCGTATAATAATTCCAATTATTTAGAGTACATAGGTAAGCTCTTTATAGCTAATATTTTTTGTTGGTTGTCTGACGAAAAAGTTCCAGTGCCGAATCTAGACAGATAGGTATACTTACCCTCGAATGTCGTTGGTAATATTTATAAAAAAAAAAAAACGCCAAGAATATAATTAAAATATATTTAACGTGTCATACCGAAATGCATTTCTAAAATGTCAACAAGAGGACATCGGGAAAATTTTGACCAATTTTTTTAAAAATTATTAAATCGAAATAAGTATTAAATAACGTAAAGTACTATGATATGAATTTATCCGTGTTTGTGTATCCAGATGCGCTCTATATCTCATACGGTTGTAAATTTCGAAGTGCAATTTTCACTAAATGATTAGTTAGACTCCAAAGAAGGTCCCCATTGATATTTAATGGGGATAGACTGGAGTTGTTTTACTCATTGGAGCTTACACTACACTTTGATTATCCTGTTTATGTAGGTTTTTTATTATTTTTCTTTACTTTTAAAACACATAAGGGTGTGGAATTGTTACTAGCACTGGGCGTTACTGGATAGCCGTTTGGTCTATTTACCTGTGAGTTGTAAAATTATAAACATTACCGATGATTTTTGTGTTAGTAATAAATAATATTGTATAAATAAACATTTGTGAATAATACGTCTCCGCAGAATTTATTGTAAAATTGGACACTCGTTAGACCCGATAAAGGCCTTGAAACGGTCGGAAAATTGCATTTTATTTAATGCATTATAGAAATATATAAGATATAACAGTATATTACAATCGATTAATTTTGTTTCGGTATTTTTTTTATTGAATTCGTTAATATTATTTTAAAAATCATGCGATGGTTTGTTGCTGGGTGGGTAGTGGATACATATGTCCACCGAGGCAATGTCATTTGTAGAGAGAGGTTAGGGGTTAAATCCCCTCAATTAGCTTAAAAAAACAATTATGAGTGTGTATTAAGTAATTTAATCTTAAAATGTATATACTTCTGACAAACTTGATTTATTGATTAAAAATTTACTTTCTTCGATCTGGTTTTTACATTTGAATAGAGAAAAAAAAATTCTACGATTTATTGACGATTATTATTTCTTAAATATTCTCTTATCGAAAATTCTTGCGCAGTCGGGGAACGTAATCATTTCGATTTACAGAAGTTAAAAAAAAAAATAATAATAACATCGACACGTAATTGCGTAAATACGATGATAAGTAGGTATACCATTTTCCAGTAAAGGGATGACCATGACAAAATAACTAACATTTTTTCTATTGATTAACCCCTCACCAGACCCCGCCCAATGCTTAGTACGTCGCTTCTCATTTGTCGTCGAAATTAACATTGCGAACATCCATTATATTATGAATTAGGTAATAGATTTAAAAGCCAGTAAGTCAGTTTTATTTTTATTTTTCCTTGTTGCTTTAACTGAATTTTTAATGATATAAATTATTTTTTATTAATTAGTAATTATATGTTTTGCAACTAGTATAAATAAATAACATTACAGGAAAAAGAAACTACACCACTGGATACAAATAATTTTGTATGGATGTTATAACTTAACGGAACAATATACAGGAAGCAAACAATAATGCGGATTATAAAATTATTTAATGATGTATTTGTAGTAGTAGAAACTCAAATTGCACGATTTTTACTAATAAACTTGTTCATACAGTTTTTTTTTCTTCTAGTAAAATAATTTACGAAACTGCAGACTGGAATTTTAATTGAAAACTAATAGTCTAAAATGTATAAACTTTAAAAACGAGAAAAAATTAATTAGTTAATCAAAGAAATAGAAAGAAAAATGGACAAACAGTAGTTAGTCAGGATATAAAATAAATATTACAATTTATTATCATGATAATTCATAATATATGTTTTCGCGGTAAAATCACACGACCAATGATATATGGTTAACTGCAGTGATGGGTGTGGTGCGCAAAATTGGACGAGAACATGTACCGATGTGATCGTACCTAATTATTTTGTCAAGGGGATGACTAACGCGCGACTGGTTTTCCAGTGGTTTATCCGATTTCTTAAAATGTGGAATACCCACTCAACTCGATTTGTTGACGTCACCTAATGATACACAATTAAGTGTAAAACAATTACGTAAATAATATGGTAAGACGTAGTGGGTGATGCGAATATTATTTCATTTGGAAAATATAATGAGTCTCTCGGATCTAGTATAGGTAAGTATGAAGTACATACTTGCAGGTATGTACCTATTGGTTATTACATAGTTCCCATATAATAATAATTAATAATAACTATTAAAGTAGTAAGCAATAGTATCCTAATAATAATAATAGAGGTTATTTTTTATGGTTTAAAGCCTTATCGCACAACACATGTCTATTACATATTTTAATATATCCAGCGATATTATAATATTTTTTTTATTTACCACTTTTGCATCGTAATCATAAAATATGATGAAAAAAAAAAAAAGAGGCGTTTGCGACTATGTGAGATATGCGCAACGAGCGAATGAGTCGGGCAATTAAATTCGTAGTCATCTATATGAAATGAATCGCGTTTAATTTCATATAGGTACATAATATAGTATGTTGCTACACCCTATAATCTCTCAAGTTTGTTATCCGAGCGTATAATATTTAGATTAGAAGGTATAGATAATAACAATAATAAAATATGTTGATAATGACCATGTGTACCAGTCCCAGTGAATTATATAAATAATTAAGATTAGTGGTTAGCTGGGGTGTAATAGTTTTTCGGCTGGCGTAGCCACCTTGAAGTGTTTTTAAAAACACGGAAGTTTCTACTATACAAAACAATTTATAATTATTCATAACAATATCCTAGGTAGGCGGTTATTATTATTATTTTTTCTTTGCATATATACGAGTATAGGTAAATAAACGCGTTTATCGTATCGCCGCTTAAAATTTGTTTAAAAACTGACGGGGAAACAATTATGCAATAATATTAATTTGATACCTACTGAAAATTTAATTATGAATCAAACGCTATAATACGTATACATTTTTTTTTTCTGGGCGATTGTTTTGCCTACCGGTAAACTAATCCAGATAAACATTCGCCTGCAGTATAATATACAGAACAGAATTATGCGCTTTGTACAAACAACATAAGTAGTCAATATATACATACATATTACATTATTATTACAGTTTTGTTCGTATGTACATTCCTATGACGCTAAAGAGATAAATTTTTGTTGTTTTTTTTTTTTTTTTGTTGTTAAATTCCTTCTACTCGACTACATTATACTTGCTGAATAGGATAACCGAGTATGTTAACTTTAACGCACGCATAATACCTTAAACACTTACAGTATATCGTTCAGAATTGTCGCACACTTATGGCATTTCTATATTTTCGATTTGGCTTGCCTCGTAACCGGTCGATATGGTTTTTTTTTTATTATCATCTTTCAATAAATGTTCATCATCATCATCAAATTGATCTATCTATAATTTGCAATGACATAATAACAACGTATACCGTTTAATATGATAGTATTACTATAGGTAGGTATCTAACTAAAGTAACTTACTAACAGCTACCTATATAATAATGAGAATATTTACATCACCTTTCTGCTAAAAAATAAAAAAAAAAGGTTTATTTTTAATTACGGAAATTAAGGGAAATAAGAGAAAGTTTTTCGTGTACTCATTCTTTAAATCGTTTTAATCAGCTTATATTACGAATACAAATGAAATACACATCAAACAAGTATTTAACCGCTAGAGAAAAAAAACGACTATTTTTCACGTTCACATTATTTGAATGACGATAGAGGAATACTATACTATTCAGTTGTTCCGATATGACTGAATAGTACAGTTTTATTTATGAATCTTGGTCAGTTAAATAGTATTTTAAACGTTTACCCGTGGTATAACCGTTCAAAATCAGTAGGTACACTTATGATTTTTTGGTCAAACAAAAATAATCGACTTCAAGATGATTTTACCTAATTAATTTTGTACTTAGGTAAATCCAGTACACTGCATGTAATAAGTTTCATGAACTAGTTAAACGCGAAGGTATACTCCCACTCGGAACTCATTTCAATAATAGTGGTACGCATATCCTTTATACAGCTAAGTGACATATGGATATATACTTATGATAGGCACTTCCGAATAGTTTTTCCCAGTGGCGCAACTAGAATTTATTTTCGGAGGGGGTTTTATGAATTTGAAAAAAAATCAATTTCGAATGGTGTTTGGTAGGGTGGAGGGAGTAAGGTTTAATTAGGTTTGTGAGCAAAATCTTTAAATTATTTAATTTACTTTCATTTATAGACAACGCATATTGGAAAACAATTTAGACTCCTATTAATTATATATTTAAAATATATACTTTACTCATAAATACGAATTACGAATTAAGTATCCCATAATTCCACTGGTGCTTGAAAACATTAAGTAACTTTATAAGCTAAAATACCTAATAATATAATTAGAGTAGGTAATAATCCGAAAGTGAACCATTAAATGAAACATAATTGCCTTTTAGGGAAATTATATAGCAGTAACCTAAAAGTTAGTAGTGTGTAAAACCGAATAGTTATCATCGAATTATTCGACAATTATTAATTGTATTCTAACTATTCGATAAATTAAAAACTATATTCGGTTACAACGAAAAACTTTGAATAGTTTTTTTAAATATAAGTATTCGGTCATAGAAAAAATATTCGAATGTAATAAATAATGATCAATAATTCATCTAAAATTCTAAACTATCAACAGTATAAACCAGTGGCGCAACTAAGGGGTTTAGGGGTTGTGACTCCCACGAAATATGTTTATTAGTTTTTTACGAATTTTACGTAGTACCTACATAGTTGTATGATTTTCATACCAACTTGAAACATAATGTTGTAACATTGTGTATAAAAAAAATGATAACAACTATCATCATAAAGATCATTTTCTACACTTAGAAGGCTAAAAACGTATTTAAGAAACACTACAGGACAGTAGAAACTTAATGGAATGGCCACTTTAAACATACATACAGACATTGAAGTTAAACCAGATTCAGTGCTTAATGTTGAGGCACTCTATTCGAAGAATTAATCTTAGTCTGTAAATTATTATTATTATTATTATTATACAGAATAGGCCATTTAAACCTTCGGAATATTTTTTGATAATAATTTAAAAAAAAAAAAAACAAATTATTAATTTTGAATAATTGTATACACTATTAACTTATAGGTTACTGTAAATAATATGTACCATATCATTGCTATATAATTTCACTAAAAGGCAATCTGCATTAAATGTTTCATTTAATAAAATTATAAATAACCGTTGGTTGCCTATTAGTCGGAGCACCACATGTACATTTAGTTTATCTAAAGTCCATACAAATATGATATATAATATATATTTGTATAGAAAACATTTTTTTTTTTTGCATTTTAACTTAACTAGATTAATTTTTTTTTAACCAAAGCTAAAAATGGTTTCGGTTAACAAAAAAGTTTATTTAGCTTAAATTGATTGAGGGAATTCACTGCGTTAACTTGGTCACCCAATGCTAACTAATCTAAAATAAAACTGTACGATACTATGATGTTCGTCACAAACGCACTCGCGGTCATACGTATTATAATATCGCACCGCCAATTATTCTATACCACGCCGTTACGAATTCATTATGTACACCGCCGTGCGTGTACTTACGTAGACAACGGCACAACGGTGTAAATAGTTATACAATTAGTATGGACCACAATATAATAATATTCATTCGGACATTAGTTCTGGAATAAAGTAATAATAATAATGGGGTCAATGGGAAAACGATTTTAAAATAATAATAATAATAATTTATAAAATTTTGTTTACAACACGTCGTAACAAGACTATAACCAGCTATAAGTAGATAGATACTGAAAAACTAAGGTTTTTATAGATTTTGAGCGAAACGAGGAATGTATATTGGTTTCTCTATAGGGTGTTTATTTTTTGCCGGTAAATAACTTTTATGCTAGAAATCTTCCGCTAATCAAAATCTTCCGCAAACTATAAGAACTTTCGTGCAGGATTTTTGATTTAGTTGATGCATTGAGATTATTTTTTTATTTTATTTTTCTGAATAAATCGCAATAGTTGTTGGTGAAATTTTTGTTGATTTCTGGGTTACCTTGACAATAGCGGAAAAATATGACTAATAATACTCTGCAGCTCAGTATCATTTTTTCGTTAGGCAATGGTATATCATTGCATATAAATATAGATTAAATTGTCTGCTCTGTAAATCCTACCTTCCAATTTCCCTCTTAAATCAGTGGCACACTTAACAGGATTTTTTTTTTTTGTGTATTTCATTTATTGTTCCTCAAAATGGCCCCTTTCGAGTTTAATTAAAATAATAATAGTTAACTCACATATTAAAAATTATTATTTATTATGATAATATAAATGTATATAGATAGCACATAAAGTTATAGATGGGTATCTGCGGGGCTTACATGATTTATCTACGATAACAATTTTTTTTTTTTATATTCGCATGCAATACTAGAGTATTAAATTGTATAGTTCAGTTAAAACAAATTACACCTATATAATTAATTCTCAAGGTACAATCATGCACGTATTTTTTTCATTTTCATTCTAGAGAATCCACTTAACACCATTTTACATATTATTATTTCTATTGAATTTACTAAAAGCAATTGTGAAACATTATAAATAATAATATTATTATTACAGCCTCTTTATATTTGATTTTTCTATGATGTGTGCTTATTTTTTGTATTAATTTTTTTCTGTCTGTACAACTTTTCTAAAAGAAATTTTGATTCAATCAAAAAATTACATGAGACCTTTATTGTGTAATTTTGGATTTAGTTAGTATTTTGGGAGATTTTTTTTAATTTTCTGAGCGATTTTTATAATAATTGGGAAAACTGACAAAAAAAAGGTAGGTACGGGGAAAAATGGATAAATATTTACGGCGTTAATGATTTTATGATCTATAATAATTTTGTCAGGGTTTTTTTTTTTGCCAGAAATCTTGTTTCGAATTTCTAAAATAGACATTTTTCTGGAATAAATAAACAATTATTTGTATACCTTATATACGTAATTGTATAAACTTAATTTTTATTTTAAAAAGAAAACTTATCGCGACCCAATTTTTAAGATTACACGAACCAAAAATGGGTCGCGACCCACCGGTTGAAGACCACTCATCTAGTTGATGTGTAAGGAAGTTGTGTTTTAATTTTCAATGTTGTTTTCTTAATAATTGGGAAAACACGGGAAAGTTTATAGCATTAACGGTTTCATTATTTTCGAATTTCTATTTTTGTCGTAGAGACCTTACATTTTTGCAGAATACGTATATTAGCTTTTTTAGACGTAGTATAAGTAGTATAATTTTCAAAGCGTTCTGCTGATTTTCGAGTTGTTTATAGGTATTTGACATTTTTGAGCTTCTTTATTTTATTTGTTTAATATGACCAAACATGTTTGGTAAAACAGAAATGCTTCAAAATTAATACGAAATTATAATGATAAGTTTAAATTATTCATCAAAAAAAAAAAAATTGAGAGTATGTGGTAATATTTTTAGTATAAACATTAAACATGTTTTAAGATCAAATTTTGACGAAAATCATACAATTACGGAATTTAAAAATTCGTGTAACCAAATTTCGCTCAGAATCGTTTTCAAACGATTTTCGTAAAAAACTCAACTTATGTCTGCTTACAATATGTGATACCCTTATCCGGTATCAGCTCTTTTCATCAGCTTTTTTTTTTAAATTTTCAATCGTCCGAGTAAAACTTTATAGCTGTTTCAGCATGATTTGCATGTTATTATTATTTTTAAATCTTTTGTTTGCTAAGTAAATATTTTATACATATTATATATAACACTATTTTTTTTTTTTATACAGCGTTGCCTCCACTCTCATTGCTATTCTGTTTTACATTTGTATTTCATTATTATTTTTATTCTATAAAATATATATAGGCACACGAGTAGGTATATTATTTTACTGACAACCACGTACCTATACCTATCAAAGGTATTTCTCGCGGCTAACGCACAATTTTTATGATATTGTTACCAATTCCAATCGAATAACCTTGACCGGCAATTTAAGTTTTCTCGTGGTTACACCAATTATTACATTTTTTTTTTTTTTTATTATTACATAATATAATAGTATCGTGTATAATAGGTACATAGCCACCATAACGCGTATAATAATACGAGATACGTTCCTCGCGTAATCCAGCAACGTGGTCGTCGTTGTGTAGTCGCATCCCACCGGCCGGTATGTATGTACATATCTACCTACCTAATAATACCGGATTACAGGTTGTGAAAGTGAAAGACTGTAGGTAATATTATTAACGAAGAATTATTGTTAACGAATTTTTTATTTATAATAATAATTTATATAAACGCCTAGTATGTGCGTAGGTATATACTATCAACCGAGGTATGGGTAACATAAATTAGGTGGGTACGGTAAAAAATATGTGCGTTTAAAGGTATATACACATTGCATAATAATACACGTTTGCGAAAAACACTTAGATACAACTGGTATAATATACTCAAATAAGTTTTTACGGCTTACACGGACCATAATAATATTACCTTGTTTCATATTGCAGATATATTATAATATTGATATTATCGATATGCCTGGGTAAGTTGTAGCGTGACGTAGCGCCTATAACCAAGGGCAATTCTTTAGTGAATACTACTGCGTGTCCACTCCATGCTCCCTTAAAAAATCGCCACGAGCAGATAAACCAAACCTTCCCTTTAACTGTTGGACCCTTACCCCCACCAGTGAGAGTATTTTTTATACTCTATTATCATTAACGAAATTGTATTACAAAATCTATTAATTAAATATCATTAACCACGTGTAAACACATGATAAGCAAAATTTTAATCTTAATGGATATCCAGTTGACATCATTGTGTTTGGACACAAAAAAGCTCCTTAAGATTCATGTTTTTCTATATGCATGGTTATTTTCGTTATTCGAAACAAAACAAAAAAATAATCCGTGATGCCGTTGACGAGTTGAAGATATTTTGTTGTTGACCACGAATATGCAAAGTGTGAATTAGTCCTATAGTGATAATTCATCAGTATTAATATTAACTGATTTAATAAAGAATGCCTTTTTTTTTGTTTATGTAATAAAGTACAATACGAACGATATTTTTTACCACGTTTGCACTCTGGTCAATTTTATATTGCTTTCTGAGGACGTCCACTGTCTACATCATCTTTCCCGGTCTTGACCTAATTTCAAATCAACCTCATAATAATATCTCGTTTCAAAAACACGCACGCTCAGAAATCGCTTTAAAAATATAATACGTTACGGTGTTTATTTTACGACGACCTCTTCCAAACACATACGCAATATCTCTGTCGATAATTAACATTATTATATTTTTTAGATTCTGAGTGTGGGGTTTTTTGTGTTTGTAAACAACTTTTTAACCAGAAATATTGAGTGGCAAAACAAAATAAATTCTTAAAATTTACGCTTCAAAAAGGTTTAAATTTAGATTTATTCAAATGTTAAGTTCGTTTTATTTCAGGGGGATAAATACCTGGTGTTTTTTGCTACTGGTTTTTTTACAAAATGGTCCGAGTTATTCAGAGAAGCTTTTGAAATCCTTGATATGACCAGTAGAAGTAGTAAACTTAACTTACAGCAGTTTGAGCTAGATACATAATAATAATTTATTGGTATGCTATTACAATTGCACAATATAACTAATTCATATAAATTTGAAAAGAAAATTATTTTTTTTATAAATTTAGGGGTAATAGCGGTTAACTGCAGTGGTAGTCGCAGGGATTGACAGGGAATACAGGGAGAAAACGTTTTCATTACACATTTATTTGGCACTGTCAATGCCAGGCGGGACAGTTAGTAACTTGATATACATAATATAAGTAATGATTTTATTGTAGACAATAATTAATAGTTAAAATATTGAATATCTAATTGAACTTGGTGCCCATATTAAACGTAAAACGCGAAACAAACGAGATAACGCGGAGGAAAAAAAAATGTGCAATCGAATTAATGATTTTCGTAAGATTGTGTTTACGCAAAGCCATCAATTAAAAAATAATGCTAATCCGTAAAAAACAATTTGTATAGTAGGCGTATTTATCCAACAGTGCTTGATCATGTTTGACACATAAATTTCTATTACATAAGTTTTACTTCGATTCGGTTTTATTTACCTATATCAAATATAGTACATTGTACATCGTATGGATTAGACTACTAGGGTCTGCATTGTTCTGCATACAATTTATATAAAATTGATGTATACTATATAGGTGATAGATATAGTTATTGATTATAGAATTAGTATAGTTCAAAATTCTATACTTCTGTATCGATTATTTAAGTATACTCGTATTTTTACAGTGTCATTGCATATTTGTCTTATTAGACAAATAATTAAACAAACCAGGACACTCGAAGAGGCGTGCCAGGTGACACTGAGAAAATATATTTTTCAATAATTTGGACTATAATAATAGTTTACGTTAATAATGTAAACGATTTATTAGAACAAATAATAACCAAAATTATTTTGCACTTACTGAGATATTTCTTTACGGGCGTCTCTGCAATGAACATTATTATTATCATCACTTGTAATATATTATTATTGTAAAAAAAGCTGATATTACTGATGGGTGCGCCATTATTTTAGAAGAGAAATTTAAAGGGAAGATAAATAGAGTAATTTAATTTATATCTGTATTCTGTATATAGAACGATAAACCATTGCTAACGAAAAATGAGTTTGAAATTCGAACAGAGTATTATTAAATATTAATCATGTTATTCCCTTTTACACAACACACAAAATTGCTGGTTTTTCTATTTATTAAGAAAACTATAAGGAAAAATCAACCAACTAAATTTAAAATTCTACAAGAAAGTTTCTGTAAAGTTTTTAATTGGAACACAATTTCTGGTAAAATAGCACACAAACAAGTTCTTCGGTTCGCTTAGACATCGAAAAACATTACGTGCGCTTTTTATTCGTCTTAACGTGAGACACATTATTTTTCCTAATTGCGATTAGCGGCACAATCACGCACAGTCCGATTACCGTCAACGATGTATGCATACTTATAATCATTTTTCATTTAAATATCTGCACCTTTATTGGGCACCTATTTAGTTTGTTTTTTTTTTTCTGTGACTAAAAAAACGGGTATTCGTATGCAATTGGTAGGCATGTTTGTTTTTACATCGATATATTATTATAAATATATACGAACGCCGCCAGACCGACGGTGGTTAACAAATCGGAGGTATATGACATCAATCAGACTGTGACTTATGAGAGTTGAGCAATTGTCCAAATGTATATACTTATATATATATATATATATAAATACATACATACAATATACATGCAATACACAGACACAATAAAATATGTTGTTCCTGGGAAAATAGAAATGTAATTTCATTATATTATATCTGTATAAAGGTATCTAACACATAGGTACGCCGAAACTGTATGTACATACCGCTCGTATTTGTGGCGCTGCGGATAAAATGCGAAATATTATTATGATAATAATAGTGATAAACGAAATAATAGTAATAATAAAAATATAAAATATAATAGACGTAACGGCAGCAATGGCGGCGGCGTGAGCACGGCAGTGTTGCATAATGTGGATCATAATGTACGATTGTGTAGTAATCGACGACGGCGTAGTCCTTGTACGAAAAAAAAACCAAAATAAATAATTAGGATTACTCTATGGCTAAAGCGAGAAAAAAAGAAAAGAGAACCAAAAAACGAACCTTAATCGCATCACTTTTGAACCATGTTAGGTATACAGTGTGTGTTTACCTGAAATGATAAAACTAACTATTAACTGCCGGATGTACTGCGATTAAAATGTTAATAACTCTTATAGTGCACGCATCCGCAATTAAACTTATATTTTCTTAAATAGAAACAGCTATTTGTTTAATGTTAGTTTCGAATACTCTTTTAGATTCGGAGTGTAGCGATGAGGGTTCAATTGGTTTTACTATGATGTGTGTTTTTTTTTTCTGATTGTTCAACTTTTTCACCAAAATCCTTGCTCCGGAGTATCAAGTGTAGCATTTTTTCTGAAAGTTGATTTTCTCTAGTTGGTGCATTGAGGAGGTCATTTTTTGAGTTTCGAAGGGCGTTTCAAAATAATTGGGAAAAACCCGAAAGAAAATTATAGATAAACCGGTAAACATTTACGCGCGCCTTGGCGCAGCGTTACCGATTTCATTGTTTTGAATTTTTGTAACTTATGCTTTATACCATAAATATTGCTGCAATAGCAAGTAGTATTTTTATTATTATTTTTTTTTTTATAAGAGTTATTAATTCTAATTTTGATGAAAGTCGGAAATATTACGGCTTTTCAATACATGTTATAACTGAACTTCACTCTGAATCGTTTTTCGTTGGCGATGGTTTATCGTTGGTTACAAGTATTTGTAAATTAAATTGAACTTGATGTATCCTGCTTACAACAGAGGCCGCACCCGTTTCCAGTATTAGCTCTTTTTTTCAAGCAACTTTGACAAATATAATTTTTTTTCGACTTTTTTAAAAAATGTAAAACCCATCATGACTTTAAACGTGAAGAAATTTGACTACCGTTTTACGAGGAAAAAATTGTAATAAAAAACAATCATAAAATTAGGTATGACAAATCATGTGGATCATGTCGAAAATTGGTTAAAAATGTTTAATTTCGTACCCACTCCTTTATCTTCCAAACAAAAACTAATTTCGATTTGTGATCGGCTGAAATATTTCCTGGTACCATTTAAATAAAAAACAATAATATAATATGACCTCGATCGAAAAAATAGTTAAAAAAAATACATGCATAAATCGATTACTATATTTTTACTAACTCTGATACATGATATGAAATGGTGCACATTGTGCTAAAAAAAAAAATCATTTTATTTACATCTACAAAATCGTTAAACCATAATTGATCCATTTATTCAAATCAAAAGTAATGTATACTCGTGAAAGATATTTAAGGAGTAGGGGTAAAAATATAAAAATAGTGTTAAAATAAAACTTAAACAATTACATAATGACTGAATAAAACATAAATCATATTCACTTAAATCCTCCAAGAAAAACTATGGATCACGATAATTGAATCACTCTATATGTATATATATATGCATGAATATATACATATTTACATACATATATACCGGAAATGAAACATTAGGAAAGCTAGATATTGTTTTGTTTCTCATTCTGTTTGTATTATTATTGTTTTACCACGTATATTATTATGCATTAAGTATAATATTATACTCTGCTATGTCAATATGATTTTAGCTTAAGTTCTTAGAATATCTAAACGTCAAACGTAGCGAATTTTAACGACTACACAACGTTTTATTTATTATTAATTATTATACATTTTAAAATAATATTAACAAATATAAAAAGAATTTAGAGATTTGTTTTTGTTATTTACGATTATGATGTTAGCACATGAACTGATATTACCTAATAGAGTAACAGTTACCTATATATTACATTGCTGTAACACTAATAAGAAAATCTTCGTATTATATAGCATTATGGCTATAGCAGTATTTATATCAATGAACAATGAAGTATAATACGTGGGTGTTAATGATCAATAAAAAAATAAAAGTTATCCCCTCCCCCTTATTCGTTTTTTACATTTTGTCCTCCATATGTGGTTTACTTAAGAAAAGGTATATTCGTCCAAATTGCTACGATATGTGGCATAGTGACACTGCTAACACTATATCGATGAAATTTCCTCGTGGCTTTGTATAGAATAATTTTATCTTTATCGCTCCATTTTTCTTGCTGCAGTGCATGGTACCGTTTCTTAAAAATTGCTTTTGATGCACATTTTTTATAGGACATCCTTCATTATCTCGGAAAGTAATACATTTTTTCGGAATTTTTTTTTTCAACAAGTTATGAAACAAACTTGTATATTATCACTATTTTTTATCCACTACATTCTCCACTGATTCATAAAATTGGCAAATTTAAAAGTAAAATACCTCGTCAATAGTTCAAAACAAAATGATTTAATTTCTATTAGCTAGTTTTTCATTTTATTCTATTGTGTCCGATTTTATATGATTTGATTTTTTTTTTTTATAAATATGAAAATAATATGTAGACAAGAGGCATAATACTGTAATAAGTGAGGTTGAGAGCTTTAAGGACCTAGAGGATTTTGTTTAGAAGATATTGCTCAATAAGACATTCACTAACTATCGAAAAGAATAAACATTTTATATTAATAATATATTGCACTATATTATCCCTCAAAGAAATTTGGTTTTATCCCTAGTTTGTAGATTTTGAGATATTTTTGGTTGGGAAGGAAGGAAGGGGGGTGTGAAAAATTATATAGCTGATTCAAAGTAAAAATACTTTACGCCACCACTGTATATTACCATGCTGTATCGAACCATTCGAACCAATTATTACAAAAAATAATAAAATAATAAAGTAAAAAAAATTTAATAATTAATACTCGTAAATAAATATAGGTACATATTACTTAGGAATAAATATGGTTTATATCATAATAGCATGCTACATAATTACCTACATGATAGTCTTATAAGTAATAAGTGTAGATACATAAATTATGAACAGGTAGCTAGAGATGAGTACCTAATACCTAATCATATTACTTGTAGAAATTAATCAGTTAAAAAGTTAAAATATATTCAATTAGTTTAAAAATGTAACTCGTAATTTTGTTTTATAACTTGAAATAAAATATAACCTAATAGTTACGTATAATATTTTACATTTATTTTTGTTTTGGATTTTTTAGTATTAACTTTATTTACTCCATGAATCATAATATCTAATTATTTAGAAAATATAGTATTATGATTTATGTTTATAAAATGTTTAAACATATTAGCGATGTTTAAGCTATTTATAGCCATTTGAAATTGATGACTTTTTTTTTAATTTTTACTTATTTTATGTGAATTTGTATTCAATTTGTTTTGGCCCCTCAAAAATACTAGAACATTAACACAAGGTTCATCATAAGTTGTATTAAGAAGTATAAAAATGACCAAAAGTTATAACAAATAGTCACCATGTACTATACTTGTCCATCTCTGGTTATAAGATATTTTTTTTCGTACAAGTATTTGCTATATGCAAGTATTTGTGTAGGTTAGATTTTTTTTAGTTCGTTGCCGAAATTTGTCAGTAATATTGAGATTTATAACTAACAGTTATAAACTATTTATATTATCATCTGATTACTTCTACCCTATACCATACTCAGCGAAATCAGCATCCGGTGTCAGAAAAATTTACCCCGATGAGCACGAAAAAAAAAAGACTCAAGATTTACGTTGGGTTCACTCATACGTTTATTTTAAAAATATTTAATTACAAAACTTGAACAATTTTAAAAGGCTTCCCTGTAGTCATAGCGCTCGTTGCGTAGGTACCTCTTGCATCCTCCTAAGCACGGCTCTGCTTCCACCCACACTTATTACGACTTTATACACATAAACGACTGGATTGTTTACTATCGTATACTATATCGCATATATTTTCAAGGATAATTGGTATATTTGGGAGTGAACATATCGCTCACATCAATGAAACTATTGGTATATTAGGTGTAGTTATCATTATGGGAACGCATAAAACTTATTGTTAAGAAGTCGTACAATTTTTTTATCGGGGTATAATAACGAATTTATAATAATTTTAAATTTTAAATTGAAGTCATATAAATTAAAAATGTTAATAGTAGGTATTCAAATAGTTTACGATATCTAATAATAACCATGGCCGTCCTGGCGATTTGTGGAGTTCAGAGCAGACAAATTTCGGTGCCTTAAATAATAATATTTATTGGCCATCTGTAGATACATTTAAATATAATTACAATAAAATAATATCGAGTATAATAGCCCAATTCACCACTGAGGATAACCTTTTATTGATGAAATTAGAGTACTAATAATAGAATTAATAAATAATTAAGATAATAGGAACATAGAGAGAATAGTAAAAATAAAATATAAAAATAAGAAAATAATATTAGATAGAATGTATTATAGGTTAGGTAAGAAACAAAACAATTTAACTAGGTTCACACCATATACAAGTGCTCTTAAATGTTAGAGATATGATTAAGCTATAATTTAATACATTTTTTGTATTGTGTATATGATTTACAATTTATGATATGAGATGGGGCTTTGTTTAATAGTTTAATACCTATCTCTGAAAAACATTGACTTGATTTAAGCGTTCGGATTGTAGGGATCTCTAAATTATTTTCCTAACGTGTATTGTATGCTATTTAAATTCAATTTATATGTGAAATAAAGAGCATTTCTTTAAAATAATTTTTGTATAGATAAAACATTAAATTCCTAGAATAATTGTGTTGAAGGATGTGTTTTAGGTTTGTTTAATATTAATTTTATTATGTTTTGTTGAGCTCTCAGTATCTTGTTGCTTGCAATAGTACCTAATCCACCCCATTCGGTTATACCATATTGGAAATCGCGGAATCCAGAGTTATAAAGTATGCTTATCCTTCCCTATATAGATTGCCCTATAAATAACTAATAGAATACAAAAAATAAAATAATGTTCAATAAAATATATTAATTTATCCTTGACGAATATCAATACCAAAGTCATAAGCTATAGATATAAAATTATGTAAAAAAAAAAATGAATAATTAATAATAATAAATTATCAAACATTTATAAACAAAAAAAATATATGTGAGTTGTAGTTCTTCAGAACAGCAGAGTATTTTAATAAATAGTTAATAGGTATTATAATATATTGGATTCTTTTAGTGCCTTTAAGTTTAATAAATCAATTAAGTAAAACCAATAATACATCATAACTACCTATTAATATCTATAGGAAATTTAATAAAATTGAAAAATTCAATTTAATTAAAATAAAATAGATATACTATGATTATAGTATGGGATGCATACATTTCGCTAGTTTATCAATTTCTAAATTAAATTTTGTGATCTAAAAGACATAAGTACATAAGTTGAGCTGACCAATTAATTATGCGGTAATGATCAGGAGTGTCTCCAGACCTTGGTTATGGGGTGGGGGGGAGCGAAATAATTAAATTTAGTATTACTGATTAATAAGAAAAAAAGACGGACACACTTCGCACAATGGGTGGACTATTATAGATGAAAAGTTGGGAAGGTAGGATATTGAGAAAAATTTAATGTATATCTGTAACTAATCAAATTTAAGCATTTTCCAACAAAAACGATTCTGAGCGGAGCCCGGGTAATAAGGTAATTGACTAAAGATTGACCTATTAATTAATACGCAAGGTGCATAATAATTACCGATTTAAAAAATTTGATTAATTTTAGTGTGATAAATATACAAGTGACTTAGCTAGGAAAGTATATGGGAGTGGCTGCAAATAATAATAGTTAATTCGTTTTCACAAATTTGTTCATTAGATATAATTTAATAGTTGTATTATAATATGCATGTTGCGGTTACAAAATATTATCGTTACTGAACCTAATGTTTTTCGCAAGGTTGTCATCAACAAGGTGAAGTACATCCTATAGGTTAAGGCATATTATCTATAGCGCGACAAGTAACTATTATAATTGTTTATAAACAGCTTGGGGCTCGTTAAGATTTTGATGTTGGTAATTATGACAAAAACGAATAGGTACCTACGTACAAAAATTACTTCTTATTTATTTGATGTTCTTCAAGATCAAGGACAATGATCAAAAAGATTCTATTGTTTCGGGTTCTTCTATATAAAAGCTATATTAGGATATCATAATATTATATAACATGTAATATTTTGATCACCTAATCACTCATTATTATGAATATATTGGGACTTCAGATACTCTAAATCTGTTGAATTAGACAAAATACGGATATTTATCATATAAATAATACAAAACTTGTCTACTTTTTCTGTTAGTGATTATTAGGAAAACCACAAGGAAAAAAATAAATGATTACCTAAAGTTCTAGTTAGATGCAAAATGCTACAAAAAAGTCTCTTGAAATTTTTAATTGGAGTAAAATTTCTGATAGAAAAGATGTTATTAGAAACAAAATAAGAGTTGTAATTGTTGTAGGTGTAAAGTTGAACAGGTAGGATACATAAAGTTTTTAATTTATATCTTTAAGCATTGCTGCCGGAACACAAATTTGAGCATAAAATTCGGTCAAACATGTTTTGAAATGTCTTAATTTTTATGAATTTCGTCAAATTTGAACTTAGAACGATTATAAAAACTACTAATTACACTTAATTTTTTTTTTTTACTATCAAAAATTAATTTTTGTAAACCTTATATTAAATTTTCAAGCATTTCTGTTTTAGGCGAACAATTGTATCTACATAAAACCAAAAAAAAACTAAAAAAAAAATAACGGAGCAATTATTTTCCTGTTTTTTTCCGGTTTTCCTAATCATTAAGAAAACTACACGAGAAATCAAAATGACTTATTTCAGAGAAGTTACTATACTCGAATTTAGGGGCAAAATTTCTAAAAAAAATTGAAAATAATTAGACAGTTTACGCCGCCGTAAATTTGTTAGTGGAAAATCAAATAATATCTTCTTTAATGCACCAACTAAATCTAAAATCCAACAAAAAAATCTCTTGTAATTTTTAATTTGGGGTATCTTTACGTTAAATAACTTTAAAATTACATTTGTATATATATATTATTATTAATATTGAATTATTTGCCCGCTACATTATTTTTATAAACAAACATGCCATATCACTTTAATAGCAATAAAATATTACTTTCTTGGTAAAATAATATAAAATATTATAGGTGCTTATGACTTATAAAAATTAATTAATTTTTTTATTACGATTTTTCAGTGATGCGTCCAGAAATGCCCATGGGATTAATCGAGCGACGGCCTCCATTGGAAACTCAACAGTCAACAATATGGACTAGACGCCAACAAGCTGTATGCGTAAGACGCGCTTACAAGAAATATGGACAGAGTTCTAATCCACACGTCATACTTGACGGGCTAAACATGACTGTTCCAAAAGGTTGCATGTATGTTCGTTTTATTATTTGTGAATTATGTTTCATAAGAAAACGTAATGCAGTTAAGCTCTATGTATAAAATATTATAACGAAGGAATAAGTATTAGATACATAATATGTGATGGGGGATACCTATACGTAAATTGTTTTCAGAAGAAAAATTATTAATAATTAATGACCAAAGTAAGAAATATTTTGAAACAAAATCCGAGGTTTAAAAAACTATTTAATTCAGGATTAAAAAGTTTAGAAATTTAAATATTATAGAATAATTTATCATGCTCGGATTTAATAATATAATAACACACCGTGTCTGTGATTAAATAACGTAATATTATAGACTTTACACTTTATACTGTAATTATCTACAAAATAACCTACAAACTTTATTATACATTTTATTTTTCTAGATATGGTCTTTTGGGAGCCAGTGGATGTGGTAAAACGACATTGCTGAGTTGCATCGTTGGCCGCAGAAGATTAAATGCAGGCGAAATATGGGTGCTAGGTGGTAAGCCTGGGTCTACCGGCAGCGGTGTTCCGGGACCTCGTATTGGATACATGCCCCAGGTATCTTAAATAATGTTTGGTTAACGAACAATGTTTTATGGCTGACCTTACCTAACTAAAATTGTATTTAAAGGAAATTGCATTATATGGTGAATTCACTATTCGGGAAACTATGCAGTTTTTCGGTATGATAAATGGCATGAATCCGGAACAAGTAGATGAAAAAATAGAATTTTTACTTAAATTTTTACAATTGCCTCCAGCCAGTCGACCAGTAAAAAATTTGAGGTATTTGATTTATCTAAATACATTTTATGTACCTACAGGTTTTTATCGGCTTAATAATGTTAAAAATTACTCGTATTTATTTTGTTTGGGTTTTTTGAACTTGTACAGTGGTGGACAACAACGAAGAGTTTCTTTTGCTGCAGCATTGTTACACAATCCCGAATTACTGATTTTAGATGAACCAACAGTTGGAGTCGACCCAGTTCTACGACAAGGGTTTGTTTAATATAATATTAACTGTCGTTAAATTCATCTATACATTATAAACATTATGCTATTTTTTTTAAAATACAGAATATGGGACCATTTAGTTCATTTAACTAAGGACGGAGGAACAACCGTTATTATAACGACACATTACATTGATGAAACTAGACAAGCGCATATGGTAATATTGACAATTGCATTGTATTAATTATAATTAATAATACTGACAAATATCGCATTGGTCATCAGAGGCGGACTAAGATTTGAAAACTGTTTGAAAATGAAGATTTGAAAATCTAGAGACCCAAGAATTTTTCAGGGATAACTTATTTATATGCAAATTTAATTAGGTACTAATAGTAAAAAGGCATTAAGTAACATATATTTTATAAAAATTATGATCCAACTAATTCAATCTCCAAAAAATTTTAAATACAAAATTCACAATAAATTTTGATATTTTAATGCGCCACGTAACAATTTTTTTTTTATTTACGCTTAATTCGTTTTTGGTGCTGCATAAATGAAAATTATATACTTATTCATTACATATACCTACTTTAAAAAACAATTTTATTAAAAATACGTTTAATGTTGCACACATTTTAATAATTGTATTTTAGTCTCTAGGAGGAACAATAAGGAATATATAGGTTTATAAGCAGCCAAGATATCAAGGGTCAATTTGTCATAACCAAATATAATGGTAGCTCCCTATGAGAGTAACAACAATGAGATGGTCACTCTCTGATTATATACAAAGGTTCTAATAATAGGACATGGAACATAGACATATAAAGAAATGAACTGCACGTAGAGAGAGTAAACTAATATTAACCGATAACCATAGACATATAAATAAATTTATCTTTATATCTCATACTATTACCATACATATCCCATACTATTTAATCGGCAAATTACCCATAAAAAGAACGTATAAAACCTTGGACGTTTTGATTTTGCTATTACGACCGTGAGAAGTAACAATTCAGTCTTGTTTTATTCATAGCAAGGACGAACTGGGAATAAAAATCAGCCACAGTAAAACAAAAAATTTGGACCAAAACATTCAATAATAAGGGTAAACAACATATAATAGAAACAGTTTTTTGGTAATTTTAAACAAAAATTATTATTTCTCTATCTAAATATACAAACGTTTACGTTTATTCGATTAAAATTCATCAGCTCAAAATTATCTCCCCGTGGCCTCCCACTGATCCCCCCAGATTAGAATACTCCCAAGTTACCACTACTTGTTGTAAGAACTAAGAGGTGACAAATGGGGTTGCCCGGTTGCGTCAGATCGACAGCCAGTGTAAAATTTGTCAAAAATTATAAGGAGTTTTAAACATGACTTTTCACCTAACTTTTCACCTACAATAGTAACCCATCCATCGTGTGAAGTATGTCCGTTGGTTTTTTATCTTGATTATAACACAAAAACAAATCAAAAATAGTAATATAAACTGTTATATGTTGGAAGGTATTCCGTATATATTCCCGTTTCCCCCAATTATATAGAGAACTACGGGAAATATCGAAAAATAATTATTTAAATACACCAAGAAGACAAAATTTTCCACCAGAAACTACATATGAGATTTCCGGTAGAAATTTGTAAATTAGAAATTAGTGATATAAAAAAAACACATCAGTACCTACCTACCTATATGTATGTGCATATTTCTCGCGAATCTTAAAACCAACATTAGAAATAAATCACTGGCCCTGTACTCATCCCATAACATATTTATCGTACATTTATGTTGAACATTAGTATTCAATTTTAACAGATTGGTTTAATGAGAGGTGGAAAATTCTTGGCCGAAGAATCACCTACATCATTATTACATAAGTACAATTGTCAGTCACTAGAAGACGTTTTCCTAAAACTCAGCGTTATTCAAAACCGTGGAAAACGGAGACGAAGTAGCATTTTACATGACATCACAGCCGCCATTGCTGTACCGGTAAAGAAAAAATACAATATAAAGCATTACACTTAATTAAAAAAATTGATAAACTAATAGAAATCAATTAACTCTCATATGACTTTTTTCATAGGAAACGTCACCTGTACCTGCAGTCGAAGCGCTAAACTCGATATGCGATAATACGTCGGAAATGAGCGGAGAATTTGGAGACAGCATAAGTCCAGTACCACTTAGTAAACGTATGTCTATATGTTCAATGCAAGTCAACAATGTGGAAATGGAACTTCCACCAGAGGCCAACATAAAAATGTCACTTTTTGACAGATGCAAACTATATCAATCGCATCACATGCGAGCGCTGATATGGAAAAACTTCCTATGGATGTGGAGAAATGTGGCGTAAGTGATATATAATGGTGTTAAGACGTTAAGTAGGTACAATAGAACATATTTGTGTGTAAATAATATACATATTTTTTCTAAATTTTTATTGAATTGAATGTAATTGAATATCTTTGCTAAAATAATGTTAAGTTATAAAATTGCAAAATTTTTTGTTAGATATGTATCTACCCAATAAGTGCCCACCTAGTAAATATTAATAAAAAAATATCTATTATTAGCTTGCTACTAGCATTTCTAGGTAAGTGCATTATTGTATCAATATATTAGTAAATGTATAACCTTGGTTTAATCTGGTAAAAAAATATAACAAAAAGTTGTAGTGTAAAAATAAATTCATATTATATGTTTTGGGTACCTACCTAGGTACTTACAATAAATTTCAATTGCCTATACCCGTTGTTAAATTGAATTATTTGAATAGAATTACTATATTATAAATTACAATTTAATAAGGAAATAAGAAATGATAAAAAATAAGATTTTTTTTTTTAATAGAGAATATTATTATCCAAGACAAAGAATAGCATTACTACTACAAAGGATAAATTATTAATCATAAAAATTTTGTTTGTCATTCAGAAACTAATAAAATGACTTATGAAAAAAATATGAATTAACTATTATAAAATCATATTAAGTTGTTACGTTCTGTCAATAATTTTATAGTAATAATATTATATTATGGTATTTTGAGTACCTACCCAACTTTATGTATCCATTATACTTTTTCCTGAATATTTGTTTTTGAAGTTATTATAATATAGAAAACTAATGTGCATTATATTTTTTATTCACAGGGTAATGATGTTTATTGTAGGACTTCCAGTAGCGCAAATTGTTCTATTCTGTTTATCTATTGGCAAAGATCCGTACGGACTGCACTTGGCCATCGTCAATCATGAAACAAATAACAAGACCTGCCCACCAACTGATTCTTGCGAGTTAACTCAACTCAGTTGCCAATATTTATATCAAATTGAACTACGTCGACAAGTATTAGTAAGTAATATTTATTTTAATTGTAATTTACTGTAGGTCCATAATTATGCAAATAAGTTAAGTATAGTGTATAAATAGTACAATAATATTTGTATTATAAAAAAAAAAAATTATTTGTGCTACAGGATTATTTTGACGATGAGGAATCTGCTTTTCGAGCAGTTAAACTAGGGAAAGCTTGGGGTGCTCTATCGTTCACATCCAATTATTCAATTTCACTTAAAGAACGTATGGATGAAGGACAAAGTACACCAGATTTTGTTATAGACGATAGTATTGTATCCATATGGCTTGATGAATCAAGTAAATTTTTATATTAATTGTGATTAATGTTTGTTTTAACTGTTATGAAAACTTAACACTTATAAATATTATACATTTTACACAAATTTCTTTATATTTGATTTTCATTATAACAAAATATTTTAAATTTAGCCAACTAAATTTGGGTAGTTATTATATTTTTAACTATAACAAATTGTAATTTCAGATCAACAAATATCAACATTGCTTAGACGAGATCTTTTGTTTGCTTTTCAAGATTTTGCTACAACACTGGCTGCAACTTGTAATTTCAGTACAAAAGCTGTAGCAAATCCTATAAAGGTAAATGATTAATAGGTATCTAGAATATTTATTTAACCATTAAAAATATAAAAAAAAAAAGGTTCCGGGGTTTCTCTCAAATTGTGGTACCTTCTTAAAACTTATGTGAATTTACACATATTACATACATTTAAAAAATAATAATAACAAAAAATTCAGAATGAAGTTATTTTATACATGTATGAATGTATGTACATTTTCCCATTTTTTCACAATTATTATAAAAACCTTGTGGAAAATCAAAAAATGACCTCTTTTAAGTACCTACTAGATACAATTTCCTTTTAGAAAAGGTGCTACACTCGGTGCATCAGGGCAAAATTTCTGGTAGAAAATTTGCTCACAGAATAAAAAAAAATAAACATTGTAAAACCAATAAATTCCTCTCAATGTTCCAAATCTAAAAATGCAAAATCTTCATATATAACTAATAATAACTTTTGTTGTTAAAGCTCATTAGTTCAATGAGAAATAAAAATAATATTCTAACATTTTTCTATTCAGTATTAATTTATAATTTATATTTTTTTCTTAATAATTTTTTACTGAGGTTTTTTTTCCTAATATGAATTTAGTCCAGGCGTTTTTCTCCTATAATTCATAAAAAAAATGTTATCGAAAAAATATTAGTCGGTATCTACAATTTTTTTTGAATTTGAATTTGGTTAATCTTTTTTTTTTGATCATTTTCCAGTTTAATCGTCCGATTTATGGCCCTTTTATACCAAACTTCACAGATTTTGCAGCTCCAGGAGTAATATTAACGTGAGAAAATTATATTTATACTGATACCTATATACAAATTAAGAAATCAACAAAACAAATAAAACCATGAATTCTTAAATTTTAGGATAATATTTTTTCTGGCAGTAGCATTAACTTCTGGTGCCATGTTGATAGAAAGGAATGAAGGAATACTTGAAAGGAGTTTAGTTTCAGGTACATTTTTTATAGACACATATACCTAATAATAAAACAAAATATTAATTGTTCATTTTGTGTAATTTAATAAGGTATTACTGGAATTGAAGTACTTTTGGGACATGTGGTATGCCAACTTTTAATTATGGTATTCCAATCACTGATGGTCATTGCATTTGCATTAATCGTTTTTGATATTACCAATGAAGGCGATGTCTTTTGGATATGTTTATTAACAATTTTAACTGGATTGTGTGGCATGTGTTTCGGTTAGTAAAAAATGAACTGTATAATATTTGTTTTGAATCTTAACAATAATAATATTTTGAATTTTGTATAGAGTTAATAGTTTTTTTCTTTGCTACAATAAAACAAAAGTCTAGACACTTGAAAAAAATACTATTACAATTTTAATTTAAAAATTAATTTTCGCCTTATGAGCAGGATAAGAGACTTTAAGCACATAAAATTCACAAACAAGTGCTTAAAACCTTCAAAAAAACTCTGAAAAATCACTTATAATTATAAAAAAGATAACTTGCGTGTTAATCGGATTTTGTAACGATAGAAAATTGTATTAAATAAGTTAGAACCATTAGAGGGAAGAATTTTAAATAACTCTATTGTTTTTGCTTTTTTTAAATATATTTTAAGTGCTTCTTTTTTGTAGATTTTAAGTTCTGAGCCCTGCCTATGAGTAATTTAATAATGCAATTTTAAATATTACAGGGTTTGTTGTTTCTTGTATAACTGACAGTGAAAGGAACGCTACATATTTGGCTATGGGAAGTTTTCTACCTATTGTTATGCTTTGTGGTTTGTATTTACTATTTATTACCTAAATGTGGTTACATATATATTATTGCTATGACTAGTAATAATAAAATAATAATGATATATGTTCATTGAAAACTAATAAAACAAAGAGCACTAACTTTTGGTCCTATATATTAAAACTAACTAAAGAAACGATTATTAGGATGAAATCTAATAAAATAAAACTACATAATTTACTGTAAATGTCATTTTCCAAAATCTGAAGTATTTATTTTTTGATTAAACGTTTGCAATATGTTTAAATATGAAATGGTTTCTGATATTTGCAAGAAAAAATATTTATATTTTATTTACAGTGGTTATTCTTATAATTATATTATATGTTACAGTAAATTTGTAAATAAATAATCATTTGTATAGTCGTGTTCATGTTTGACTTTTTTTTGACACTAAATATACATTTCATTACTAGTATTTTTAAATATAGTATTGTACTATGAAATATAATATAATATAGTATTGTATGTACTATGAAAAAAAAAAAATTCACTGTTATATACTCACTTACCTTGATCATATTTCTAGGCATAATATGGCCAGTAGAAGGAATGCATGCTACAATGAAATCGCTAAGTTTCATCTTGCCATTAACACAATCTACAGAGTCAATGAGATCAATGTTGGCACGAGGTTGGCCTATCACTGAACCTTCTGTATACATTGGATTCTGTTCTACACTAATATGGATTTCTGTATTTCTCACATCTAGTATACTATTGATTAAATTTAAAAAAGGATAATTTGTAAAAATATTAATTTTTACTGCAAAATAGACTATACACAAATTAATTGTTTACAATATTTTTTAATAACATATCATATGATAGAGTTCCTCTATATAGATATTATGTTTGAATCATATACATAGTATATAATTTTGGAACAATGAGGTGCAACTTTGGTCACAATACATTTTTTTTGTTTTGTCTAAGTTTTATTAATGATGCATTTAAACTATTGCCAAAGGTTTTTTTTTTTTTTTAAACTAAATGTTTGTTATTCAGTAATTCAGTAATATCAGAAATACCTAGAAGAATAATAAATATTAATAAGATAGTTGAATATGTGTATATTTTTTCAAAAACTTCATGTGAATTGTCAATAATAATTCTTAAATTAATTTATAATTTTATACTTTACTTGTACAATGTGATTCAATCAACTGGAATTTAAAAATCATAAGTTTGTAGTGGTTTTACCCTTAAAAATAAATAAAAAATAACGTAGATGTAAAATTATAGAGCTACTTGTTTCTTAAATGTTCTACAAAACAAATTCTGAAAAAAGTTAATACTTTCCAGGATAAGGAGTGTTTCCAGTTGAGTAAATCACTCTATATATTTTTGATGTAGGTACTCAGAAAATCATTTTTAATGTATTTTTTTAGTTTTTGCTTCATGTATAGTATCTACCAAATGAAAGACTTTGTATTTTTACATAATAAATAATATTTAACCAATCTATATATATATATATATATATATATATATAAATTTTAGTACATGGATATATGTATAATATCCATTACAAAATCACTTTTATATTAATAGTATTTAATGGAAATGTTATTATTATAAAATAATAACGAGGGTATATTTTAGTATAAATATTAAATAACAATTAGTAATTAGGTATCACTGTAATGACTGTAAAATAATAAAATGTAGATTTCTGTGTAAAAATTTAATAATTTTATCTAAAATTCAATTATGAGTTGAATACAAAAAAAATGAACTGTCCATATATGATTAGAACTTATGTACACTTAACTTATTATAAATGTTTTATATTGTATTTGTTATACTTATCGTTTTAAATATATCTTTTTATAAATGTATTCATTTTTAATTATTGTTATATTTATAAAGGTGCGTGTAAACATGGTCTGAACACAAATAGATACTAGTGAATAAATCAATGTAAACGGTACAGCTTAATTAGAAAAAATTAATTTGTGTTTAGATCCATTTAATCCAAGACCAGGTAAAAGCACAATAATAGACATTGTCCAGCTGGTATGCATTAGATACAAACAAATGAATAAATTCGGACTATAGTCTAAATACACCTTAAAGTACTTAAGTATTTAATTTACTGTTTTATATTACTCGGATATAAATAGGGTTCATGATTTTTATTTTATTATTTGTTTAATTAAGTGAAAAATTAAAATAAAATTGTAAATTAGTGAAAAAATGTATATCTTATGTAAAGAGCTATTTTAGACAGAGTTCACTTAATTTTTTTTTACAAATACTAAAAATCAATAATAAATCATTGCATTCAAAAAATAATTATGAAAAGAGCTCACTGTCAAACCTACATATGAGCCTAAATAAATTTAACTATAATAAATATAAAATAACCTGAATACAAATTGATTAATCTTAGATTCTGAACGGAGAGAGGAATGTATTGGTTTTACAATGTTTTTTTTTTTTCTGTTAACAACTTTTCTTCCAGCAATTTTGGGATATAGAACTTCTTCTGAAATGAAATCTGACCGTACTGGTACTTAAGTAGGTCATTTTTTGATTTTTTTCAGAGTTTTTATATTGGAAAAAAAAGGGGAAATTTATGAAATGTATTATCTTCAAATAGCAAATATTATGGCCTTTTAAAACATGTATAACCAGACTCAGCTCAAAAACATTTTTCATTAGCAAAGAATAATTGTTGTGTACAGATATATATATATTAAATTCCTTCTATATCCTACTTTCTAACTTTTCACCAACAACAGTGACCCACCCATTGTGTGAAGTATGCCCGTATCTTTGTTTTTACAAAATTTTGAATAAAAATAAGTTGTTCAAGTTGGAAAACGCTTTTATATAAATAAGTTTATACTAATAGTTACCCGCAAAACACCCTATACTACCAAATTATTGATCATGTTTAATGAATCAAAATAAATTATCGTTAACAAGTTTCTGTATAAAATTAAGTGATTTTCAGTAGAAAATACCTTAAACAGGTATCATGATATGAAAAACATTAAAAATGTATTAACATGTTTAGTAAAAAAATACTTTTTGCAAACAAAAACGACTGTTAACTAAAATTATGAAAGATAGGAAATAAAAAATAAACTGGGTTGTACTTTGTATTTTAGTAATATACACAAACTATTTATTATCAAACCATAAGCACACATCTGAAAAGAAATATTATTTGTACAGTAATATTTTAATTATTATTATAATATATATTAATATATTGATACTATTAAAAGGATACTAATTATTTACTTTAATTTTTTTGTATGCCCTATATAGCATTTTGTCAATATTTAAATTTATTTTATACTTGGTTGGTATCAAATTATCTAATCAAATATATTATTAAAAAAAAAATTTCCCAAATATGGTTCAATTTAGAAATTAGTATCTTTAAGGGAAACATTAACCAAACCCTGAGAGCCACTTTTACCAACATAAATACTTCAAACATTATTTAAAAACCTTCATTTATGATAGTGAAAGCGGTCCTAAATGTGAATACTGAAATTGTAGCATAAGTATAATTCAGTGTAATTTATTAAGAACATTGAAGAATTTTACAAATATTGGTTTACATCTAATTACTAGATTAAATCGTATAAATTTGAAAACAAATTTTTTTCAACTACTAATTATTTTTAATTATTAATTAGTTTAATATTAAATTATGAATGTGTATGCAATACTGTTATGAAAATGTTTATATTCTGAGTATATTTTAAAATTAACCGCTTTCATTTTATAATAAAATATAATTAATATTAAATAGTCAAAAGTTTTTACAGTAATAAGAAACTGTTTTTAAATAAATATTCAAATTCAATACATACTTATACAAATATATTGATGTCAAAATTCTAAGAAATAATATGTTAATACAAATTGTTACGTTAAAAACAAATGTTTAAAATTGTAACTAGATGTGTACAGAATAGTAATAATATGGAATTAATAATGTGTAAAAAGAAAAATTATGCATAAGTATGTCTGCTTTTCCCAATAAATTGTAATATATTATAGATTACAATTTATTGGTGTTTAAGCCGAGCTACTAGATCCAGAACGACTGTGCTTACGCCTTCTTGGAGATCGAGAACGAGATCTCATTCTACGTGGGCGAGGAGAGCGACGTTTAATAGGCATTGGTGATCTACGTCTGTATCGCGGTGGACTTCTTCGGCGTCCACCTCCACCCCAGCCACCACGGCGGATAGGACTTCTACGCACAGCAGGACGTGGCATTAATACTGGTGCGCAAGTTATTTCTTGCCCATCAATTTGACCTATTATATATAATGATAATCATAGTTATTAATTTATTATACTTGGATACTATAAAAAAAATCTTCACTAACCCCCATCCATATGTTTCATAGCATTTTCAGCTTCTTCTGGAGTAGTATATTCAATATAAGAAAATCCTTTACATAATTTATTAAACCGGTCCAAAGGCACATCGACTTCTTTTATTGTACCAAAATCTGAAAAGATTTCTTGAACATGTTCTTTAGTAACGTTTCGAGTCAAACGACCAACATGAATACGACATGGTTTTGGAGTAGGTGTTCTTTCTTTCTTACGACGTTTTGGACTACCTGATCTAAAATATAATAAAAGAACTTAGTAGTATTACAAATTATGTTTAGTTTTCAATATAACTACATACCTTGATTTTCTAGAAATTCTTGGTTTACTTTCAGCTTTTTTTACTTTTTCATCATCATCACGTCTTGATTTTCTCGGACTGTGGCTTCTACTCTTAGTCTTACTTCCGCTTTTTGATCTAGGTTGTCTGTAAATTAAATTAGACTTGATAAAGTGAAGAAAAAAAAATCTCTTACTCAAATATACAACAAATAAATTAATCACTTAAACATACCATTGTGTTTTTAATAGTAGACTGGTAAAAATATTAATATTACAAATGTATTTGAAAAATTATAAATAACCATATTAAGGATATGTGAATAATATAATATTAAATATGAAAATTAGGTTACAACAAACTATAAATATCATCTACAATATGACTATAATAAAATAATATACTAAATAATAAACTAATATACAATTTAACTACTTATACTCACTTTACTTTAGCTTTAGCTCGTCCAGTAGAAGTACCTGAAGAACTACTTGAACTTGATGAACTCGAGCTTGAACGAGAACTAGAACCAGAGCTACTTGAGCTTGAACGACTACTAGATCCTGAAGAACCACTACCAGAACGTGAACTACTCGACGAAGAGCTGAAAGAAATAAAACATTATTATACAATTTCAAAATATATATTATAAATATATTAGATCTTACCGGCTACTACTCGAACCACTGCTTGATGATCGACTACGCTTTTTCTTTTTGATGTTCTGTTCTTCTCTTTTATTTTCTTTATCTGACTGATCACCTTCCATTTTTTCTTTTCGGCTTTTAGGTCTAGAACAATTGAAAAAAAAACTAAAGCATTTTAAAACTGACAAAGAATGGATTGATGCATATCCAAATTGTGAGTATATTATTATTATTATTTACCATACATTATATTTTCACCATTGTCATTAATTATTTAGTTTAGTTAGTTCTATTTTCTAAATTTAAAAAAAAATTCCTTTCTTCATTAGGTTTTAGTATATAAAATTAAACTAAGTACCTCTAGTTATTGCAAAAAGTATGACACTGAAACCTACACTTTCTTTTTTATTAACATTTTTTCATTATAAATACTTATTAAATAAGTTTAATATACTCTGAAACTAATAGGTACAAAAAATGAATATGATAAACCTGTTTAAGTATTTTGTATGAATTTTTAAAACAAATAACTATTTAATAGAAATTATGATTTAATTTAATTTAATGTCAAACATCGATTTTTTAAAAAGTAGTTATTAACTATATTGAAATAAATCATTTTCATATAATTAATGTAAATATATAGTAAATCAAAATTTTAACTTTATAAATTGAAATATTAATATTAATCTAAAATTTATTACCAGATAAAAATGTACCATTCAATGCATAATTTTAATTTATAGGATCAACAAACATAATCCAGGATAATCATATTTGTACAAACTAAATACTTTTAGAGAAAAATATATTAGTTATTATATATTAAAGAAACAATCTGCAAATAAATATTGCTTTACCTTTAATAATATTAAGCACCTATGAATAGTTGTTTCATAGGATAACATAAATCATAACTAAATATGTTAGATAATATAATGTGTAGTGTTTAACAACAGACATACAGTCTTTAAATTACTTCCATTGTAAATGTGTAATAAACACAATCATGAATTAAATGAAAGAAACTTATAATATATTCTAAAATAATATTTTATATTTAATGATGTACATAGTTGATACATCATATTAACCATTTTAATAATTTTGTTTTTGCTTTATTATTCTATTATTGTTTATAATATTGAGAAACTTTCTGTTAAAAAATGCTGTAAAAACTACAAACTCATTAACATATTAATAAGTGAAATATCACTTTTGACTTAATTAAATTAAATTAATAAACATGTACTTGTTAATGTTTTATTGCAACTAAAACTAGGTATCAAGGTAATAAAATCAAATTCAATGAAAATAAACATATAATATTGGAAAGCAGCAATCGCTGTTTTTGGAAATAATGTATGATATTGATTCAAAAACTATAAGTATTATTGTTAAGTCACTTTTAAACGTTTGTTTAGATACAAAAATATAAGTATTAGATGCATATCAAATGTGCCGAGAATCATTTCCAAAAAATACAAACAACTCCAAACTTCAAAACCAAAATTTCGTACTAAAAACGTAATTAACAAATAGCTATAAACTAAAATTAATGTAATGTTTTGAGCGTTGTTATTTTTTCATATGAAAATACATTCTTAATAACTAAACAAATTGGATATGTGTAATCAAAATGGAAATAAAGAATGGTGGAAATCGAGAGTACAATAATTAATATGAGGATACTTACAAATCGGATACAACCATTGTTATGCTATCTATGATACTCAGAACAAAAAATAAATACTTTTATTTTAACTTTTCATGTTTACACTTAACGAATGATACAAATGAAATTTGGTACTGGAATTGGGTAGTGCCGTACTGTTGTAGTTTGTGGAGGCATCATTTTAACTGATAAGATAACACAGCGTCAAGCGTGCTTTTTGGCAAGGAGTATGTACAAATATGTGATTTTATAAACATTCCACGGAGAATATAAAATGTGTAATAGTATATTAATTTTGATAGGGAGGACTACAAAATACAACAAAAAATATTTCAAATAACCATTCCTTAGACAAACATGAAATTATAAGAAAATATTTAAGCAGACAAATATTTCCGTCAACACTTTAGTATTTCAGCCGAGTCCACGGTTAAAGATATACTTTTTATTTTTAATCGTGGCCAAATCGCCCGAAACTCTATTAATTATAAACTTGTACATTTCTTATCATTGTTTTTAATCAGTAAATGTCGAATTAGAAAACTTAGAAGTTTGAACGTCGATATTTTGAAAAATATTTGAATGAACGTACACATTTTGAGTTATAATTCCGACACAATTTTGAACAAACAAAATATAATAAAACTACAACATTTTGAATATTTTCCATAATAAAAATGTATATTATTTAAATAAGTTTTAAATTATTATTATTTTTAATTTCAATCACTTGTAAGAATTTAAATTATGTATTCAAGTGTAGGTAAACAACTCACTTACACAATATGTGAGATTTATGATTAAAACTAAACCAATATATTTTCCAATTAACTTCATTGATTATAAATTCAAATATCATAGAAGTGGGTTACTTTAGACATCTAATTAACTTATTTTTAATTTTAAAATAATATGTACGGAATTTTTTTCCTTTTTATTTATTTTTTATCACACGGTATCGTTTTTTGGAAAATCTGACCTTTTCTTTTTATTACATTCTGCTGTAATATTTCCTTATATACGGTTCGGTTGATTTATTTTCAGTTTTTTTACGCACTCCCTATTTCGATTATGGCTTTAGATCCTACTTATTTTACTAAGTCCTAATTAGTCAGTTAAGATAATTAGTACCCCTTTCAACTAAATGGGTAATCACTAATCGTAGATAATAATGGAATGAATACTGAATCAAAGTTATATGGCGGTTCGGTCCTCTGCAGGAACTAAAATTTTATGTAGTAAGAGTGTATGACTTAGTGTGCAGTACGAAATTATAAAGGTTGTAGTAGACTATATTATGTCATTGTGATATTTATTTGTGTTCTCTTTTAATTTTACATTTTTCCTACTTATAATAATTATAATTGGAAAAAATAATTCTAAAATGTATCTTTAAACAAATTATAAATAAGTAATTAGTTGACTCGTAAAACGTAAACAGTTATCAGTTTATCACATATTATTTCGAAGATAATTAAGGCATAAAACAGATTAAAGGGCCCCATACTCTTAATATCGATGTTTAATACATTATTAAAAAAAGAATCAAAGCTAGTAGTATTAATAGTATTTGTAATTAATATTTATTACATTCATGATGAGTAGATTATATTAGTTATGTATTTTAGATTCTCAGTGGAGCAAAGAAGCCTATAGTTTTACGCTACGTCCTAAATTAATGCGATTTTGCGAGCAAGCCATGTGATAAAATTCAAAATATGTTTTATAATTGGATGTCCTTTTTGAATGGTAAACAGGCGGGCGAACGATAATAATAACTTTTTCTAAAAGAAAATCTTATTGGGAAGGTACTATAGGAAAGTCATTTTTTATTTTTAAATGAGAAAAACCGAAAAATGTACGAAATGTAGGTATTAGTAAAAAAATATTACGGCCTTTTTTTTTTTTTTTGCTATTGAACAACTTTTCCACCAATTTCGCTCCGATTTTCAAGTATAGCAGTTTTTCCGAAAGGAAATCTGACTAGGTTAGTACTTAAGGGAAGTCATTTTTTCCCAGGGGTTTTCATAATAAATGGGGAAAACTTAACGTAGGAAAACGTAGGAAAAAATTATTTTTAAATCTAAAATATTACGGCCTTTTGAATTATGTATAACCGAACTCCGCTCTGAATCGTTTTTTCGTTAGCGATGGTTAATCGTTACATACATTTAATTCCCATTTATATCCTGTCTTCCCAACTTCCCACCTATAATAGTGGCTGCACACGTCTCCATTATCCTAGGACAGTTTTTTTTTAAATTGTATAAAAAAAAACAAATACGAGAGCTAATCAAAAAGTATCGAGACTGATAATATTACTCGGAAACCGAGCGTTGAAGAGCAAAACGATTTGTAAACCTAGCTTCTATGATTTATACTGAGCACATCTATTCGTATAAAATCTCTATAAACTTCTTCGTTTTGATTTGACGATATTTTTCTAAAATTTGTTTTTCACGTTTGGCGATTTAGTAATGAATCCAAAAGAAGCGGAACTCGCTGCCACTTGAGAGCACATTTTCAGTTTTTCAATTGACATTTAATAACAAAAACCATGAAATGTTGCATCCCTCTGAAACTGGAAAAAAATGCAGAACATTTTTTTAAAATCTCCAAATCTGTCAAGTTACTCTTCTTTTGGGTTTATCACAAAATCGCCAAACTCGAAAAATATATTTTACAAAAATGACAGTGAAATTAAACCGAAGAATTTTATAGAGAAGCAATAAAAACAAATATACTCAGAAAAAGTCATAGAAGCAAGTGATACCAATCCTACTGCTCTTCAATGCTCCTTTTCCAAATGATACTACCAGTCTTGATACTTTTTAATTAGCCCTCGTATATCAACTTATTTAGTCCCTTTGAGAAAATCTAAAATAACGTTATTTTAGAATATAATATTACATAAATATCCTAAAATTAATATTTAAATTAATAATGATTAATTCATTTTATTCTTCATCCATAAAACTGTGTAACTGATAGGTATATATATGTATACACTAGTTTTTTTTTTAAGTTTATATGAAATAATTATGAAAATTTGTCATGGAAACAAAAAATTGCATCAATTTCTTATTAGAATAAATAATAATGGTCAGCAATTTCAATAAGTAGCTATTAATGCTATTATATTATTTAAATCTGTGATTTTTGAAGAACACATCTATATTGACACAGGAGTATAGGGTACTCCTGAAATAACACAAACATTTAAGTATATGGAAATATAGTCTTTATGATCATAATATTTGTAGGCACATTTTACAAAAAAATAGAATTTGAATAAATCCAATGGTTTGTTCATTGTGCAAAAAATCACTGTATATATCAGTGTTTTCCAAATGAAGGGAGAGAAGGAGTGAACACATTTCTACAGACAATCTTTACAAAGTAAAATTAGTAATCACATTATTATTTTTATTTTGCAATGTAGAAAAAAATGAATAATTAATAATGATTGGTAGCAAGGCCGTATTTAGGTAGGGTATGTATTCTCATGAAGATTCAAATTTGTACGAATATTATATTATAGGAATCTTTTCGCTGATAAACTTTTTTTATTTGCCAACTATTGTTATGAGGGAGAGGGCAAAATTTTTGAAAATCTACAAAGGGAGCATAGAATAAAAGAGGTTGGGAACCACTGGTATACATAAAGATCACGGTTTAAGAGGATGATACACATGCATTTGTTGTTTCTATCTTACAAACGACGATATAGTTAAATCAGACTCAAGCAGACTATGCAGAACTCTCTTTATTTTGGTTTTAGAGTAAAACCACTTATTTTCAAATCAAAATAGAACAATATTCCAGAGAGCAAGACGTTGATTTTTTAATTTTCTCTGAATATAACAGTCAATTTACTGTTTATAAATAATAACTTTTTTTTATTTGTTTTTTAATCCACTAAAACTTGAAAAAAAAAATAACTTTTTCAAAAAAACGTAACGTCTTGCCCTCCAGAATATTGTTCTCTCTTAATTTTATAATAGGTGCTTTTAGTCTAAAACTAAAACTAAGCTTGTTCTGTGTAGTCTGCGTAAGCATGTTTTTACTATATTTTGGGTTTGTGAGACAGAAACAACAAATGTATTTATAATGTCTTCTTAAGACTTAAGGTAGATTGGTTAGATGACAAAATGTGATAGGATGACTATAAACAAAATCATGTGTCACACAACTAGAGTGCATAGATAAATCTATCTTTATCCAGGAATTCTAGTTCTATCGTAGCTGCTGATTTGGCATTTCAGTTTTTCAGTCACAAAAAAATCAATAATCACTACTCTTAATCTAATATATCTATTATATCTTAAACCATAATAAAGATATATATCTTAACATTGTTTATAAAAGGGAATTATTTTACAAATGTATTGCGTAAAAGTTGTACAACTTTTTTCTCACTAAAAATTAGTAACATTTTTATTCAGTTAAGTTAAATGATATCAATAATACTATAAAATACTATATCAACAATATATAATAAATACTATTAAATTAATATTCAAACACAATTTTAAGTCCTAACTGAATTTGGGAGCAGTTTACAAAAATTCTTAAGTCAAATAAACAAATGTTAAAATATAATAAATAACTAAAAAAATAGCACTCTAAAGAGTTACTTATAATTTAACTTGAGATTTTTATCTTTGATATTGAACGTTTAACACAATTTAACATTATTTTCAAGTGTAATTTGACTTTTGCTGTCATGAGCTGTTTATCAAAATACAATTTTAACTTAATAGTGGATATGTTATGTTTGATATAATTGCTTTCCAAAATTCATATAAAGAAAAGGAACTCTATTAGTAATTGTATTATAATAAATAAATTATGAATTTATAAAAAATTGTAATTATATAGGTATTCGTAATTAAATTAATATGAAACTTTAATCCAAAATAACCAGCCATATAAGCAATATTTTGCTACTTTCATAGCACATATAATGTTTTTGAGTAAAAATAAGGTCCCGGAGATTAATGTTATGACTTACTTAGTTCCGATAATTTTACGAAAAAAAATAACATTTAAATTTAACTTAGGGCGGGGGGCTAAGGTTAATTTTGAAGGGGGTCTTAGCTTCCTCATTTTGTTTATATAACTAACATGATGCAATATTATAACAGTTATATTATTAACATTTATGTTTGTTCAGTTTCATTTTCAGAATTTGGTATTGTAACTGTAACTTCACATTCATCTTTTATCATTGTTTCAGTTGCAGGATCTTGAACTACAGCTACTTTATCAATTTTTGTAAACAATTTTTTAACTATAAGGCCCACTGCTAAGGGAATCGGGGTCATTAATGCCACAGCTACTGGAATCACTAAAATATAATAAGTTAACAGTTAAAGTTATGTATTAGATTAAGTAAATATTAATTTAGAAGTCAGTAGCAACTTATAAAAAATTACATATTGGGTAAACAATTTTTCAAAAAAGAATGGAGGAAAATCATACAAAGTATGAAGTGTACAAATTATTTCAGAAACTTTTAGATTATTAAATTCTGTTTTGTATGCTATTTAATGGAATCAATTAATCAATTAATATTCAATAATGTTAAAAATGTCTTATTTTTTAATATTTTACATGGGAATCAAAATACTTTTTTTTCTGAAAACTTAAATAAGCCTATAAAACAAGTTAAATTATACTGTATCCACACTCCCCCATATCAATGTTTTACTACACTCTTGTCTCAGTATAATAAAAATAAATTTAACTTTTCATAGACAATTTAATGTAATCAATGGAGTTGAATAAAAACAAATTATCTAAAAATATTCGGATAAGTTGTAACTGATAGAACTATATATATAACAAATTATTACCAGTTGTTAAATCTGCAGCTGGTTGTCCCAAAGTAAATTTTAACATAAATATGGCAATACCAGTGTTTTGAATACCAGATTCAATTGTCATGGAGATTGTGTCCGGATAAGATAGACGTGCAGAAATAGATGATATTAATCCTATTAAAAAACCAGACCATGGAATCAATGCACCAGCTAAAATAATCTATAACAAAATATAATTTTAAAATTCTATAATATAATTAAACAAACAAAATCAGGAAACACTCACTTTCCAAGAAAATATCTTAAACAAGTATAAGTTAGTCACTGTGGCAAAAACAATAATAAATATTATCAGACAACTAGATAATGGCTTCAAAACGCGTGTCATAACTGTACTCACTCTTGGCAAAAAACGTTGAATACAATAACCAATGCATAAAGGAATAATTAATGCTATTATAGAATAGCCAATCCGTGAGTATGGGATAGGCATTTCTTCCATAATAAAGATACGGTTACCAAGAAACACAACCCAAAATGGTATCATAACTATAAAATAAAAATACATATTTAAATGACTAACATACAAACTATTATAGAAATAATAATTTTGCTTTTTTTATTTATTAAGAGCCAAAAAATATTATTTTATTTAATTAAAGCATTTATTAAGCTATGTACATATCAGCATACTTCAGAGGTAGTTTTTTGCCTAAGATTCTATAGTTATTGAACCTCGAACAGTGCCTCCTAACCTCTAAAACTAAAAGCCATCAAGACAATATAGAGTGAGAGAGATGTGGCACAATCTATGTTTTTCTCTTTCTCTCTCTCTCTCTCTCTATTTTGTCTGCATGACCTATAGAGGAAATGTAGACGTGTGGTTACAAATGGTGTACTTTCCAATGGTAATAGATCTAAGACCTAAATGCTTTATTTTTTCTCATTCTATATTGTCTTGTGATATCTCTGTTTAAAGTGATCCATTAGTTAATTAGATGTTACTTGAACACAGTATCATTTACGTTTGAATACTGACATGTGTACAAATACCGATTTTTTTAAAATTATTCCCTATTTAGTCAATGCATATATTGCCGAATATCATAATAGTTATAGTTGGCTAGAATACTTACCAAAAGATTCCAGAGTTCCAATGGTTGTAAGAACAACACTTAGATTAATATTGCCACCTAAAAGAAGGGACCACACACTAGAAGCACCACCTCCAGGACAAATTCCAGTAAAAAAAAGCCCTAGTTGCATTGCAGCTGAATTTGGGAATAAGAGCCTGGCAAAAAAAAAACTTGCCTGAAATTGTTTAAAAAAAACTATTAATGACAATAATTAATGAAATATGTATGTTTTAAGTCACTTACGATAGGTATGATTAGAAATTGAACGAAAAATGAAATTGCAGGAGAAATTGGTTTCCTAATACACTGTTTCAGCTGTACAACATCTAAAGCACATCCAAAGTTTATAAATAGGATGCTCATTAAACCAGCAACACAAATCACAAATATCTTATCAATTATTTGTGGTGTTCGAATTACTTTAATGTTCATATGAACATCGCTGGAGGTTTTGACTGCGATTATTGTATTATTTTCTGTAACACAATTTGATTTTTAAAATCATACAATGGTTATAATGTTAAATGTGATAAATGACTCACTTATTTCTACTACATGGAGATGTAGTTTTGTATACCCAAGGAACTCTGTTGATAAATGTACAGAAAAATTCCATGGCTGTAGGGTTTGAGGCAAATCAAATAAATTACGACTAGGATATGCTACATTCAAGTCAGAACTAGTCACTTGAAGTTTTAAATTTGTATCCACCTTAGATGTATTGGTCTGTGCATAGAATTTTATTTCTGTGCTGTTACCCATTTCCAACCTGTCAACATTTGATTTGTCAAAATATAAGATCCATTCATCGTCTGTTATTGCAGTTGCAAAACATATAGTTATACACAAATTAAACAAAAACACAAATTTAAACATTATGACAAACAATTTGTCCATTGAAAATATTATTGGTTGACGGTTTTACACAGTACATAAAATCACAGAGACGTGAATATTATGTTCTAAAAATGTACATCATTGTTAAGTTATAATAATCCATTATTTAATTAAATTATAATTGGCAACTGATAAATTATAATTAGGAATTAAAAGAAAAATACTCTGAGGTATTTAAGTCTTTTATAATTTGTAGGAGATGATTTTAATAATTATCATCCTATGTAACAATTTAGCACTATCTTGGATATTTAATAACAAAGTGTGATATTATGAATGATAATATTATTATGATATTTTTGACGGTATGCGTCATCAAATGATAAATGTTATTTCGTTCTTTAGTTCGTAGCAGTTTTAGATATACTATAATATAGTGCAGCGGTTCTTAAACTTTTTATTACGCGGACCCCTGATGAAGGACATTTTTAAATCGCGGACCACCTTATTAATTTTGTTAGGAATTACCATTTTTTTATTAAATTGTAATTTTAAACTACCATTTGTAGAAATTTCTATAAGATTATCTTCTTCCGGTGATGTCAGTCCATTAATTTGGGTTATATCAATTTCAAAAGGGTGTCTAATCCAGTTTCTATTTGTGTCTGGAACAGGAAAATAATCACGGAAGCTTCGTTGCAGATCTTCAATATATTGTTTGATGTATTTGGAAACTTCTCTGGATAATTCTTCTTCGATCAATTCAAGGAAATTATTGAGGTTTTGAAATTAATCGTAATTTTTCTTTGATAGACGAAGGTTCCATAGTTCCAACTTTTTTATCATCGCTTCAATCTTATCTTCAACTTTAAAAATTGTAACATGGGACCCTTGAAGACTCAAGTTAAGTACATTTAAATGAGCAAATATGAATATATCTGAAAGGTACGCTTAACTAGCCAACCAAGAAAAATCATTTAAACGTTCACTTAACGTAAATGATGATTTATGTTCGATGAAAAATAATCTAACCTCATGTCTTAACTCAAACAAACGAGAGAGCACTTTACCCCGAGATACCCAACGAATTTCAAAATGTAATAGAAGTTGATAATGTTCACTATCCATGTCCTTGCAAAGTTGTTCAAAAAGTCTTGAATTTAATGATTTGGCTTTTATAAATTTCACAATTTTTACAGCTTCATCTAAAACTTCTTTTAATTTTGTTGGTATTTTCTTAGAGACCATAGCTTCACGATGAATACAGCAATGATGCCAAGTAACTGATGGTATAATATTTCGAATGCGTGCAATTAATCCAGAAATTTTTCCTGACATTGCTCAAGCACCATCAGTACTAACTCCTACACATTTTGTCCATTCAATTTCATTTAATATTATAAATTCATTTATATTGGTAAATATTTCTTCTGCTGTTGTATGTATAACAGAGATTACAAATAAAATGTCTTCGAAAATGGTATTTTCGTAGTTGTATCTTACATAACACAGTAATATAGATTTATTAGTTATATCAGTACTTTCGTCTAATTGGAGACTAAAATAGTCACATTCGTTTATTCTTCTCAACAACTGTTCTTTAATATTTCCTGATAAACTATCAATTCGTTTTTTTATTGATAGCGAAATTAAATTTAAGTTATTTGCTGCTCCTTTACTGATCATTTTAGAAACCATAGCTTTTGCAGCGGGCAATATTAAATCCTCAACTATTGTGTAAGGTTTCCCTGATTTGCCAATAAGTAAAGAAAAGGCAAATGAAGCTTTAACGGCATTTTCATTACTATAACTTGTTGAAGATTTTTTAATACATTTCATATTTTTCCTTAATTAATATTCTTTATTTTTAAAAAATCAATGATTTTCGTAACATGTTCTTTATGTTTGGTTTCTAGATGTCTTTTTAGTTTTGATGGTTGTAGTGCCTCGTTTGATAGTACTTCAAAACGTATCACGCATTGTGGTTTTTGTTCTTCTTCAGAACCGCTACAAGTAAAACCCATCGATAAATAATTATTATCATAATTACGAAATTTTGTTAATTTAATTTTTTTACATGGTGTCTTTTTATTATCAACCGTAGAATTATTCCTCTTTACATTTAACCAGCTATCCATTTGTTCTTAAAAAAATTTGAATTTTAAAAATATATCACGTAAAATTCGTAAAATACGTAAGTATACAACTAATTAAATACAATCGATAAGTATACGGCGATGGCAAATAAACGACTGGACGTTTGAGTGCTGTAAATTTCGTTCGTAATATAAACTAATAGATAAATGATAATTCTAAATATAATTTAAAATTCCATGTTACGCCGATATGGGTAATTAAGATTAGAATACTCGAGGATTAACTTTTCTAAAGTTGCGATAAGACGTGTTCAATACTTGTATAATAATATAAAATATAAAATATAAAATTTTACATTTCTAACAATATCATTATTACACACACATGCTGTCCACAGCTGAAATCATTTATAGTGTCGCGGACCCTTAGGGGGCCGCGGACCACAGTTTAAGAATCGCTGATATAGTGTATACCCATTATCATAAATCTGTTGACTTGTGGTATCAGTAACCGAGATCTATATAGATCACTCATCGTTCTTTCCAAGTAAATTTAAACAACTCAATTTCAAACCAATATATGATTAACGCCGGTGTGCCCCAAGGCAGTTTCTCCTCTCTTATATCTAATTTACACTGCAGATATACCTACAATAACAAGCTTCAAACTCCAACACCACCTTAACATACTCGAAAACTGGTTCACACTATGGAAAATAAAAATTAATACAAACAAATCTAGCCACATTACTTTCTCCCTTCACCCAAACAATTGTCCTCTAGTCAAACTTTGCAACCAATTATTACCTCAAATCAACCAAGTTAAATACTTAGGGCTTATTTTCGACAAACGATTAACTTGGAAAGACCACATATTTGACAAAAGAAAGAAACTAAACTCCAGATTACATCTACTACTTCCTCTCTTACGATCAAACTTAAACTTTAAACTCAAAATCCTTATTTACAAAATGTTGATCTTTCCTCTATGGTATTATGATATTCAAATTTGGGGTAATGCCGCCCCAAGTAACATACAAAAAATCCAATCATTTCAATCCATCTGCCTTCGCACTATTACAAAATCCCCCTGGTATGCAAGTAACAAAACCCTTCACTCAGACCTGAGAATAAATTACGTAAACCAAGTCACTAAAACTGCTTAACAAAAACTCCACAAAAAATTTAGCTCCCATAGTAACCCTAACATTAGTTATCTTGCTTTACAACACATCCCGCACAACCCCCCACGAAGACTTAAATGAAAATGGGTTAGAGACCTTCTCCATTAATAAATACCCAAGTAGGTAGCTCCATTGGGAGCCCTCCTACGTCGTGTCATTTTCATGTTATGTAATCCTCTTCATCATTATTACTTGTTGAGCTTAATTGTATAGTTGTATATTTTATTAAATAAATAAAAAAAAAAAAAATTATGTGAAAAAAAGTTGAAACTTTTCAAAATAATGAATGGTTGCAATATATCTCATTCCTTTCTTTCATTTAAATTACTTATGAAGACCTTTCCATACTTGCATACTATTTATTTGAGTGAACTAAATTTAGTCTGTCAAGTCATTAAAGTGTCAAAGATATACATATACATATATATTTTCCACTGCTACATTCCCAACTTTGTATTATTTATATTACTGGCCTATTAAACTTGAATGTTAATTCTACAACTATTAGTTATGCTGATACCGTAATTCTTTAATCCGACAAAAACACTGATTTGTTATACTCGAATACCTACTAATATTATAAAAAAAACATTAAAGATTAGTTTAACAACAATCTATTAGAATTAAATCTTAATAAATCAAAATAAATATTTTTTATTAGTTCTTCTAAATTAAATCTATGTAATAAAATATGTGTTAACACAATTATAAATTTATAAAATAAAAAAAAGCTTATACTAGGGACAGGTGTAGCCATTATTGAAGGTAGGTAGTTGGAAAGGTGAAATACATAGTTATTTAATTTATATTTGAAATAAACGATAAACAATTACTNTTTTTTTTTTTTTTTTTTTTTTTTTTTGAAACTGATTAAAATTTAGATTTTCCCACACAGAAATTTGTTCCCAATTCTACCCCCCCCCCTCCATCAACATTTTTTGTACTTTATCTACTTGATTTACTTGGTATTCCCATTAGGCTTGCAAGTCAGATATTTAAATATTTCCTTATTTAGATGTATAAGTACTTTTTATGGGAAATTTTCTCAAAATATTTTCTTTAATAATTAATAGTTTAATAAAATCTCACAAAAAATAAAAATTATGACAATTATCTATAATAGACTAAAAAAAAAAACATAGCACGTGTATTATTAAATAATCACTTTGTAACTTTTCATCAATTTCGACGTATTATTACATTTAAGCATTCTGTTTCAAGGATATTCTCTCTTGGAGGCTCCACCAGTAAATAATGTAGCAGAAAATCACCTGTCGACTGGCATTTTGTTATATAAAATAAAAATGTTAAATAAAAATTGTACTTTTTAAAAATCAGTTAATATAAAAGCTTACATGTTTAAGTTAGATGATGACAGATTTTACTAATTATAAGAATGTAATACAATGGTTGAATTGAAAATTCATTTGGTTTAAATTAAGCAACTGATCAGACTTATGTTGAACCATTTTTAAATAATAAAAAAAAAATTGTAATTTACATGTTCAGGTATTGTTTAATGCAAATATACAGCATTAATAGTTTGGACCAATTCGTTACAGATAACAAAGTGTAAAAAACGATCCAATATAGGTGACTACCCAATAAAGTTTTCCTAAAAATGTTAACAATTATTGTTAACGTTGTCAACATTTTTAAATTCTAAAGATTATTTTTACTTTTATTACAATTTTTATTTTTAGTATATGAACTTATGGATTCGGTTGATAATGATTCATAACAATTTATTTACCTATTTCTATCTCAATAAATCATACTAGTTTTAAAAATTGCTTTCAACCATATGACACTATAATTTAGATTTCTACACATTTTTTATTTACAAATTGGGCTAAATCTCCGGGCTAAGGAATTACAATATTTACGTTCCTATTCCTAAAAATAAGGAATCCATTTAAGTTCCTATTTCTTTCAAAAATAATATAAACAATTCATCATTAGTTTCTCTAGGAAGAATCATTCCACTAACAACATTGCTATATAGGAACAGCTTAACTTATGAAAATAGCAAATAATTTAATAACAAATGGATAAAATTAATTATTTAATATAATAATAATTATAAAATACAGTAATCTTTATTGACTTTTTAAGTTGAAAATTATTCGAATAACTCTAGTCTTAATATTTTTTTAATTATTGCATCATTAACAATTTTTGATAAAACTTCAATTATTAGATCTTCCAGAATTAATTCTGCAATACTTGACAATAAAAACATTTAACTGTTAAAAAAGTATTAATATTAAACTATACACTTAATTTATATTATATTTACTTCGATAAGGTATCCACTTCAGATTCAGTTATTAAAGACAATTGCCTGAATTGGCTTTTGTACAAATAGTTGGTTTGAACTTGTTTTATATTTATATTTAAAAGGAGACATCCATTTTGAGAGAGACATACATCTTTAAAACATAAATAATACATTTTTTTAATACCTTAAAAAATAGATTAATTCTTAATATTAAAATTAAATTTTTTTTTTTTATAGTTTATACAGTTATAGTTTTATAACTAGAAATTTCTCTTAAAAATACTATCCTAATAAACAATATTTAAAACAACAGGTAACTCTCTGTTATTTTGTTTAAACAATTATCACCAGTATGACAATTAAAAAAAAAATTAAATTATTATAATTTATTTTCACAGTTAATTGTGTAGAACTTCAATTACAATAACAATCAATTAAAATCCCAAATATTATTTATTCAATTTTTATAATTTTCTACAAGGGGATTATTGACAGTTTGCCAAATTCCTCTAATTTTGTAAATTTGAAAATCGTATTTAACAGTTCAATGTCTATCCAAATGATACAACTTTTTCACTAATCCATTACCAGATATCCATTTAAGGACAAGGGGTATGGCTGTTTTTAGAAACGCATATGTTTAAACTAAAAAGCCAGACAAAACTATAGAAATTGCATTTGACGGATTTCAATTTTGAAAACGTATTTACTATTAAGGCTAAGTTCTTAACTAGGATATGTTATTTTTTTTTAATCTTAATTTTTTTTTTTATCATAAATATAAGGCATACAACATTTTTTTCAAAAATACAATATCATTTTTTTTACACTATTTCTATTTAAAAAATTTGATTTATGTTTCTTATTTCATTTTAGATTTAAATCAACAAAAAAAAAAAAAAATATCACTAATCCCCTTAATAGACAGAAGTAACTGATTAGTAAAGATAATAATGTACATATTAACAGGAGATATGCGAATCAAATATTTTTGGTACACTCAAATAATTTTCCTTTATAAATTAGTGTTAACCGGTTATACTATGACTAGAAATTGTTGATATGAGTATTCAGTGAATACTACAAAATTCAGGTTTCTACAATCATTTCCACTAAATTATAAAAAAAACCAACAAATTCTAAGTTAACATAATCTTAAATTGCATAAATATGCCTGGTTTTCCCATTATTAAGAATAGTACAAGGAAACTTAAAAAAATATCTCTCCCATTGACACCAACTAGATTCAAAATACTACAAGTTCTCATAAAGTTTTATGATTTTTAGTCAAAATATTGTATAATATAATAAAACAATATATTCATCATTTCAGTCGGAAACTAAAATATATTTAAATGGCATCTGCAAACTAATCAATTATTGGCCAGTATGATAGATTTGAGACTTTTTACTTAGTTTTTTTTTTTTGGTTAGAAACTGATTAAAATTTAGTTTTTCCCACACAGAAATTTGTTCCCAATTCTACCCCCCCTCCATCAACATTTTTTGTACTTTATCTACTTGATTTACTTGGCATTCCCATTAACCTGGCAAGTCAGATATTTAAATATTTTCTTATTTAGATGCATAAGTACTTTTTATGGGAAATTTTCTCCAAATATTTTCTTTAATAATTAATAGTTTAACGTTGTTAGGTGTTTTTAAATTGTTTAATCTGAAAAAATAATATAAAATTATTACAGTATATAAATAAATTAGTCAATCAATTAAATTATATTAGTTAAGTATCTATTAATTATTCTTTAATAACGAAGTATGAAAATATACCAACAAAAAACATAAGGTTTTTAAAAAATACATATTTATTATGTGTTTGTTATTTTGCATTTGTGAAGTAGGTAAAAAATAAAACCTTAAAAACAGTTGGTAGTGTTGATATATATATAATTATAATATTTACTTTGGTTTTGATGAGGTTGGAAAATTAGGTACTTCGTCAGTATAATTAATAAACATTTTATTTTCTAACTCTTTCGAAACATGTGTACCATTTGTTTCCTAAAATAATATTAGGTTTTAGAATTTGTATAGTAATTTTTGTTTTCAGTATTATATAATTATATTACATTTATATCGAGTTCATTGATAGGGTATTCTTGAATTACAGTCTTTATGTTGTCAAATGTATGATTATCCAATGTCTTATCAGTTATAAAGTTTATGTCATTTTTTATTAACAATGGCTTTTCATTTATGTCACCAATAGTATTACAGCATTTTTTATGATCCATGTCCTAAAAAAAAAAGGTATATTATACATATATATACATAATTAATATAATAAAATTATTTAAATTTGGTCAATATGGATATAGAGGTACATGATTGCTGAAATATGATGTTGGAAATCAAGATATTTTTATTTGCTTTGTGTATTAAATGTTTTGGTTATTATTAAAATAATATGAATAATTTTTAAAATTTTTGCTCAGAAGTAAAATATAAAATTTCAAATGAAAATCTATATATAGATTATCTATATATATTTTTTATTGTTTGCATCAACAATTCACCTCAATTCAGAGCAACTCCAAGTAGTATAATATTGAAAAGTTGTCAATTTGAATATTGTGTGTGCATATATTTGTACATCATGACTTCATGAATGTACAAAAATAAATACTTAACTCATTAATTCATAAAACATAATTATATATAAAATAATATTGTACATATTCTCTTAAAAAACTATAATTAATTTTTAGATTCATAAAATGAAATTTAAAATCACATAAAAGACTATGACAAATCAACTTAAAACAATTATATTAAGCCACAATATATTTAATTGGAATAAAGCTAACAAAAATGTTGGATTGTCATCAGTTGAATATTTAACTGAGCTATACAAATACATACACTTTGTCAAAAATATACATTTTTATTTGAAGCATTGTTTTTAAAGTTAGTTTGAAGTAGTCTGTTTAACATCAGAAAATAATTTAATCATTTTGTAGAATATAATATAGGTAATTTTATTAACACATGCCACATGGTGGTACACTTTGTAATATATATCTTATACTTGTTACACTAGATGTTGCACTATATTATTTTCACTTTCTAAAGGTTAATTTTAAAAAAGAAGTTACAAATGCATAATTACTTGATTTTTTATTGAGTCTAATGATTTTTTTGACCATCCATGAGCATAAGTTGACCCCAATTTTAGTTTGGAATGACTATACACGGTTAAACGGTTAGAGTTTGAAAACAGAAATTGAGTTTTAGGTTTAGCTAAAGCTTTATTAGCTAGATTATTTAATACATTATTATCTTGAGCTTCATTTTGGGTGTCTTTATAACCACATTCGTCCAACATTCTCTCTAAACCCTTGCAACGTTGAACTAAGTCCTATCATTAAAAATTAGTTAGATTTTGAATTATAATCTAAACAAATATAACATACAAAACTTTCTTTTTTCTTCTTTTTGAATAATACACCATATATATATTTTCCGGTGGTTAATGATAAAGATAATATTAATTGTATCAAATTTTTCATTTTACTCTGAATAGGGTTGTAAATATTGGCTTCCAAAGTTTTTGAGCAAAGCTGAAAATGAAATAAAATATTAGAATAAAATTATTTTACAAAAAATAAGGGTTATATAAATAAATGTGTAAATAAATACTTCAGTAGCATTAATTGCTAATTTATAGCATTGGATTAGCTTTATCTGAAATGATTTTTTTAACATAGCATTGGTTTTAGTCTTTTTAGAATATAAATTTTCATTTGTTGATTCCATTTTAATTTCAGAGAGCTGAAATACATTTATATTTAATATGATATTTTTAAGATGATATTTTTAAGAAATTTATATCTCTGAGATTTATTGATTAATATAATTACATTATAATCCATTTTCTAAACATCTAAGTTATATTCTATAGTCTACTTTTACAAATATGTGTCTCCTTTAAACAGTAATTCAACTAATTTATAAGTGTATGCTTATTTATGCATTTTTTACATATTTTTCTTTAATTCACCTTGAGTCATGTTATGGAATCTTGCAATCCATTTTTGACCCGATAAATTTGCAATTGTATTTAGTATAATCATATATATGATGAGGTGAACATAATAGTTATTTTTCATTTTTTCTCCCATTTTTAAAGGAGGTTTCAACACCCGATTGTACCTGTTATATATGAACTTTAAGATGCTTTAGGGAGATGGAACATATGAGAAACTCTCATATTTGATAAAATTGTTTATATTGAAATAAAAATTAAACTGTATAATAAGATAAAAATATTTTGTAGCAATTTGTTTAGATTAAGACTAAACAATTTAAAATAAATTTCAAAAAATTTAACAAAAATCTCACAAAAAATAAAAATTATGACAATTATCTATAATAGACTAAAAAAAAAAACATAGCACGTGTATTATTAAATAATCACTTTGTAACTTTTCATCAATTTCGACGTATTATTACATTTAAGCATTCTGTTTCAAGGATATTCTCTCTTGGAGGCTCCACCAGTAAATAATGTAGCAGAAAATCACCTGTCGACTGGCATTTTGTTATATAAAATAAAAATGTTAAATAAAAATTGTACTTTTTAAAAATCAGTTAATATAAAAGCTTACATGTTTAAGTTAGATGATGACAGATTTTACTAATTATAAGAATGTAATACAATGGTTGAATTGAAAATTCAATTGGTTTAAATTAAGCAACTGATCAGACTTATGTTGAACCATTTTTAAATAATAAAAAAAAAATTGTAATTTACATGTTCAGGTATTGTTTAATGCAAATATACAGCATTAATAGTTTGGACCAATTCGTTACAGATAACAAAGTGTAAAAAACGATCCAATATAGGTGACTACCCAATAAAGTTTTCCTAAAAATGTTAACAATTATTGTTAACGTTGTCAACATTTTTAAATTCTAAAGATTATTTTTACTTTTATTACAATTTTTATTTTTAGTATATGAACTTATGGATTCGGTTGATAATGATTCATAACAATTTATTTACCTATTTCTATCTCAATAAATCATACTAGTTTTAAAAATTGCTTTCAACCATATGACACTATGATTTAGATTTCTACACATTTTTTATTTACAAATTGGGCTAAATATGTATTTTTAACGTTTACATTAACACTAAAATATTTGTGTCATTATTGTTTTAACATTGACTTTATATTTATTTAATCATTTTTAATAATTAAATTTAAATACTTAAAAATAATTTTTAGGTAATAAGGGCATATTTTATTATATATAGAAAATTATGTTACACATTTATGCACAATTTAAATTTGTAGATTTAGGATAACCTTCAAACTTATAGGCTAATGACCTAATATAATATTTTATGTGCCTTATATTAGTTATTATTTTTTTTTTTAATAGTATCATACAAAAAATTTACAATGTTTAAAAATTTAAATTTTTGGTATACCTAGTTATAATTTAGTTTTATCAAAAATATAAATATTATTTAACAAATAAATGTGTAAAAAGCCCTAAATGTGTTTTCCTTTTCATTTTTAATAATAGTTTAATACACTTTAAATTCAACTTCAACTTCAACTTTAACACTTTTGCTACACTACTAATTGAATATAGGGACTACCAATATGAGTGTGCTGTCCTCATAAAACAAAAATTTAACATAGTTATTTGGTTTATTTTTTTTTTTTTACCATTAAATTCAATTTGAATATATAGTTTGTATTTGTTTGTTGATCGCATTCTTTAATTTTAATTTGTACTTTTTTTGTTATTTTTAAAACAGGTGGTAAAAGTGCATTTTCTAAAATAGTAGCAAATGAATTGAATGTTTTAAACAAACGACTAAAATAAAAAAAATAAATTAATTTTTTAATTACAATATCTAAGACATACAATTTTTGTCAATACTTTCTAAGACCATGTATATGATTAAGATCATAAGGATCATGCAATGAGCTAAAATTTGCATCGAATTGGATGTTTTTAAATTTATTAAATGAATGTTCATTTTGTTTAACTTCTGTGTCATTTTTAATAGTATACATTTTTTTAGACTCAGTATCTTTTATTGACTCCATATAATTGTTCTACTGTTGCAAATTGGTTCGTTTATGTTTTTTTTCTTTTCAAATTTTTTTGAGAAATGTGCTGAAATATGTGATTAAACATCATTAGTTATTAATTAATAGTTTATTTATTAAATTAATTTCTAAAACATATAATATACACTAATAACTGACAAGAGTTAGTTGCACATCAATATATAGGTGATTGCAATACTATTTTTAGTGTAAAATGTATAATAAATAAAAATGTCTAATAGTACCTACATGAATACCTATAATATAGGTATGTGTATGTTATCTGATAATTTAATAAATATCCTATGTTTTTTTGGCTTACTTTAATTTACTTTAAATAGTTGATACCTGTGTATGGTGACACCGGAAGTGACACTCTATATAAGGTCAAATGGAATAAAGAAACACAATGACAATAATGACAAAGCCATTCAACAAAATGCCACCCAAAAAATCAATATATTTTTTAGTACCTACCTACTTAAAACTTAAAGCCAATTGATATTATAAAATATTAATACATTAAATATTGATTTCTTTATAATTTGTTGTAAAATGTTAAATAAAAATAGATCAAAAACGTGTTGTTTACGTACCACATTTATTAAAAATCTTAGTAGAATTACGTTTGTGTACTTAAATACACATATTTATAACATCATACCTGTAAATTAAATATATACATGCATGTATAAACAGTTTAAAAATTAAAAATTAACATTACATCAAACAAAATAACCAACTGCCAACTTTGAAAAGTAACTTCCACTATGAACGACATGTAGATTTTTAAAATGACGTTTGATATTGTATAAGTAGAGATACCTAATATTATGGTTTGATCTATACTATAATTCATAAATTAAAATCACCATGGCAATAATCACGAATTCACCAATCAAATATTAGTTCTTGATAGTGGTACATTAAGATTAAGAAAAAAGGTTAAAACAAACTGAATAAAATTATTTAAAAAATATATATATATATTGACATGGATAATTTCTGTTTATTATATAATTTATTAAGTCCAGTAATCTGCATTTATAGGTATTTATGCATGGTGAACATCCACTTAGATCATCGTCCAGTAAGATCTCCATAGGTAGTCTAAATCTTCGTTGGCTACTTAGGTCCTAGATCACCGGTTCCCTAGATCCTAGATCCTAAAGATTTAAATGCCTACGGGGCTTAGATCCATAGATTAAATAACTGCATACATCATATAAAATGGATAGAGCCCCTACATACATACTTTATCTTCAATGATGGTGTTGTTAATCCATTATCCGATATCTATGGATATCCATAGATAATGTGATAATATTATGATATTATATGATTATATATTATATGATAATAATGACTTGTTCATGAGATAAAAAATATATTACCCCACAGTTTATTATTCGGAAACGCTTAAGGATTAGGGAAGGCTGATAGTCCATGTCAGTCGTTCTCAACATTTATTGATTCATATCCCCCCCCCCCCCTCAATAATCCAGTACCCCACCAATCCATTGAAATTATAGGAAATTATAGCAATGGTATCGTTAAAAAGTGAGTGATGGGGAGGGAATATTATGTTAGTCGGACGATGTTAGTGGTTATAATATGATGGCGACGGAAATAATACGATATTATTCTAAAAAGTTTTCTTTTACCGATGATTTTGTGTCACTTCTACACTGGGTCCATTTCATCCCGGTTGAGAACCACTGGCAACTGGCCTATTCGTTATATAATATATCAGCGGTTCCCAACCTTTTTAGTTTCGCGGACCACTAATTTTGTAAAAAAATATTTTAGGCCCACCCATAGCATACCTATATACGTTTTCATAAAATTATAATATATAATATATATTATATACATATATACATGTATATATAGTTATTAGGAATAAAAAATTTTAAAAATTAAAAAAAAAACAATTGTTTATTAAAAAAAAACTTAATTCAACTTTATCACAAGATAAACGATTTAATGTGATTTTTGACATTGCTTGTTCTTCACGAGAAAGTCAATATCTGGATTAAAACCTGTCAGTTTTAGTCTTAAATCACTCTCAACATTCAGTTTATTCCTATATTTATTTTTTAAATAAATTAAAGTAGAAAAAGCACGTTCACATAAATAAGTTGTCGAAAAGCCCATCAAGTTTCTCAGTGCAATTTTAGCGATTGCTGGATAGTCTTTCACATGACATTTCAATCAACGAATCTTCTTCACTTGCTGATATTTTCAATTTTTTCAAGTAATCTTCTTCAAAGGGATTTCTGATCCATTGGAATTCCTCTTCAATTTTAGGGAAATAGTTTCTAAAAACAGATGACAGACTAATGACAGATAACAAGAACCTATTAATAATCAACGAACTATATAAGATAAAACTACATTCAAACATTCGATATCGTATCGTTAATTGTACACTTACTGTACACTATAGTTAAAATTGATTAAATATTATTATGATTAGAAATATAACAAAAAATATATAATAATATTATTTTAAATATATATAATATTTAATATTATATCTATGGCTCGCGGCCCATGGGTTGGGAACCGCTGTATTATATTATCGTGAGAAATATAGAACTTTAAACCTCAAAAATAATAACAAGAGTAATAAAGAATAGAATAGAAAAGGCAATAGATGCAAACCTAGGTGAAGATCAATTTAGTTGCAGGTAAAATATAGAAACTAGAAAGGTTTGGTGCTAAGAATAATGGTAGAAAAACAGATTAGACGAAACAAAGAAATCTTCATCGCTTTTGTAGATCTGGAGAAGGCTTTTGACAACGTACAACGGAAGGAATTATTTAAAATCTTAAAAAGAATAGGAATTAAATATAACGATAGAACATGTATCTATAATATGTACAAAAGCCAAACAGTCTTAATACGGATAGATGGGAAAGAACAAGAAGCAAAAATAAAAAAAGGAGTTAGACAGGGGTGTATCTTGTCGCGGATGCTGTTCAACTTGTACATTGAAGAGGCAATGAAAGAATTAAGAGCAGAAATACAGAAAAGAGTGCGGATAGGAAGAAAAATGTTTACTGCCTTAAGATTTGCGGATGACATAGCTTTCTGCGCGGAAAATGAAGACGACCTACAAAATACCCTAGTAACAATAGATAAAATACTAAAAAATAAGTACGGAATGCAATTGAACAAAAATAAAACGGAAGTTATGGTATGCAGTAAAGCTAATCTGGTTCGACTCGACATAAATATCGACAATGAACAAATAAAGCAAGTACAGCAATTCACATACCTAGGAAGCAATATAACAGAGGATGGCCGCAACAAAACATGCATGCAGGATAGCACAGACGAAAAGAGCCTTTTAAGACAAAAACCACATTTTAACTACCAATAGTGTTAGCCTGAAGATAAGGAAGAAATTCCTAAAAAGTTATATATGGAGTGTAAAGCTCTTTGGATCCAAGACCTGGACAATAAATTCAAACGAAAAAAATAGACTAGAAACCTTTGAGATGTGGTGCTTCAGGAAAATGCTCAAAATACCATGGACCGAGAGGGTAGCGAATAAGGAAGTATTAAATAAAACTCTTATAACTTTTATTATAACTATCAAGAAAAATTAATTAATTTTGTCATACATTTTTATATACAAGACTGAACTTACAGTGATATGAGAAATTTTTTTCCTCAATTGTTAAAAAATATTAGTTAGATAGTTTATTATCATTTTAAAAGTATTATTTATTAATTTTACTGTACATTTTAATGTTCAAAATAGAACTTAAAGTGTGATTAATGCTGTTATTTTTTACTATTACTATTTTGAAATAAAGTGAATTTGAATGTGATACCCACCGTGTATTTTGTATAAATAGGTATCTACATTAATTATTAAGATATATTATGAAACTCTGAACAAATATTACGTAGCTTCACTTTATTGTCTGAATAGTAAAGACAATACATTATCACTAATTAAATTAATTGTTGGTTTTATGAACAAATATTTTTTTAAACATCATCTTGATACTATAACTAAATAAGTGGTTAACCTATTCCGAAAATTTGATTTTATAATTAGTCTTTTATCTCCTGAAAAAATCTCATTTTGGAGATATGTAGTATTGTTTTAGCAACGAGTTTTTAGTACCTACCAATAATCTATGTGGACGTTTACAATAACAATAAGACTAATAATCACAGATATTTTATTATGTATACATAAGTTGTTTATATTTTTTGCTTTTAATCTTCATTACCCAATTTACCGACTGACTTCATAATAACAAATTATTTAGTGGCAACCGATGTACCGATATTTCCACAGTCTTGCAGCTTAAGTTTTATTGTTATTGAAAATTGTACCTTTTTTTAAAAAAATGCCAGTGTATAGGAAGTCTAAATAAAACAAGAGCAGAGACATGTCAAGTCATGTAAAAGAAAAATTAAAAAAACATAAATTAATACGCCTTCATTGGCAATTATTTCTATTCAAAATTATTTTTCTAAGAAAACACTGATAAAACTTTTGAGTTATTATTAATATTGTTTAATTTGATTTAAAAATTACTGTTTTTTTTTTTTGTAGTCATATAAAATAATTATTGTAGGTATTTAAATAAATATATAATCATGTATCATTCTTAATAATTTTAATTTTGAATAAAATTTAGTTGTGAATGTTGACGAGAATTGTATAAATGACCAAAGCAGTTTTGATTTGGCAGAAAATATAAAGAAAACTATTCCATATGAACTATGATGTATTATTTATTTTTTTATCTTCTGTACACAAATTCTACCAGAAATTTCGTTCAAATATATATGCGCGCGACATTTCTGAAAAGGAATGTTGTCTAAATGGTACTTTTGGGAGGTCATTTTTTGATTTTTCAAACGGTTTTCATAATATCTGGAAAAAATCAAGATAAAACGTATGAAAAACGGGAAATGAACGAAAATAATGCTTTTATTATTATTAAATTTTGTTATTTGTTATAATTCAATTAAAAATATTCATAAACTTGACATTTAGACAGACAACTTATGTTTGTTTTTTCTAAACGTGGTAAAATTTTAAACCATTTTTGAGGCATTTGTAGATATTTTAATTTTTAGAGTTGTACGTAATATTTATTCAATGGTACTCTGTCATAAAATTGTTAGACTTGAATAGAAATGCTTAAAATTTAACAGATTCGTTAAGAGTCTTACTTTGTAGTAGAAAAAAAAAATGACGAAAAAGGAAGGCTACAGACAAGAATTTAATGTATATCTGTAAGCAACTATAAATCATTGCTAACGAAAAAACAATTCTGATCTGAGTTCAGTGGCTAATGTTGCTTTTACAACAATACAATATATGATATTATATCATATTATGGTAAAATGATTAAAACAATATGCGTTTCCATGACAACAATGATTGTTTAAAAAATATTAAAAAAAAAAAAAAAAGGTTGCCGACGACAACCTTATTTTTAATCTCAAATATTAATGAGAATTTCAAAAATGACCTCTTTAAAGTACCACCCAGAGAAAATTTCCTTTCGGAAAAGGTGTTATACTTGAAAATCAAAGTATGCTTTCTGGTAGAAAAAAAATATTCACATAAAGAAAAAAAATAAACATCATTGTAAATGTAAAACTATTATATTCCTCGTATCATTCAGAATCTAAAATTGAGTTTGATGTAATATTTTTTTTTGTAAGGGAAATTTAATACTAAATTTTAACGAAAATCGTTTGAGTAAAAAATTATGTGGAACAAATCTAATTAATCAATTTTTTTTTTTTAGAAAATATTTATGTTGTCGATTTAAGAACGATAATCAAGTCAGAATCAATTGGACTGACTAAGTTTCGAAATTATAGCTTTTTGAAGTCCTGATATTATGTGGATATTATATGTTACGTTAAATAACTCTATATTTCCAATATATAAGCAATGCTTATACATTTATGCTTATTACTATCCTAGGGGTTTCGAGTTCAAACCAGTGTGTCAAAAAAAAAAAAAATGTTTTGCATTTTTTTCCCTTTTACCTAAACAAGGGGAAAGTAATTGCATTTTTGGTGTACCTAAAGACCCGAGCCATTGATCGCTCGGACTATTTGGATCGTAAAATACCCCTTGATTTGTTGTGCAAACTTTTCTACCAGAAATCTTGCTTCGGATGTATCAAGTGTAGTTTATTTTTTGATAGAAATTTTATCTTCATGGTAATTCAGGGAGGTCTTTTTTTGATTTTTCAAGCGGTTTTCATATTATCTGGTTATTACCAGGATAAAATATCGGAAAAATGATAATGTACGAAATGTAGGTATTAGTTGAGAAATATTTCTACCTTCTTTTTTCATGTGAACAACTTTTCTATTAGCAATTTTGCTCTAATTTACAATGATAGCATTTTTATTGAAAGGAAATTTGATTGGGAAGGTACTTTAGAGAGGTAATTTTTCGATTTGCCCAAGAGTTTTCCCAGCAAATGTGAAAAATTGGGAAAATACGATATTAATCAAATATTATTAAAGAAAATATTCAATTCCTATTTAATTATTTTACTATAATATGACATAAGTATTGTTGACAAAATATCACCATCAACTGACTGCGCTCAGAATCGGTTTTTCGATAGCAATGGTTTATCATTGCCTACAGATATACATTAAAATTATCCATAACAGTTACTGCATCCGTCTCCATTATCCTAGAACGTCTTTTGTTAAAATCTAATATTTATTGATTAATGGTCCATTGGGTGGGTGGATAGTAAATTCTAAATTAAGATGATTTGAACCACTATTTTTTAAAGATCTCGGCGCCACATTAACAATCATACTTTGCCGACATATTAACCCCGAAATCTAGTGGGAGGGTGTCACACCTCTCATTTACGCCGGCCCTGATCTTTAATTATTTTCTAACCCTAGCTGGATTGCATAGTCACGATAAATCATTTTTTATGGTTTCAATTTTTCGCGGACTTTTTTTACCATTTACTTGGAACAGTTTTTTCAATTTTGGATTATTGTTTTTTATGGTTGGCAATAGTGGTATGGTATGTTCTTATTGGTTGCAGGATAAATAGTATCGTCCCCTCGTAGGCCGTAGCTTGTACCGTAGGGATCCCACGTTCAGCAATTAACAACTTAAAGTGACGCCGTCGAATTGTGTTTTCATTTTGTTTACAAGTTCAAAAACCAAATAATTGCTGTCATTCATTGATTCATAGGTCGAATAAAATAAATTATTTTGAATTTTTATTGATCGTCTTACTACGTGTTCAACAAACGGTCAGAAGCACTGACGATTACTACTATTAGAAATTATAATTTCCTAGTACGAGCGAAAGTCAGTCATTATGTACAACACAAAGAATACAAGTACGAAAAATCGATTTTGTAATTTATGCAATCAAAAAACTTTAAAAAGAGTATCAGATTTTTGATTGATTTTGTTTGTAGGACATTTAAAAATGTCTCTTATCTTTTCTAGAATAGGTACTTAAATTAAAAGGCACACCTATGATTTACCTACCTAGTTAAAACATTAACAAATACTATTGTATTATTTTAAAAATTAAACATTGGATATAAGGTTTCTATTTTACCAATCTACCATGGTATAAGTTTAATTTGTAGTAGGTATGTATGATATTGTATATACATCATAAGTATATCATACCTATACCAATGTAATTTATACATATACTGAGTTCTATGTATTTAATCAAATTTCTTCAAACATATTATATATATTTAATTACATAATTTTTATTTTATTTGTTAATATCTAGTGTAATTTTGTAATTTCATAAGCTATATGGTTATTGTTGAATTATTAATCTATATTAATTTACTTAGTAATATTAATTATAACAAAAACATTGATATTTCAGGATGGCCATAGAAAGAAAAAATGCAATTTTAAAATATTAATACTAATTATTCAGAATCTAGGATATAATCTCCCCATTTACTTATTAATTTTATAGTTGTAATTTCTATACCTTACTTAAACTTAAACTTAAACTTAAATAAATTATTGTGAAGGTACTGTAAGTGAATACATATATTGGTTAAAAACTGAAATGATATGATAAAATCACTCGTTATACTAGTTGTCCCTCAATAATTTTGAAACTTAAAATAATTTTTGTTCAATTCAATATTTTTAATGTACAATAGAATTTGCATAAAGGGCACAACCGCTTAATGCAGTGGATCTTAAACTTTTGGTGCACACGAACCCTTGATGTTGATGAAAGACTTAGAAAATGCAGATTCCATACAAATTTTCTTTCGAATACCTTTTTTATAAAATATCTGATGTTGTCATAATTAATATTTACCAATAGAGCAGCTGCCTACCACAGTTAAAGAATCGCTGGCTTAATGGAGATAAATTGGCAGAGTTCTGAACGAATGTATTGGTTTTGGCAATTTATAATTGTTTATTGGGGACAAACTGTCTTACTTTTTTATCAAAATTATCTAATTTGTATTTCTCTATTAAATTTTATATTTACGTATTTTATGTTTTTTTATTATTTATTTTTCTCCTACTATCTCATATTTTCAGTGCATTAATGTTCTTCTGTTTTTATTAATCTCAATTTGTGTATGTTTACACGTAGCCATAATGTCTTAAAAAGATTAACGTTCTTTAAAAAATTTTTAGTACTAGATACAATACAAGCTTAACCTCATAAAAATAGTGTTTGTGAATTAGAGAAATGAATAGATACATCTAAAACTGTAACTAGTTGATTGAAAAAAAATTATCCGTAAATGATGAAAAAAATTAAACGACAGAAAAGGCAAAGACCCCAAAGTGGACAAAGCTATGAACAAATGGTTTTTTGCTGTTACTGAGCCTGATGTTCGAGTTTCAGGTTCCATGTTACAGCAGAAAGCTGAATATTTTACTAAAAAATGAATGTGAACAGTTTTTTTTATAAATTATTCAGTTAATTGTAACAATATAATTAAAATAGATTACTGCCCTATGTGTCTCTATTAAGCGGATTCTACTGTATATATATTTTTAAATAATTTTTATGTCTCTGCATTACAGTTAATATATTAAAATGTATTTATTTTTGATGGAGGAATTTAAAAGGGAAGATTTTGTCCAATTATCATTTTTCATTCCATAATGTTCTTAGGTCTTTGAAATTTAAACTATGAGTTTGTAATTTATGATGTAATTATGGATTAGTTTTGAATTTTTTTTTTTAATAACCATAGACCAATTAAATCAAATATAAACTGAAAAAAGTTCTTATAAGTGCCGTAACTGGCGACTCCATAATATTTTATTGTGATTTTTTGACTATTAATCTCTAATACAATTTTTGACTTTCTATAAAAAATAAAATATTTTTATTATTCTGCAGGTAACAGCAGTGTTAGTAATCATTACAACAGGAAGGAACCCTTCAATCAACAACAACAAGTAATGTTTAACATATTTTATTTTATAACTTCCGTGAGTTTCCTGAATTAATTTTTGATTTAGATGGTTAGAATCAAATAAATTAGGTGAGGTTGAGTGTCTAGGATCTTTTGTACAAAAAAAATTGTGGCTTTTCAAGGACGTGAAACATAGGATTAAGTGTAGTTTAATAAAGTGGATAGAAGGGTCAGGTGTTTTATGTGACAAGAAAATTCTATAAAAGTGTGGTGATATTGACTATGTTGCATGGTAGACAAAAAAAGTAAAGCAGAAAATGAGTGTAAGATAGATGACAATGCCTAAGTGGGTGAGTGGAGTGACAAGATGTAGAATAGGTATAGAATAAGTACTCAAGAGTAAAATATTATAATTATTATTAACTATTAATTTAGTGGTTACTGGCTGAAACACTGTGTGATGGATTCCTAGTGATTATTATTTATAATAAATCATTAACTTTATAATAATACTTTCATATTATTATGTCTGAAACTACTATTATATTTAATATATATTTATTTACCAGTAAGTTTTCAGAATACTCATTGAATTATCATTAACTGTCTAGTCTACTTCAGTTATACAGTTTTATATAGATATGTATGATTTATTACTTTGTTGTAATTTTGTGCATAAATATTGAAAACAATTTCCATTTTTATCTAACACTTTTACAAATTGTTTCATTAGACCCAGTCTTATGTGTAAAGGTGGTAACAAAATATTTTTAGGGTCAACCAAATTATTTTGTAATATATTTTTATTTCCTACGATTAAATTATTTCTTAAAGGCCACTGCTTTTGAATCCAATGTTTGTCACGCGCTCGACTATCCCATTCATAAATATGACACGGAAATTTTGTATATCCTTGTTTTTGACCAAATAGCATACGTATTATTTTTAAATCTACACAAATCATCAATTTGTGTTCTATATATTTTATTTTTTCAAGAACAAAATTTAGATTATCACAAGTTTTTTTAAGATATACTGAATGGGCTACTTGCACAGAGGCTAACGTATTACCATTATGTAATAAAACTCTTTTTAAACTTCACTTACTTGAATCTATAAACAAGCGCCATTCATTTTTATTATATTCAATATTTCCTAATAATTCATTAATCAAATTGGGAATATTGTTACAATATACTAATGATTGCTCTTGAGTAAAATATTGAACATACTCATGTTCACACAATTTCTATAAAAAGATGACAATACACATGGAACTAATAAGTTTTTATTTTGAAGTCTTGAAGCTAAAATTTCTGAAACATCTTTGGGAAGATCCAAGTCTCGTATAAGGTCATTTAATTCATTTTGTGTGAAAATTTGAGGCGCATTACATGATTCTTCATAATAATCTGAGTTATTATATTCAATATCACTAGATTTAGATGTTGAAATGGTATCAAGATTTACTGTACATAAAGGTACGGGTATAGTAGGTCCATGCAGTATGGGTCTTATAGCAGATTGAATATCGTTGGGATAGATAATATTTTTTTTATTAAATCCTTGTACATTACACAAACAAAAATAACAATCATCTCCATGATTTTTAGGTTCATGTCAAACCATTGGTATTCCGAAACAAAAGCTTTCTTCTTACCTTTAATCCAATTTCTAAGGTCTTCGACACAAATTTTACAAACTTTATGAGGTGCCCATGGTTGTTTTTGATCTCCAATTTGTATTTCAAAATATGCATAATATAATTTTTTTTACAAATAGAGTGATGTTTTATGTTTGGTTTTTCACCATACACTTTCCACAAATGAAACAAAAAATGTCTGGACCATTAACACAACGTCCTCTTTCCATATTGATATAATTATTATAATACTAATAATAATTGAATATTAACAAGGATATATACTTGTATATCGAAACTGTGACACTGAATGATCAAAATTAAAATTATAATAAACACAATTATCTCCAAGCATCCTTTATTAGCCAGCCATATCTTAAATATCTATAAATAAAAATTATAATAAACACAATTATCTCCAAGCATACTTTATTATCCAGCCATATCTTAAATATCTATAAATAAAAATTATAATAAACACAATTATCTCCAAGTATATTTTAGTAGCCAGCCATATCGTAAATACCTATAAATAAAAATTGTTGATAATAAGAGATTTATTATTAGTTGTCATACACATATAATATATCATAAGAAATAAACTGTATGTCGACTATTTCTAAATAATGTTAAATAGTGATAACCGGATAACTTTGAAAGATTATGTATTAGGAAAAAACTAATTATATTTTTGAAATTAGCGTTGAAAAATACATAGAAATCAGCTATTCAATTTTTAACATCAAAATCTTTGTAGACTTGTGTAATTTGTAATTTTATAGAAATCTACCAATCAACAACCAGTTAGTAAAGGACCCATTACACGAGCGACACGAAGTCAACAACTGATTCAATCATTAGAATCAAATAAAGTTAATCAGTCCCCTGAAGTACAATCACCTTCAATGCAAGATAATCAGGTACTAATAATTAATATTTAGAGAATTATTTTTATTTTATTACATAATTGTCCAAATTATAATTCTTGAAATCTTTAAAAAACACTAAATTAAATAATGTGCATGATATTATTTTGTGAATTTATAATATAGGTAGGCCATGCAGTTCATAAATTAGAAGTTTACACATTATTTTTTCTGATTTACCTTTAATTGACTAATTTACTAATGTTATAGATTCTAATGTTTATTTATATACTACTAACATTGTATTAATTTCAAAACCATTATAACATTGAAAAAGAATGAGTCTATATTATTTTCTGACAAGTAATGGATATTTATTTATTCAATTGAAGTAAAATAACAGTAGGTACATCTATTTCAGAGTCGTACTGCTGATTTGATCTATGCATAACATGTTTGGATTAAAGTGTGCAAATATTCTCCTTGAGGCTTCTCCTATAAACGTGAGACAGCTAAGCTAAAAAATGTGTTGCGGTGATGTAAATTCAGTAAATTTGAAACAGTATCTGGTCAAAATATTTCAAAAAAACTAAAGTTAAAATAAATCAACATTTATAAAAGTACATACTTAATATAAGCATTTATCCATATATATTGATATTTAATCTATACAATTTTTAAAACCTCAAATTTCTTTCTTTAAAAAAAAACATAATCTATACAATTTTTAAAACCTCAAATTTCTTTCTTTTAAAAAAAACATAATCTATACAAATTTTTATTTGTTTTTCATATGTTAATACAAATTAATAAATATCAGCTACCAAAGTATTTTAAATGCTATTTATAATATAATAGTTCAAGTAAAATAATTATCATTATTTATAAGTTTTGAGTGATGTAATTTCTGTGATAATTGTGTATATTGTCTTTTTAATAATTAATTCTAAAATCATACACTTAAGCTAGTTTACAGATTTTATTTCATTTTTACTATTTGATTACTATTTGAAATAATTTTATTTGTACAATTATATTATCTTTATTGGATATTGCGTTTTATATATTTATTGCATTTTATTTCCCAAAATATTTATGCAGTTATTTTTCAGATATTTTGACCTAAAACTGGCTGAAGCTATTTACTTGTTGCCAATAATCTATCTAATTATTATTTAAACAAATAAATAAATAGGTATCTATTTAAATTTTAAAACAAGGACAAATATGAATGAAGGATAGAAATAAAATGGGTACTATTAATAGTGTCAAATTAATTTATATAATTATTTATTAAATACACAAAAAATGATTGGTAATTTGTTTTGGTTTTATATTTATAAAATTTAAAAGAAATATATGGTACTAGTAAAAATATATTTTCATTTATTTAATTGGCAACTGGTAAACCTAACCATTAATTTGATGCCATATTTATCATATGATATGATATGTAGGTTTCTGTAAATTGATACAAATTTTGTGTTTATTTACAGACTAAAGTTAATGATATTATGACATCATTTGTGGTGGATGGTGTCATAGCTCTTTTGGTGACTTCATAGACCTTGGCAGATCAAATAATGCCTTCTTCTAATTAAATAATAATAACAATAATACCTAATAGTAATAAAATAATTTAAATAAATATTATTATTGTTATTATTATTTATTCTAAACTGTTGCAATGTATTATCTGCTAAAGTATATGTGTCTTATGTTGCCATGTACTTTGAATAGTATTAGTAATGTTTTACACCTTATATAAATACATTTGTTTGGTTCACTTGATGAACTATATAACTATAGAAGGATACTGCAACAAATTTATTTTATGTCCTAATTGCCTATATTCATTGACCCTGCATATCAGGTGTTACAATACTAATTATATACATGGTACACTGCAATGTAAACTGAATATACTTCTTCGCCGCGTTTATAAAAATTGCTTATGTTGTCTCATTGGCTGTACAGAGCATTATAACAAAACCTGAAACAAATCAATCAGTCGAAGGATCAAATGAAGAGAAGCAAGACGTAAAGTGGCTACCCAAGCGTAGTATGTTTATTTATATTTAATGTGAAGTAAATGTATTATGTTCATAGGATTTAAATTTTTTTATTTTTAGAACTGAATAAAAAAGAGCAGAAAAAACGGCTTAATGCTCGCATGCGTCGTTTAGTATGCCCTAAGAGTCCATTAATGGTATTTTCTGAGTTATACAAAGATGTGCCTATTAAATTAGATGAGCAGATACATGACAATTGTATAATTTTTACTGCTTCAATTGAGGCAAGAAAAAGTTTATAATTAGACAAATTGATTTGTTCACTGAGTTACTTATAATATTATATTACATGCATTATTTAGATTGATGGTCAAGTGTATACTGGAGATCATGTTTCTAAGACTCAAGCGAAACAAAAAGCGTGCGAAAACTTCTTACGTTTGATGTTGTCAAAAAAAATTAGTGAACCAACTTCAAGTTCTGGTAACTAATATTAATAAATTATTAAGAGTTGGGCTCAGATTTAAATGCCATGAAAATAATACAAATAATGTAAAAATATTCAAAAATACATTTTAGCAAAATAATATATAAGCAATTTATTACCTTTCTCTTCTCCTGTGGTCTAAACTTTAAACATTTATACCACATAATCTAATATTAGTGGTATGCATATAAAAATGTCTAGAAAAATATTCTTTATTCAAATCTGAGTTCAAAAGGGGTTTTCTATTTAAAAAGCAAATGTATGCACTTATTTAAAGTATATGAAGTAGGGTTAAAAAATTAAAAATGGTTTTAAAATAAAGCGAAAATAAAACTATTACATAATTATTAGAAAAAACAGAAATAAGGTCACTTAAAATCCTAAGAAATAATTACTGGTTCATGATAAAAAAAATCATCCTGTATATTATATATATTATCTATACCTAGAGGTATAGATAAAAATAAATAATATTATCATAATAGGTTAAAACTTTGAAAAAATGTTTGAGAGGTCTCATTAAAAAATGTTCAACTCTGATGCATACAGGCATCACTGCAAGTAGAGTTTAATGCTTACATATGCTTTTGTTTTAATATAACTTTGAGCGATCTGAGAAATTGAAGTTTGTTCTCATATGAAAAGCATATGTAATCACTTCCAAGCGGTTGGCTTGCAAAAAGTATTATTCTGTAAACTTTTACAATGTACCATTTAAACTTAATATTCTTTCTGATATTCTTACACATTTAATTTGTGCCATTTATTTGATTTTTGTAAATATTATTTATTTTAATTTACTATTGTAATAGTTTTTTCCTTGTGAAGTCTAAATAAATTATAATAAAAAAAAAAAAAAAATAATAAATAAACTTCTACAATTTATTTAATTAGACAAAAAAGAGGAAGGTGCTGTTACTGCAGAGGATACTATGGACGTAGATAGTACTGACAATTCAAATTCTGTTAAATCTAAGGGACCACCACAAGAAGATTTTCCATGGCCACATTTCGCTTCATTAGCAATGCATAACCTTATAAGTCATTGGGATTTACAGCCTGCACCAAAAAGTACACATGAAGTAACAAGTGTTAGAGCACCATTAAAGGTAAATATTTATTTTATGTAATGTTGTTTACTTCTAAAGTGAAAATTGATTATATTAACATTTCAACATAAACAATTACACTTATCTAATTCTAACATTAAAAATAAGTTATTGATTTTAATATTTTATTTTTAGGTTGGTGGCATGAAAAAGTTTCCTACTAACCCAGAAAATTATAATCCTGTTCAGTTATTACATCAAATGTCACCTGGTATTAAATTTAATGAGATAGCCATTGCTACAACTAGTCAATCACGTTTTGAAGCAAGCTGTGAAATGAATGGTGTAACATTTAAGGGTCAAGGTAATATTTTGAAAAAAAACTTAATAGTCTTCCTCAAAGGTATAATACTTGAACTATTAAGCCACCTCTTTAAAGGAATTTGGATTTTTTTTATTAATCACAAATAATGTTCTATCTAGCAGTATAATATCAAAAACTTCAACCTTAGTCTAATGGTAGTGACATATTATATTTATTTTAATCAAACATTTTTTAATCTTTGTGTCAGTGCCCTTAGAAGATATTGGATTGGGCTTAATATTTATTTTAATTTTTTACAGGCTATTATTATTTGTTCATACCAAAATTAATTTAAATATTGTTTTGATAGCTCAAAATAATAATAAATTTTATTTATTTAAATGTATTTTATAGGACCAACAAAAAAAGCAGCTAAAAGAGAAAGTGCGATTGCAGCAATTAAATATGTTTGGGGTTTTGATTTCAATTCTGTAGAGAAAAAATGAGTAGACAATTTTTTTTATTTTTAAATTATTATTTTTTAATTCAGTAATTGATTTAGTTAACTATAATAATACTGTACTCATCCTGGAAAAATATATTAGTTATATTACTGACTATATATATATTTTTATAGTACATACAATTATTATTTCTATTGCTTTAATTTTTGTATTTTATTAATTTTTCTCATATGAATATTAGCTACAAACACCTTATTTAGAAATTTTGAGTAGTATTAAAATATATGTGTGTGAATTAAATAAACTTAAAATGTATTTTAGTTCTTAATAATATTGTACAACTATTATTGAAAAATTAAGTTTTATACCTTACTTTATTATTAATTATGAGTCTAGTTTTATACATGTCTAGTACTTATGTAATCTTACAATTTATTTTAGTTCTTAATAAAATTATACAACTTTCATTGAAAAATTCAGAATTATTCCTTGTACCTTGCATTCATTATACTATTCATGTATCTATTTCTGTTATTAAATAATTAATTTTTTAATAATTGTAGTATATTTGTATAAATTGTATTTAATTAAAAGAAATAACATATTTATAATTAACATTAGTCATTTTTTTTTGTATAATATACTTAATAATTAAGAAAAATACATAAATTTAGCGCACCCCTCATGATTTTCTAAAGAAATTTGTTGAAAAATTGTTCTTTTTTATGATAATTCTTAAAATCTTATTTTTTTATTTTTTTTTGTAGAAATCATTATTATAAAAGTTAAAGCAAAAAACATCAATGTTAATAGGTTATTAATGCTACTATTGTTATTACACTAAAATTCTGTTTGTATATTCAGCGTCAAAACACGTATAATTAAGAAAAAATATATATATTTAATTAGTGAGGGTTAAATCTAGTTAAGATGTATAACAATTGTAATTTATATTTGAAAAAAACATTAGATACCTTATTATTTCAATGTTACTTTCAAAATCTATAATCATACTTTCAACTATATTATATTGGCAATCATAAAATTATAAAGGTGGTTCAAAAATTTGAACTTTAGATTTTCGTAACAAGCAAATTATTATTTTGTTAAGAGATATTAAATAATGATTCTGTAAAAATTTAGATTTGATACTTCATTCCCTTCACGTGCTGCATAAGAGTTGAAAAATAACCAAATGGGAAAGTTTTTTGTTTTTTGAACTTGAGTAAAGAAAATGTAACATTTCGATTTTTACCAAATGGAACTAAAAATTTATTTAACAAGTATTTTTTTTATTTATCAAGACTAGGCTGTATACATATATTTTTTAATTTAAACTCTACATTAAATTAATTAATTTATATCTATAAATATAATAAAATATATAATTTATTGATCTTAAAATAAATGTATACAATTATAAAAGTAACTAATGAACATGTAAGTAATAAGTAAGTAATAAAATATAATGATTATCATTATGAATAAGTATAATCAATAAATAGGTAGGTACCATTTACATAAAATTATATATGGGTACTACAATTTGCAAAGTGATTATGATTAATTAGTAATCTATATTCATACTTATTGTGAATAACATCATACTTTTTGTTGGATTATCAAATTTGCCCATATGGTTAATTTTAATTTTTGACTTCGCAAAATAAATTGTTATTAACATGAACAATAATGGACATTCAAAAATGAAATGTGAATGTAGATTTATTCTACTCATATTTTGTTATTCACATAATTTTCCATAAGAGTTTTCTCGATTATTGAGAAAATTACTACATTTAATACCGTAAATTAATCCTGATGTTAATGTTTGCAACAAGATTTTTGGTAAAAAAAATGTTAACAGATATAATAAAATGAGCAAACATCCAAACACAAAAATTGTAAGTTAATTATAGTATGAAAGTATTGAAGTAAATGAAATATTTGTTACCTAAAAAACTACCATAATGACTAGATGAAACATTTTTACCAACTTGCCCTGCACCAATAATATGATCTTCAGTGGTGGAGTCAGGTTTTGTGAGACCTGAGGGAAAATATTCTGGAGGGCCCTACGCAAATCAATAGTGAAAAACCTAAGATACATTGTACATGAGTACAATGAGATGACTTTTCTCATAGAACTCTTAAAATTCTTATTTAATTGTTAGTTAAACATAATTTTAGGTAAATTAATTAATAAAATATCATCAATTTACCACTCATTACTTTTTAAATTAAATTAAAGATTACATTTTGATAAAATAAAATAGTTAACTTTTTTCATGCAAGTCGCTAAAGTCAAGGTAATTCATAAATCAATAGAGAAAGTTAAATTTTCAATCCAAAAACATGAAAAACTGGGTCAGCCATTCTTTAGGAGTTGAATTTCTAGATATTAAATAAACAGTCTTACCTTATTCTGATTTTGAATGTTTAGTGTGCAAAGTTTCATCCAAATTAAAATACAATTGTTGATTTGTATAAAAAGCCATAAATTGAATTTGATTTTATAATAATATCAATCATTTTTCAATACTGAGTAGTTTTAGATATTTGTTTGTACTTCAAAGTTAAAACAACCAATGGTAGAGCTGAAGAGCTCTCCTCCCAGGTACATTGTCAATGGAATTATTTTAAGTAAAAAAATACTTTAATAACACGCATTGGGCAATTTTAACAATATCATTAGAAATAAACACTATTAAAATTTTTTTCGATGGATAATTTATAACTTCAGGAGTATAAATGTATAAAAAATTGAAAACAATTAAAATAACATTGAAATACACGAAATAGACAAAAAGTATTACTAGAAACCACCAATTCGTGATAGCATTGATTATAAAATATTAATATTTATAATCAATAGTTATTGGTACCTAGGTACCTAAACTATGGTTTCAGGTAGTCGCATTTTACTTTATGTCTTTATGATTTTACCTAATTAATTTTTAATTTGAAACCGGTAGTAGATACAATACACATATCATAATTCTCCAGGTGAAGTATTCATTTATTTATTTATATAATTTTAAATTATTTAATTGTGAACAATTTTGAAATTCATGAAATGTACTTCTAGGACTTAATAAACCATTTCTAACGAAAACCCGATTCTGAGCGAAGTTCAGTTAATAATGTCGCTTTGACAACAATAAAATATATGGTATATGTCATATTATGGTAAAATGATTACTGATTCAACATTGTGTTTTCATGACAATAGTGATTGTTTAAAAAGATAAAAATAGTAATAACAAAAAAATAAATAAAGACGGTTGACAATGATAACCTTATTTTTGATCTTTCAATCTTTTTTAACCTAAAGCCCGAAGTTTTCCTCATTATTTCGAATATTAATGAGCGTTTCAAAAAATGACTTTTCTAAATTGTTACCTAGAGAAAATTTTTTTTCAGAAAATGTGCTATATTTGATAATCGGAGTATGCATTCTGCTAGAAAGTGTTCACATTAAAAAAAAAAATCATTTTAAAACAATACATTCCTCGTTCCACTCAGAATCTAAAAGAAAACGTCACACATCTTCATAATAAAACTTTTAAAAAAATGTGAAGCTTCATAAAGCGCGATATCCCAGCTGATGGGTGCCCACTGTCAACTACCCAGTTGGTCGCTCTTGCTAGCCTTGTTGATTTTAACCGGCGGCTGTTCTTGTTAATGATATGCCAGGAATCATTATCAAGCCATATCCTCCAATTTTTATATAATCTAAGGGTAAAATTAGTTTCTATCTCATTTAATCGTTTCTACTGTAGATATAGCAGGTCTTCATTAGCGAAACAAATGTTTTTGGTTACAGTATTCAAAATATGCAATATATTTTGTAATTATTAGAATAGCCTATTCTGAAATTTAAATAGATAGGTACTTTAGATAGAAAAAATGATACCGTTCACAACTGAGATTTTATAATTGATACCTATAATTTATGTAGTTTTTAGTAACTATTTGTTACTCACATTTTTGGCCATAAATTCACCGTATAATCTCTATAAGACTATAAACAAAATGCCCATATAGATAGGTAGTAAAATAATGAAACTTCTGTAATATTTATTCAGTCTATAGAATAAAATATAAATTATAATGTTACGAATACATTAATTTATTATTAATTATACGAATATTTAAATTTAGCGCCAACTTTGTATTGCCAACAAAATGAGATAATTTGAAAATTGAAATGTTTCATTAATTTTTTTTTAAATATTCGAAAATTAGATCTTGGTTAATAATATTTTTAATCACGAAGAGAAACTTATGTAATACTATAGGTATAATTGGTGAGTATTTAAAATAAGAACGTACAAAATAAAATTTAAACTTTATCAGCATATAAACATAACCTCAAACAATTGTGTTCTCATTTCCTTCGTTTCGTGCGCCCTGCTGACAACCGTCTCCGATCGCAGTCTTTTTACTTCGGATCCACAGTCGGACTAATGCTTTGATATTTTTCATCGGATTTTCTTCATCCATCTTAATCTTGGGTAATTATACGTTTATTTTGTTTCTAACCAATTGTTTCTGATCAGACTCTTATCCATGTACCTAATCTGCTTGCATACTGATGATTCGTCGATGGACTTTTAAATACCGAATTCTTTATTTGAAGCCGTTTTCGGATGATATTTACGTTTAGGTTTTGATGATTGTCATCAACTTCACTAGGATTTCAAAATCTTATTGTATTTTTTATCTGTTTGGTCAGAACCTTGGATATAAATAAATACCTTTTTTTTTCATTTTCAGTGATCCAGTGTTTAATAAACTGCGAAGATGGTGCGTATGAATGTATTGAGTGACGCTTTAAAATCTATCAACAATGCTGAGAAGCGAGGAAAACGTCAAGTTTTGATCAGACCATGTTCAAAAGTCATCATTAAGTTCCTGAAAGTTATGATGAGTCACGGTAAGTTTTATATTGTAAATTCAGGTTTTCATGAATTGTATTTTTTTGTAAAGTAAGATTTATTGTCTTTCTTACATACCACTACAACTTCGTTATTTTTCTATTGATTTAATGTTCAAATTAATCAAATGATAATTGAAAACATTGGTAAATTTGTTGTATTTTGTTTTCTATGTGTTTGTAGGATACTGTGATAAGTATCTTCCTTCTTCTAACTGAGTTGATTTTAATAGTTTTTTAATTTATTTATTATTGTGTAATGACTAATGGCCAATGATAAAAGTACATTATTATTTCACGCTTCCAAAAAATAACAAAGTATTGACTTTGAAGAAAATGTTAAACCCTGTTTTGAAGCTTGGCAGCATTAAATATTATGTAGGTGCATCACTTGAATTTTAATTTTTTAAAATTCAAACTAATGTGGAATGAACAAATAATGTTTTAAATTAATTAAATTTAATGTTGCAGTTATTTATATACCTATTTATAAAAAAAAAAAATTATCTGTATTTTAATTTTTTAGGATACATTGGTGAATTTGAAATAGTTGACGACCACAGAGCTGGAAAAGTTGTTGTTAACTTAACTGGTCGTTTAAATAAGTGTGGCGTCATTTCTCCAAGATTTGATGTACCCATTAGAAATATTGAAAAATGGACCAACCAACTTCTGCCATCTAGACAATTCGGGTAAATATAAAATTTACTGTAGCTTATTTAATTAGTCTTTATTTAAAATTTTTATTTCAATTTTTTTTTTCTTGAGTTATTAATTCTCATGATAATTTTGGTTGATATATATTTTTGAAATATTTTATTATTTGTACCTTATATTTATAATAAGATATATAATTACCGAAGTTGCTGTTGTCTTAGAGGAATAATTGTAGGGCTTACTGTGGATTAAATATAATACAGCCAGTCTTGCATTTATTCCACTTTGACTTCAGAAAAATGTGTAACTGTGGCCTGGTTACTACTTATGAAGAATCTGGATTGCACATTTTTTTTGCACCTAGTCTTATTTGATGGAGTACTATTTTTTAATCTCGCATAGCATTAGCATTTTGTTAAAAAGTTTACTGAAGGTAAATAGTGATCCTATTTACTACATTTTCAAATATATTACCACTATTTTCTGCTGCCCAGAGTAGTAAATAATACATTTATATGGTGTTGCCCACCTTTTTTCTATGTGTACACCTCTCATGGTGGTACATTGTAATAGGAAAATTACGTCCAATAAACAATAGGAATGATTATTTTTTCATTTTATAATCAATTAAATTACTTTGAAAAATTAAGATAAAATTATCTTAATTTTTTTCTAAAAATAAAAATACTGAATCTGAACTCTAAATTTATCTATTGAGAAGTTGTACTTACATATTATGTTGAGTAGATACAAATTTACTTTCAAATTTATTTATTATTATAATATTACATAATACTTTTCATCAGCACTAAAGGTATACTTTCATTTGTTAGCAAAATAAAAATTGTCAGTTTTAAAATGTTATTATTTTTCTTATTAATTCATTGTACTTTTTTTGAGATTTGTTCTTTAAAAACATTATAAATGATTTTTATACTTCTGATTATTGAAGTAGTATATCCCAATTTATATTTAAAATTCTAAGTATCTTTTAATTTATAAAAAAAAATGTCATTTTAAATTATTCCCTTATAGACTATTATACAGGGTATTCCATGAATATATACCCATTGAAATATCTCCTAAAATAATCTAATTTGGTTTAATCAAATTCCTTTCAGGGATAATGATTAAACATATTTATATTTGAATTAAATTTGTATGTTTAGGTAAATAAATACATTTATTTTATTATTTTTGAAAAATTTGAAGATAACCATTTTGTTAGTTTATTCTTCTAAAAATGTCGACAGATTATTTTTATTAAATTTGTGTTTTAATAATTTCTTTAAGTTGAGAGAAAAATATCTTTAACTTAACAGCGAGTTGTTATCAAATTCATAAATTGTTTTGTTATTATTATTATTATTATAGCTAATTGACTACACCTTTTTCTTCCGAACTTAACAATTTCAAATTTATGAAAATAAAAAATACATCAAATTTTTCAGAAGCTTTATAAAATAAATATTTATTTAGTCTTTTTAAATTGAATCCTTATTCATGTAAGTCATAAAAAAAAAAAAAAAAAACAGAATTTGATTATCTTAATTATCTCTGCAGATATTGCAATGTGTATATTTTTGTGGGGCACCTGTACATGGAAAAACATAAATAATTGTAAAAAAATTCATTACTCATTAACATTGGTGTCAAACATTTCTGTTTATATTAATATACTTAATTTGTTGATTTATGCCTTGTTAACAATCAGTCTTACTATAAACTCTTATTATTCATTCTATTTATTAATTGTTATTTAAAAATAATGTTCTACTTTATATTGTTTTCTTAACAATTTTTTTTTTTATTTGTACACTATTAAACTATTCAACTTATGTCAACTAATTTGTATTTATTTTTAAAATCTTAGTATATATTTGTAAAATTAAACATATTCAACAAAAGTGTATCTTATTCTTGAAACATAATATATTCTATAAAGTTCTAAGTTTGGTTAGGTACTTTTTGAATAAGAATGTTAAATATGATATAAATAAAATAGTTTCATAGATTTAAACTTAATTTTATTTTTATTAACATATAAATTTATGAATAATATTTATTTTAAGAAGAATGAACATCAATTATGCAAGCTATGGTCTTGGAACTTTGCGCTTAGTAGTAAATTTCCTTATACAGGCTTGCAAAATAAAATACTTTCATTATTTTCAAATCTATTGTGCTTACATGTCTTTACATTGCTAACTTGTATTAACAATATTATTTATAATTATTTATCAAATTACCCTTTCACTTAAATAACAAATGTAAAAATTTATAAATTCAGTGTATTATACCATGCAAGCTATGGTCTTGGAACTTAGCATTTTTATGTAATTTTCCTTATACGAGCTTGCAAAATTAAATACTTGCATTATTTTCAAATGTATTGTACCTACATGTCTTTACATTGCTAACTTGTATTAACAATATTATTTATAATTATTTATCAAATTATCCTTTCACTGAAATAAATAACAAATGTAAAAATGTATAAATTCAGTGTTTTATACCATGCAAACTATGGTCTTGGAACTTTGCAATTTTATGTAATTTTCCTTATACGAGCTTGCAAAATAAAATACTTGCATTATTTTCAAATGTATTTTACCTAAATGTCTTTACATTGCTAACTTGTATTTACAATATTATATATAATTATTTATCAAATTATCTCTTTAGTTAAATGAGTAACAAATTTAAAAATAGTAAATGAAATTGAAAATTATTAAATCATTGTTGTGTATCTTGCAAACTATGGTCTTGGAACTTTGCAATTTAGGGTAATTTTTCCTTATAGGAGCTTGCAAAATAAAAAAAAATACATTATTTTCAAATGTATTATACCTACATGTCTTTACATTGCTAACTAGTATAAACAACAATAATATTGTATAACATTATTATTTATTAGTTTTTAAAATTACTTATGTTTTTTTATTCTTGATTTTTTCATTGAATTTTGTTGTTTTCTGTGTTGTATTTGGATCATTATGTTGATTCATGTTTTGATATTAATTTATTATTTCCAAATAAATTTTAACTAATGTTAAATGCTTGTTAATGTATTGATAACTTTTATGAATATGATTTCCAATGAATCATAATTTTTATCATATTAATGAAAACCAGCTTATTATTGAACACTATAAATATGATACTGTTTGTATAATAGCTTATTAGTTGGTCAATTATCAATACTTATTAAAATGTATTAAATAACTTTATTTGTTTACAAAAATAGCTTCAGTTGTAATTAAATATATGATATATTAATAATAATAAGAGATTTATTATAAAAATTCTAACATTGATTTATTATTTCATTCATTAATAAATTAAATTATACTATATCTTATGTACATAATATTTTATTTTTCTGTTTTTACATTCAAACATGAAAACAAGATAAATATAATAATAATGTTAAATGATTTCTCACAAATCTGCTAAATAAAAGTATTTTATTATTTTTAAATAGATTTTATTCTCATAATCATGATAGTTAAACTTATGCTTAATTTTTTTATATAATCAGATATCAAATGACTTGTAGTTGTATATTTTACTTATTTTAAGTTTGTATGATAATATGTACCAATGTTACTTGATAGGAATACTTGTCTGTAAAATATATATATAAGTAAAAAGGTTGTTGAGAAATAAATTAAATGCTTGCAAAAATAATCTTTAAAATTTATGATTTGTATTTTATTGTTACAGATTTGTAGTATTGACCACCAGTGGTGGTATTATGGATCACGAAGAAGCAAGGCGAAAACATTTAGGAGGCAAAATCTTAGGATTTTTCTTTTAAATTGTACGTTTTTATCCTTAATATTAACAACTAATAAAAAAAATGTACCATTACTAAACAAATGTTTTTATTTTTGACCAAACTATAAATTAAATCAGTTTTGTTCTTTATATTTGCAAATAAACTTTATTATGAAATATATAGTAGGCCGTTTAAAATAATTTATATATGTGATATAAATTATAGGTATTCAAAATTATTATTTTTAATTTATCAAACTTCAAAGTAGAAAAAAAACTGAAACTGCTGATGCGTATGTCACTGTTGGTAAAAAGTTTGAAAGGTAGGATAGTAATACTATTTAATTTATATTCGTATGCAATAATATAACTCATAGATAACATTCAATTCTGAATGAAATTTGGTTAAACATGTTTTGAAGCGCTATGATATTTACTATTCAATGAAATTTGAATTTAAAATGTTTATAAAATAATTACCACACATTATGCTAAACTTTTGACCATTAATTCAACATTTAATGAATATCTTGTTGAAATTTCAAGTATTTCTGTTTAGCCATAAAATTATATTTACAAAAAAAAATAATATGCGAAATGTCACATAATTTTTACAATTTTTGTCAACTAATAACTAAGAAAACTCTTTAATATATACATTATGAAATGTGCCTGTCAAAATTTTAAATTTAAATAAATGTATTGAATGATAAAATACTTAAAAAAAATTATAAGATTCATTATTGAAATTAATGTTTTGAAATATTTCGATTCTAGTATCCATGTATAATTTTTTAATAAATTCAATTTCAACCATTTTTTTTTTTAAGTTTTTGATCTAAAGTGAACTTTTTATGTAAAATTTCTCCTATTTTTAAAACTAGAAATTTGTCACACCTTGAGTAGTATGTGGGTGTTGTAAGTAAATTGTTAAAATGTGTAGAGAAATGATTCAATTATTAGTATTAGTACTTAAATATTAGTATCTTTGAAGATATTATTAATATTAATTTATTCATGTTAAAATCTTGAAGCTTACTAATCAAAAGTATTTTATAGAACTTGCAAATTTTTCTTATATTACATGGTAAAATTAATTAGTAATAGTTATGAGATAAATCTGATAGAGGAATAACTAGAGTAATTTAATGACATTTGTGGTACATTGTTAATTTTGCATAATATCTATGATATTTAAATATTAATTAAAATATTTTATTTATTAATGAAGCCCAAAGATTTTTGACTTTATTTATATTTTAAGGTAGTTAATAAATAAAAAAAATCAAAACCTAAATTTTGAGTAACAATTGATCAAACTAAATGGAGTTTATTTTGTATTTTGTGCTTTCAAATAGCTGGTAACTACTAACTTTTATAGGAAAATTAAACATTCACTATATTAATTTTTTTTAAGAGAGTGATTTTGGAAATTCATGGATTTAAAGGCATACCAAATTACCGCCGAGGCAATAAAATCCCATCTACTTTAGCAAATATACTTATTCCATTAACGATTTATCAAAAATAATTCATTAGTCTTGTACGATTTTTTATGATTTGGTGTGCTTTTTAAATTTGGATTATATATTTTTGGGTAGCTATACAAAGATTCTATATGAATATGATAAATTATTTAAACTTATTATCGCTGTCAACATTCACATGCCAAGTCAAAAAGTTTTTTGTCAAATATCCATTTATTATATTGCTAAACTTTTGCTTTGGTTTTTCACTAGTTATGTTCATGAAAAACCAGTAGAAAATATTACAACACCTTTGTTATTCTAAGGTTTATCCTTCATTATGGTCGACTAAATTTAATGTATTGGCTGTGCAAATTATAGTTAATAGATTTTAATACAGCTTTTATACCTATGCACAAGGTTACATATGTACTGCCATGGCTCATGAGTACTGCAAATTTTTAACTTACCCACCTAGATTTATACAAGGCATGCAAAAACTGCTATAATTTACCAAGATTATGGCAATGGTAATTTAGTACATAACGGTGAATGGGTATCTAATGAAAGAGGCTACATCATAATCTAATATGAAATAAATTATATTTTTGTGTTATATAATCAAGAAGATAAAAAAAAAACAGTAAACTTTCGATTTTTAAAGCTTATTAAAATGTATTATTTTAAATAGTTACCTATCTATTTTAAATATGACTATACTTGCAACAAATATCTAATCTATAAGTAAAAATGTGAAAATAAGAGTAGGTAAGTATAATTAAAATTGTTTAAGTTTTAAATCTAAGTATATATGTATAATTGTTCAAATGGATCTAGGACACCTCATTATTACTACCTCAATGCTCATTATTTCAATACAAATATTTTGTTAGGTACAAACATAAATATTATCGGATATAGGTATACATCATACTTCATAGGTACCAGGTTTAGGCCACTGACCATTGTTGGTGGAAAGTTGGAAAAGTACTAAAGTAGTATAAGATAAAAGAAAATTGTATAAAGCAAAAATATGGCATAGCTATCAAACAACAATTTTGATATCAATGTAGCCAATATATGTATACAATAATAAGTATATCAATATAGGTACACGTATATTGGCTTCCTATAATAACATGAAATAATATTTTTCAAATAGTGGTTCTCAGAATCTTTTGACTGGACATTTAATTCCCAATTTTATTATGTTAATATTAATTACTTCGTGTATTGTATTATGATTTATGGTATTCAAAGTGAAAATTTTCAGAACACTTTCGGAGACAAGATATATTTTTAGATAGATAATCAAATTCAGAATCATGTATAGCTTAAATATCTTAATATTTAGATTTCAATGTATATAAATTGAAGCCAACAAACATAAGTTAAGGATAACTAGGTATGATACATAAACAAATTCAACATTCCTATTTCTAAATAATGTTGATGGTTTATTTTTTTTTAAACATAATAAATTAAATGATTTTGGAATTATACGTAGGTATGAAAATAATATAGGTAGGTTAATTGAAATTTATATTGATGTAATAAATATTGGCAATTAGAATGTAATTCCGAAATAAATGTCGAGGGAGCTACTTTAGCCAGATCTTGGTAGTTGGGAGCTAATTCAGAATTATAGTAGGTACCTTTTAGGATAAAAATATCAATTACCTGAGTTCGAGATCTGATTCTTTTGTATCGTTAGGTATATATACTATTTTATTTTTATTACAATTATTTCGTACAAAATAATAATCATTTTTATTATAGTCAACGTCACCAACATAGGTATAACTAAACTAACTTCGGGTAGGCTAAATTGATGAACAAACCTATGCCTCTCTCATACTCCTTTACACGACTCCTACAATATAGGCAATTATACATTTTATTTTCAATTTTTTATACACAAATTTATGATGATAATTTTTATTTTATTTTTTATACATACATGCAATGTCTGTATTTTGTTCTGCTCATTAATTATGAAATACAGGGATAAAATATTTATTCGTTAGGTATTATGAAAAAGTTAAACGGGTTTTTTTTAGGGGTGCTAAAGGTCCCCTAGTAGCCCTCTAATTGCGTCTACATATTTTACATCAACTGAATTGAATGGACCATCGACCAATATTATTACCTAAATATAATATAAAATAGGTAGTTAAATAAAATTGGAACCGAAAAATTCTCTACCAACAAACATCGGTGCGGATTCCGGTTTAGGTTATTAGAAAAAAAAAGTTAAAAAGGATTTCAATTTCAATATTTTCAAAACGTTCCGGTTAAAAAATACCAGTGTTTATTAAATTTCGGTTGAAGTCCTATGTTAATATTTATTTTCACCCTTACTCATACGATCGGCCCAAATTTTAAGCGGCACACCGAGATAGTTCGTCTGACCAATCCTGGCTCTGCAGTACGACGCAACGGTCACGTGGAACGCGTTTCATTGGTTTGATGAAGACACCGATGAAGTTTTGAAATTCCGGAGTCTGAAAGTCCGGGGTTCAGCGACCAGTGCTCATTTTTCGCCGGGCTTCGGTACCGAGTGTAGTGATTCGCGAGTGTAGGTATAATATAATATTTTATTGTGCAATGTTTCTGTTTTGTGTGTGGTGTCGTTTTTTTTCTCCGCGATAGTTTTTTGTTCGCCAAGGCTCTCAAGATTAAAAAACAATATTTAAAGCCTGCGACTGGTGAGTACCGGGCATTTTTATATTTCAACCTATATACTTACCTTAGGCTGGTCCTTATTTATAACAAAAAAAAATTATTTTGGTGGATTTTGATAGTGATTACTTACCCCTTTCCCGTCCCGCAAAAGGGTTGACATTTGACCAAAAGGGCTTGTTTTGTAGTTTTTCTAGTTAAGTTTAAACATATTTAATTTAATATGAAAACTGATAGAACCTTAAATGTAGAAAAATCATTGCCTTTAAAACAGGTATTTAATAAAATTTATTGTAAATCTATTATTTTTCATAACAGTTTAAAAAAAAACTAAATATACCATACAAATTATCCAATTTATGGTTTTTCTTTACACTTTACTAATAGTGAATTTTATATAACAAAATTAAAATATTCATGGTTGCAGTCTACCTGGGTATTGTTATTTTATAATTCTTAAATTATCTGCTGGATTACAGATATAATAGATATTTACTTTTAGATATTATCGCATTATGACGGATACAATATAGATAAACTATTCAAATATATATCAAATTTTTAGACCAAGGGTCGGTTTTATTGATTAAATAGGATTGAAAATGAGATTAAAAAAAAGTTACCTATATTAATCAAAACCTTCAGATAATTCTATAGGTAATTATTACTGAATATTTAATTAGCTTAACTTTTCAATAAGTTTTTTTTAATGTAAAGAAAAATGTAAAATGAAGAAACAGAGTTTTAGAAAGTTCGGATGAATCTGAAAGCCTTGAAAACAATGAAGTTTATGTCTTTTGTTCTAGCCATTCTGGAGTCACTATAGTGGTTATAGAGCCACTAATTCAATTATGACACCTCGACTATCTGCAGCATTAGACAAGTGGAAGGTTAGTGATCAAAACGCAGTTCATTTATTGGTAGCCTGGGTTGGAAGTGTTTCTCTGAACCCAGGTGACTATATTATAAATATAACGTCTGTGAACTCTTTACAAGTTGTAAATGATACTGATAAGATATTCCACTTTTTAGTTTAGGCAGGGGAGAGTAGTATATTAATAATATTACTCTGTATATAACTATAATGATGATTTTTTTTCTGTGTTATTTTATTATATACAATTAAAATAATAACAAAACATTTCATCCAATACCTAATATTAGTATGAATGAATTATTTTTTAGGAAATAAAATTCCATTCAAATTGTTTACCAATTACTACATATGTTATTGCGATATTAACCATTAGTAAATTTTAATAAAATAACTATAAATTTAATAAAATAGTTAAAATAATAAAATAAAATAGTTTTTTGATAATTTTTATAAATAATAATCATGGGCACAGTTTGGTATAATTATCTGTGGGGGATATATAGAACTAGAAAAATATACCATTTCAAAAATTCCACACGTTTAACTGGAATTAAAAGGAAAGAGAACATTTTCTAAAAAAAAACAATTTATGTTTGACTTCTTCTTAACCTGGCATTTTATTTTACAATAAATAAAAGATAAAATAATTAAA